CCCTTGCCAGTGATGTATAGTCGTAGTGGCTTGGTGCTTTCCCCTGATAATTTTCCCTCCCTCCGTTCCCTCTTATGGTCATGTCAGATCTTATAGCTCGTGTCTTAATGCTTAACGTGTCACGTCTTGAGAGGACATGTTCTCCCTTCATACTTGAGACTACAGTGTTCTTCTTGTTCTTCTTAATAATTAATATTGATGAGTAGATAGCAGGAAAGTTCCCAGTTGCGTGTGTTTCCTTGTTCTTGTGTGTGTGTGTGTGTGTGCGTGTGTGTGTGTGTGTGTGTGTGTGTGTGTGTGTGTGTGTGTGTGTGTGTGTGTGTGTGTGTGTGTGTGTGTGTGTGTGTGTGTGTGTGTGTCAGCTCTGAGCTCTTGGACCCCGCCTCTCTAACCGTCGAGGTTGTCTCATGTACTGACTCACGTCCTATTTTGTCTATTATATCTACAATATGTTTTTCTCTATCTCACACACACACACACACACACACAGGTGCCAAGTATCAATTTACTGGTGCCTAATAGATGAACAGAGGCATCAGGTGAAAGAAACTGTCCGTGAGAGAGAGAGAGAGAGAGAGAGAGAGAGAGAGAGAGAGAGAGAGACAGAGACAGACAGACAGACAGACAGACAGACAGACAGACAGACAGACAGACAGACAGACAGACAGACAGACAGAGAGCGTGTGCGTGCGTGTGTATGTGTGTGTGTGTACTGTCGCACCAGTAGTTGCTATAGGCCAATAGCTATATTGTGGTGTTATCTTGAGAGACTGAGCACGTGTCTGTCGCTGGATTCACAACAATAAAAAGAGTTGTCAGGGGCCCAGAAGAATCAGTGCCTCGTCACCAGGTCGATAAGGACGCCATGGCACCCCCTTGGCCCTTATCATCCCCCCAGTGTGTGTGTGTGCTATCAGTCAGTAACCCCGTGTTGAAGGTCTCCTCGCAGTGGCGAAGCAAGATGTCAATGGACTTTCTCTTAACAAAATTCGACCTCTCTGATTAGATACTATGAGCAGGTATCCCTTAGCAACGATATATATCTATCTTAGCTATACCAGTTGATTACATTCTAATTTTGTTTTATAATAATTCACGTGTGTTATATTCCAAACATGTTGACCAGACCACACACACTAGAAGGTGAAGGGACGACGACGTTTCGGTCCGTCCTGGACAATTCTCAAGTCACTATCGACTTGAGAATGGTCCAGGACGGACCGAAACGTTGTCGTCCCTTCACCTTCTAGCGTGTGGTCTGGTCAACATAATTTAGCCACGTTATTGTGACTCATCGCCTGCATTCCAAACATCTGGCTCTTTTCTATCTTTAAATGGGGATATGTGGCAGTTTGTTCCCTACTGAGCAGATGTTTGCCCAAAACGCTTTGCGTATTAGTGGCTTTAGGTATTGTATGTACTAGAGCTTTATCTATAAATCCAACAGTATGTTTGTAACTGTATCTATGTATGTACTTTTCCTAAATAAAATTATTATTATTATTATTATTATTATTATTATTATTATTATTATTATTATGTTCTGTGACTAATGATTCACAGTCTTCTATATTAAGCCAGTAAATATCCCGAGATGACCTTCGTGTCTAATGACCCGTCCCCGCACTAGGTCAAGGGGGAAGGAGGTCACGTGAGGTCAGGAAGGTGTACATGTCACTAATCTACGGGTCAAGGTCAGAGGTCATCCCTGATTTTCTCACAAGCTCTCCTCGTGAAAGTGAAATCCCCCCCCCCCCCGTACACACACAGGGGGGGGGGGCCTCGCAACTGATTGGACAGCGCTCTGGGGCAGAGTTTCTTTCACCCTATGCCCCTGTTACCTAGCAGTAAAATAGGTACCTGGGTGTTAGTCAGCTGTCACGAGCTACTTCCTGGGGGGTGGAGGCCTGGTCGAGGACCGGGCCGCGGGGACACTAAAAAAAAGCCCTGAAATCATCTCAAGATAACCTCAAGATAGTGGGGACCAATATTACTGCCGGACAAACTAATATGATGTTCGCCGATTATTATCCCATTTCTATAATAAAAATAAAACTCCTGTCTCTTCTCCCTCCCACTTCAGGGAGTCCAGACGGAGGTGGAGAAGGGGCCATCTTGACCAATTGTTGTTGTCTTAGATTCAGCTGCTCGAAACACAAGTTCCGAGTAGCACGGGCTATGGTGAGCCCGTAGTAATCTGGAGCAGGTATGCGGCCTATATATACACACTGGGAGAGGGCGTATTCCTCTTGTTCCAGCTCACCCCCCTAGGACACTCCAGTTTACAATAACCCCAACACGGTGACCGCGACCTCACATGACCTCACTAGCGCCTATAAAAAGTAACAGGAGGTCTGACCCTAAAACCGTGGACGCCTGTAGCTGCCCAGGCTGACCTTGATGGCCAGATTGGGCAGCGGAGGTGGTTGTGCCTCGTAGGGCAGAAGGCCAGTCTCTAATCTTTAAGTTAATTCGATCTTAAAAAAAAAAATGTCTTCTAGAATTAGAGTAAAACATGATTACACACACACACACACACACACACACACACACACACACACACACACACACACACACACACACACACACACACACACACACACACACACACACACACACACACACACACACACACACACACACACACACACACACACACACACACACACACACACGCACGCACGCGTACGAACGTACGTACGTACGTACGTGTGAGGTGTGAGGTGAGCAGAACGACGGTGACCTTCCCTAACCTTGGTCAGTAATTTAGTCGTCCACGGATAGTGAGAGTGGACGGTGGACTGGGTTGGGTGTGGGGGAGGTGAAGGAGCGAGAATGGTGGACGGTGGGGGGGGGGCAGGTGGGGGGGTAGCTAAGTTTTGTGAGGGAAGGTGGCCTTGTGGTGGTGTGGTGATCAGCTGATCTGAAGTCCCGAAGTCCCAACAGGAACCTTGGGACACCTTTGCTGGTTCTTGGACACCCTAGCTGGTCCTAAGACATCCCTAGCTAGTTCTAGAACACCCTTGTTAGTCCTAGGAAACCTTAGCTGGCCTTAGGACACCCTAACTGGTCCTAGGATACCCTAGCTTGTCCTAGGACACCCTAGCTAGCCCTAGGACACCCTAGATGGTTCTTGGACACCCTAGTTTGTCCTAGGACACCCTAGATGGTTCTTGGACACCCTAGTTTGTCCTAGGACACCCTAGCTGGTCCTAGGACACCCTGGCTGGCCTGGTGGCGCGAATAAGCAGCCACAATCGGTCGCGGTGTTTACGTTCGACCGTGAGCGAGTGACGTCACGCATCCTGGCTGCACTCTACTTGTGTTCCCTCCTTTCCCCCTCCCTCCCCTTCCCTCCACTCCCCTTCCCTCCACTCCCCTTCCCTCCACTCCCCTTCCCTCCTTTCCCCCCCCCCTCCCCTTCCCTCCACTCCCCTCCCTCCTTTCCCCCCTCCGCCAGTGATCTATTCCCTAAGACATGGCAAGAATGTCGGGAGTGACTGCCTTAGACAACCGGTAGGTGATGAGGCGGGGCTCGGGAGCTATCACTCAACCCCCTGTAAACACATTTGTGTATCCGCGCGCGCCCCATCACCCCTCCCCCCCCCCCCTCCAACACTACGTTACATTTTAACATATAAATCTCCCTAAGGCCAGAAAACGATGTGCTAAGAATCGCAGCCGCTGGCACCAATATTGACGTGATGTCCCGTTTTCTATTCGCGGATCCTCGGTTAGGTTAGGTTCGGACAATTTAGCTCATCAGTTTTCTAGTACTGTTGTACTAGAAAATGGAAGCGGCTCGCGAAAGTGATGCACTGTCCTGTTTTCTCCCGCATGCGGGAGGCAGCAGAACATGTGGGAGACGGCAGAGCATGTGGGAGACGGCAGAGCATCTGGGAGACGGCAGAGCATGTGGGAGACGGCAGAGCATGTGGGAGACGGCAGAGCATGTGGGAGACGGCAGAGCATGTGGGAGACGGCAGAGCATGTGGGAGACGTCCAAGACGTGCGCCAGTGATCGAGCCCCGGACTTCACTCACTCTCTCTCTGAATAAAGTTGTCAAGGTCAGGGGGATAAGAGCATGTTTGGCACCGTAGTGGCACTGTGTACGAGTAACGGTGCCACCGCCCCCCACTCCCTCCCTTACTCCCTTGCCCACCTGCCCACCACGACACCATGTTATGGTGTCGTGGTTGGCTGAGTGCGTCTCTTCTGACGTACCACGTTCTTGTTGTTTAAGATTCGCTACCTGGAACAAAAAGTTCAAAGTAGCACGGGCTATGGTGAGCCCGTAGTGGAGTTGTGAATGATAGACATACCACAGGCGCCCAGGTATTTACCGAGACCTTCATCACCCCAGCAACATCAACAAACATCAAAGCACCGTGAATTGTAGTGATGTAGAGGAATGACTGGAGTCGGGGGCGCGTGGCTCTGTGACACGGGCGCCGTGTGCCGTGGGGGCGCCGGGCACAGTAAACAAACATGACCAGTTGTGTTCCAGAAGGGTAGTGCCCCAACCCCAGGTGTGTGTGTGTGTTTGTCCCACAAACATACTCCCACCCTGGGAGCCCCTTGTGAGCACCTGCATTGGAGAGTTCCATGGGGGGTAGTCTCTGTGTATGTCCCACGTTTGTGTCCTCCGAGGGCGCCTCGTTGGGGTTGTGTTCCCCATCAGTTCGTGCGTTAGTGTCCTCCCTGGTGGGTTCCCTAGTGAGTCCCTCGGAAGTGCCTCGGTCTTGGGTTTGTTTACTATGGGTGTCTTGGTGGTTGGGGATAAGTGCTTTGGTGGGTTTGTTTCCCCCATGTGCGTGCCCCCTGGTGGATGGGTGCCTCTGGTGGATAGGTGCCCCTGGTGGATGGGTGCCCCTGGTGGATGGGTGCCCCTGGTGGATGGGTGCCACGGTGGGGGTAATTATGATAGCGCGGGCGGGCGGGCGGTAGCTGGCACCTGCGGCGTGCCTGAGGTGCGACAACTGCAGGAGGCGGCGGTGCGGCCACTGCTGGAGTTCCAATACACAGTGATCACACGCCCGCTGGCCGCCCCTCACCCCCTCACCACCGGCCCACACCCTCGCTCTCAAGTTCAGGGCTGCGTGCGGCGTACTGCCATTGTTCAGCAACTTCAGTTTGTTTTAACACTTAATATACGGTGAACGAAGTGCGCGTGGTCCATCAACTTGATAATGTAAATGCTCAACTCACTGGGAAGTCAACTGAACAAGTCGCTCAGCACTATGCTTGAGCGTTGAAACTTCTGTGACTTATTTCCAATCCATATTGACTGCGGAAAAAAGCTACCTTGAACCAGTATGGGAATGTGACGCGCATTTCCCCAGCGGATAATTACATCAGTGCAGTGTAGAGTGCATCAATGGGCGAGCGGAAGGTCGCGGGCTGGCCTCTGTGGTGTAGGTGTCCGGTTTAGTCTCAAGAACGCCAACAGAGTTTGCGTGGTGTGTGTGTGTGTGTGTGTGTGTGTACGGAGGTGTCTGGAGGCCAGGAGCTGAGTGCCGCGCCGCTGACACCACCATGATCTAGTCCTCGTCCACTCTGCTCCAACCGCTACCCACAGAAAGATATATACACAAGCCTACTGAGATTTAAACCAAAAATTCTGAAAGGTAAGATGAATTTTTGCATGTAAATAGACCGCTGTGTCGGTGTACGTCGGTGTTCCATCATGCCATTCTAAAAAAAAAAAATCACTCTAAAGATTGTGCAGATCATTTTGCGTTTATAACTGGGCCCAGTGCATGACCCGAGGCGTAGAAGTGTCTGGCCTCGTGTCGCCATGCACTCTCTTACGTAAACACTCATTCAGAATGAATTCCTTGGCAAGCGCCGCCTGCCTCGTCCAGAGCTGCAGTTAGATGCAGGCGGGGTGGAGAGGAGGTAAGGAGCCCCCCGAGGCTCGGAGACGAGATGAGGGGCCCGGGGCTCGGAGACGAGGTAAGGGGCCCGGGGCTCGGAGACGAGGTAAGGGGCCCCCCGAGGCTCGGAGACGAAGTAAGGGGCCTCCCGGGCTCGGAGACGAAGTAAGGGGCCCGGGGTGCTTAAACCACAATGCAATTTTACTTCGTCGTCCTGAATGTTTATAAATAATTAATTCTCAATTAACAGTATGTTCCTATTGGGAAGAATAGTTCTTGGGGCCCGAAAAGCTATTTACAATCTGTGGATTATTTGCCAGTTTTGTCTCCAGCACATCTTCGTCCAGGAGAGATTTCCTTAATTAATTTCCTTATATCGTTGTGGCATATTTTTATTCCAAGATTCCACGTATGTGTATGTTTGTTTACTATTTACTGTTTGTGTCTGCAGAATCCAGCTATAATCTCTTGATCTTTCTAACCAGTCTATTTTTCCTATATTATATCTACTTCATATATTTCTCTCTAACACACGCGCACATACACACACCCCCAGGATACACCCGGTAGCAGCTGTCTAACTCCCAGGTACCTATTTACTGCTCGGTGAACAGGAGAAAAGGAGGAGGGTTTGTGGGTGGGATGGTTCAGTGTTGGGTGGGATGGGAGGACGCGTGGAAGAGGTTGTGGTGGAATGGGGCAAGAGCAAGCGGGATGAGGAAGATTAGTGTCGTCTAGTTGAGGTTTTCTTAGCCTGGGGTGGCGGTGGGGGGAGGTGCGTTGGGGTGGTGGAGGAGGGGGCGGTGTTGGGGAGGGTGCCAGGTGTAGCGGGATGGGGTGGGGAAAGATGCCAATAGAGTGCCAAGTCAGGTAGTCTTCGTGCTCTTCCTCTTCCTACTTCACCATCACCTCCTCCTCCTCCTCCTCCTCCTCCCACATCTTCAAAAACAAACACTCCTTTCCCCTCCCTGTCTGTTTGTCTCAGTTGTTGTCGGTCCTTTTGGGGAGGGGGAAGAGAATGAAGAAGAAGAGAGAGAGAGAGAGAGAGAGAGAGAGAGAGAGAGAGAGAGAGAGAGAGAGAGAGAGAGAGAGAGAGAGAGAGAGAGAGAGAGAGAAGAGGAGGAGGAAGAAGCAAGAAGACCATCAAACTCCACATCAGAAAAAAATAAAAAAAACACCGGTCCATTCATGTATATCGGACGTCAAATCAAACAGTGAATCGCAAACACAACAAATGTCTTATTAATTAAGAATGTAGTTGACGAAAGAGCCAAGAAGAAGAAAAAAATATGAAACACTTTTGTTTGCTTTTCAAAGGGGGGGGGGACTTAGAGCAGTGGAAGCCACTTACTCCAGATCATTGATAACTCTTTTCATGGGTATAGTGTTGAAATTCTCGGAGCGTGACGATCTCCACCACCAACTAAGCACATACAGACACCTTCCCTCCACCCCTTCCACCACCCTTTCCCGCTCCCTTTCAGCCACCATCTCCCCCTTCCCCCCTTCCTTCCATCCTCTCTCCCCCCCACCCACCCACGCACACACGCATGCGGGCGTGAGAGCTGCTAGGACACGTGTTAATGTTTACAAACATTGTTGAACGGAACCTCGTGTCGTGACGCCTGACGGTGAATAGCGTAGATTCTGGAAGCGTAACCCCAGCTGGCGTGTGTCTAGGCCAGCTGGCGTGTGTCTAGGCCAGCTGGCGTGTGTCTAGACCAGCTGGCGTGTGTCTAGACCAGCTGGCGTGTGTCTAGACCAGCTGGCGTGTGTCTAGACCAGCTAGTGTACGTACCGTACAGGTGTGTGTGGGTTAGGGGAGGTGTACACTAATGCAGATATTAATGTATGTGCATATCTGTGTGTGTGCATCTCTTATGTGCGTCTTCTTGAGTGATAATGAGTAGTAGAGGCATTAACCAGTGGTCAAAGAACACCCACCTGCACACCCCACCTGCACACCCCACCTGCACACCACCACCTGCACACCTGGCATCTGAATAGGAATCCGTACAGTATTCATTGTGGATTGTGATGACTTTGTGGCCTCCTTGGTGATGTGTGACGTGAGCGCTTGTGGGCACCCTCCTGGCACCGTCCCGGTGTCCCGCCATAACTATATTTTCATGGAAATATTTTTTTCGGTGGGGGGGGAGGGTGGAGGAGTGTTAAGTGTGCAAGTAAGAGTTGACGGCACCGGTAAGGTGTAGTGTTGGCCTCATTGTAAGTGTGTATGATCGACACTTAATTGTTGTATGTTTCCCGACCATATACATGATGCTTGGCCTTGACAATGGGGTGACTTGTGCTGCAGGCGGGCGAACTTCACCTTGGATACAGGAGGGCCTTTGTCGTCATTGTTTTGCAGAGTTGCTGGTGGGACACGTGTGTGTGTGTGTGTGTGTGTGTGTGTGTGTGTGTGTGTGTGTGTGTGTGTGTGTGTGTGTGTGTGTGTGTGTGTGTGTGTGTGTGTGTGTGTACGTACGTACGTCTAACCATGGCTATGCACTAAGCTTGCTTTAAGGCAAGCTTAAGCATTGCCGGCCAAGCTTGAGATTAACGGAAGTTCTCTTCACTGATATAACGAAAGCCTAACATTGTGTGACTGAAGTCTCCAAGCCTCTCTTTCGTCATGTTGCATAGATCATCTCTTCATGGGATGATCTGTGCAACAGCGGTGGTTTTGTGAGCGCTGCTTTACGGTGAGCTCGAAGCTTATTGCACACGATTGACACTACGGTGTGACGGCCTTCGAGTTTCTTGCTTCTGTTGGTTCGGTGTCGTAATGTTTGGTCCCTCCAGCATCCGTATTTACCCAGGCTGATAGAGGGACAGGTGAAGAGTTCTCTCGATAGTCTTTGACGAGTGAAAAAATAATATACAGGTTTCAATCCTAGGTTAAGCAAATTGTGGAGCTTATGGAAACCTGTGAACGATTTACTCCTGTATTGTGTGTGTGTGTGTGGTTTACTTGTACAAACATCAGTTCCCTTGCAGTAAGACTGCAGTGCAACACTGTAGTTCAATACGATGCATACATTAGGTTGCCGAGAAGAGAACAAAGCAGGATGTTGCAACAAAAACAATACGCTACTTCACAGGAGAATTGCAACACAAGGCAAAACAATAACACCACAAGACCTTACAGCTGAACGGGGAGTAACTTGATGCCTGTCACAGTAGATCAAACCGGAAAAGAAACGAACAAGTCCTGTGCGTGCCTACCATCCCGAACCTTCAGGCGGGTGACGTGCCTCGTCAGTTGGCGTCAACAGGGAAGCCGACGTATGGGTACAGATGCGGAAGGGACAACATCCACCAATCGCAATGCGTTACAATGAGAACGGCAACTTGATCAGGAAGAACGGCAAGAACAAGAGCCGTGTGACCGTGAAACTTAATATGAACGTGTTCGAGCTGCAGGGATGGCCAGAGTCTCGGATACTGGTGGCGGAGGGTGCCTCTGTGTTGTGTGCTTGGTGGCCCCGTGTGGCGCTGTCTCTTCTGTGTTTGTGTGGTGTTTGGTGTTATGTGGTGCAGTGTGTGTGTGTGTGTGCGTTGTGGTGTGTGATATATGACCTCCCCCCCCCCCCCCACACACACAGTGTATGTGTGTGTGTGGAGGGGGGGGGGAAGGAGAGAAGTAATGTGGTGGAGGCAGACTCCCTGCATAGTTTCAGATGTAGATTTGATAGAGCCCAATAGGCTCAGGAATCTGTACACCAGTTGATTGACGGTTGAGAGGCGGGACCAAAGAGCCAAAGCTCAACCCTCATAAGCACAACTTGGTGAGTACACACTCATACTTTTAGGGGGGGGCCTGACGGCTGAGTGGACAGAGCAAGGGAGTCGTAGTCCTTGGGTCCGGGGATCGATCCCCGGGGATGGCGGAAACAAATGGGCAGAGTTTCTTTCACCCTGATGACCCTGCTACGGGCTGCTTCCTATATGTGTGTAATCACCTAGTTGTGCTTGCGGGGATTGAGCTTTAGCTCTTTGGCTCTTGCTCTTTGTGTGTGTGTGGGGGGGGGACCAAAAATTAATTTGATTGACAGTTGAGAGGCGGGCCCAAGGAGCCAGAGCTCATCCCCCGCAAGCACAACTAGGTAAATACACACACACACACACACACACACACACACACACACACACACACACACACACACACACACACACACACACACACACACACACACACACACACGTGCGGATGTATAGAACACATATATAACCCTAAATAGTACCGCTGGAGTAGTTAGGAAGGAAATATGAAGCAGAAACATGAGGAGAGTGAGAGGCCAGTGATAACAGCTGACGACTGAGGCTGGGGTGTTGTGAGGCAACCCCTCACTGCTCCCTCACAACACCCACGAATCGGTGTGAGGCTCCTACCATACGTAGGTGTCAGTTCATGTTCAAATTAGGAAACAGTATTCACAAAACGTTAGTGCAGCCCTGAGCACAATTAGTAGAGTACACCAGATGCTCTGCATAAACAGGTTCGAGGTGTGCGTGTACATAAATACCGCTTGATAAGCTCTATACGATCACACACACACACACACACACACACACACACACACACACACACACACACACACACACACACACACACACACACACACACACACACACACACACTGGTGCGCACACAGCGACCTGAGCACCACCTGGTGGCCGGGAGCGCTCGGTGTCGAGGCCAGTGCCAGGTGCGAGGGCTGGGACACGCTGGCACTCCGCGGTCATTCACCCAGTGCCTCTCACGTCTGCTTTTCAAGGTCTCGGAGCGGAGCAGGTGACGCAGTGCCGTGGCATTGTACAATCCCCGTCCCTGTAAGCCTAGTCCGTCGACACGGGTCGGTGGAGAGGAGCCGTGTGGTGTGTGTGTGTGTGTGTGTGTGTGTGTGTGTGTGTGTGTGTGTGTGTGTGTGTGTGTGTGTGTGTGTGTGTGTGTGTGTGTTTTTACTGTTTATGCCTGCAGGAGCGAGCGGTTAGCTCTTGGATCCCGCCTGTCTAACCCTCGATTGTCTTTTGTACTGAGTCCGGACCTATTTTTTCTCATTATATCTACAATATATTAAACCCACACACACACACACACCACACACACACACACACACACACCCACACACACATCACTCACATCAACTTCACTCACTCACTCACTCACAATCACTCTCTCACTCTCTCTCTCTCTCTCTCTCCTCTCTCTCTCCTCTCTCTCTCTCTCTCTCCTCTCTCTCCCTCTCTCGTCCTCTCCTCTCTCTCGCTCTCTCCCATCTCTCTCTCTCTCTCTCTCTCTCAATCTAGTGAGAGAGAGAGAGAGGCTTAGGAATCTGTACACTAGTTGATTGACGGTTGAGAGGCGAGACCAAAGACCCAGAGCTCAACCCCCGCAAGCAAAACAAGGTGAATACAACTAGATGAATACACACACACACACCACACACACACACACACACACACACACACACACACACACACACACACACACACACACACACACACACATCCCCAGGATGCAGCCCGCAGCAGCTGTCTAACTCCCAGGTATCTGTTCATTTACTGCTAGGTAAACATATACATTGGGTGAGTGAAACTGCCCACTTGTTCCTATCTCGGCCGGGAATCGAACCAAAGCCTCACTTCTTGGGTCCCGCTTTTCAATCTTCAGTTGACTGGTTTAGAGAGCCAAGCTCTGTGTACCTCCGTCAACACATGCCCTGGCACCGTGCATATTATCTCTCTCTCTGTTATTCTCTATATCGGCAACTCTGTTTCCATCTGTTCTCTTGTTTGTGTACGTGTCTATGACACTGAGTATTTTGTATGGGGTAATCATGTCTCTCTCTCTCTCCTGCTTCGTATCATTGAATGTCATGAGGTTTAATTCATTTAGTGTTTTCATTTAACTCATATCTCAGCTTCGGAATTAGTCAGGCGCCTTATCACAGGACTTTCTCTATCTCCGCTCAGTGTCTCCCAAGATAAGGGCTCCACGTGTACTCACCTAGTTGTACTCACTTAGTTGTGCTTGCGGGGTTGAGCTCTGGCTCTTTGGTCCCGCCTCTCAACTGTTAATCAACTAATAACAACACACACACACACACACACACACACACACACACACACACACACACACACACACACACACACACACACACACACACACACACACACACACACACACACACACACACACACACACACACACACACACACTGTGTGTGTGTGTGAGGTACACATGTAAACACAAGACCCACCGCCCAGCGTCTAATCAAACCTCTGCCCTTCCCCTCGTCTCCCCCGCCAGGAGGTCCTCGAGGTGTACCACAGGTGCTCCCAGAGGAGAAGTGCGTCACTCGAAGTGGAACACTCAAGTGTTCTCCACACTCGCTTTCCACCCCCCCCCCCTCCCACCACCCTCCGAGTGAACTGGTGGGAGATAGAGAGAAAGATGCCTTGTACGAGAGGAGAGAGAGAGAAGAGAGACGAGAGAGAGATCCGAGAGAGAGAGAGAGAGGAGTATAAAAGGAGCTATGCGGAGACTGCGAGGCGATGTATTACGGCTCGGAGAGGGAGAGAGAGAGAGAGAGAGAGAGAGAGAGAGAGAGAGAGAGAGAGAGAGAGAGAGAGAGAGAGAGAATAAAGAAGGGCACACGTATTGACTCTTTCCTCGTCACGTCAAAGGACGCTGCGTACGCATGATGTTCACTGCGTCAGATGTTAACGATGAGCCAGGATTATAACATGGAGAATACCAGTTGTGTTACATCACACCACTCATCACACTCGGCTCAGGATCTCGGCTCAGTCTCAGTATAAGGACAGCGGCTATAGGGAGTCCCGGGCGAGGGGGCAAGAACGTGGGAATGTAAGGTGGGAGGGGGGGGCCAGCGGGTGAGCACAGGTGCTCACGGCACCTGTAAACGACACATACAGATGTTCGTGTTGATGGTAATGAACTTGGCACAAAGAGTTAGCAATGTGGCCACGCTTGGCCATGATGCATGTGGGTCAGCAGGTGAGGGATGCACACCGGGTGATGACCTCTGGTGGAGAGTAGCAGCTGCTGCTGCTGCCTCCCCAACACTCCCCCACACCCTTTCTCCCCCCACCCCACACCCTGCCTCTCCCACACTACCCCACACCCTCTCCCCCCCACACTGCTGCCCCCCACACCCCGCCTCCCCCACAACTCCCCCACACCCTGCCTCCCCCCCACAACTCCCCCAACACCCTGCCTCCCCCCAACTCCCCAACACCCCTGCCTCCCCCACAACTCCCCAACACCCCGCCTCCCCCACAACTCCCCAACACCCTGCCTCCCCCACAACTCCCCAACACCCCGCCTCCCCAACAACTCCCCAACACCCCGCCTCCCCCACACTCCCCCCACCCCGCCTCCCCCACACTATACTACCAACACTTGAGGAAAGATGCGTACGTGTCTGTACTCACCTAGTTGTGCTTGCGGGGGTTGAGGTTCAGCTCTTTGGTCCCGCCTCTCAACTGTCAATCAACTAGTGTACAGATTCCCGAGCCAACAATAAATTCTTATTGGAAACATGAGTTAGAGTATATGTGAACACACCAACATCGCCTCACACCTTTGTTGTTCTATCTTGTGGCGTCATTATTTAATGTTGACCGTTGCTGAGCAAGAGCATCACCTGGCGCATGTTGCTTCCACTTCTGCCTCTTGCAATATGCTCACCTCCCCTCCCCCTCCCCCCCCCCCCCTCTTCCCCCCGTCGGTGTATTATGTTGAATTTGGTTTAGTTATTTGTCATAATTATTACCGGTGGTTATTATGATTCCTCTTAATTATCATAATTATCAGCCTTAGATGTGTGCTGGGAATTCGTGACCTTGACACAATGTCTGTTTGTAACATTATATGTTATTACCCTCCACTGTACCTCCCCCCCCCTGGACATTCCCCTCCCCTCCCCTCCCCCTCCCCTCCCTCCCCTCCTCCCCTCCCCTCCCCTCGTCCTCATCCTTTTCCCTCTCTTTCATAACCTTCTCTCCTTCACCTCCCCTTACTACTATCCACTTCACTTCCTTATTCCCCTTCCTCTTTCTCCCCGTCTCTTCTCCTCCCCCCCCCTACCACTCGTTACCCATCCCCCCCTTCCGCCCCTCCTGACCTCCCCAACTCTTCTCTCTTCATTACCCTAACTCTCCCTATCCAATTCTCTCTTTTTCTCCTGTATCTCCTCCTTCTCCTGTGTCTCCTCCTTCTCCTCCTTCTGTGTCTCCTCCTCCTTCTGTGTCTCTTCCTCCTCCTGTGTCTCCTCCTCCTCCTGTGTCTCCTCCTCCTCCTGGTCGCCTCCTCCTCCTGTTAACTGCCCGTCTGCCCCATTTCCTGGTCAACAGGGACCCTGGGTGACGGTACTGAACCAGCTGAGCGATGTATGAGGTCACCGTCATACAGGTTCTTTTACCCCGCCGCCGCCGCCATACCGGGGAAGAACCAACAGATGCCTGAGCACCTGTTAGTCTAGGCATGCAGGTGCGGCTGCTAAGTTCCTACATAGCACCGGATACATGCTAAAACGGGGTGGTGGGGGTGGGGGGGGGTGCGTCGACACAGGTGCGGGAGCGGCCACATACATATGTTTCAGGGACGAAGCTTGCTTCCACAGTTGGAAGGAACAGCTTGATGAAGCAGTGCGCGCGCGTGTGTGTGCTTGTGTGTGTGTGTGTGTGGGGTTCCCGCTGGTAGCTTGGATGCCCCTGGCTTACAAACAATTCATGACACAACATTCCAACTCGTCAACTCTTAATTAATTGCATTCGCTTAGGACAAGCTCAATTATCATTGATTCACAGTTGTTATTGATATGTTTCAAGGAAAAGGAAATTAATTAGTGTTTGTTGTTTGTTTGTGTGTGCAGGTTGGTGAGTGTGTGACGTCACTGGGACTCCTGCCTCCGGCATGTGTGTACCTCGCTTGTGAACCAAACTACAGATGGTGAGTTGATATTATCCACTGTTTTACTCTTCTTGCAGGTCAATGCTATATAAATATTGGGGGGGTCCATTGACCATATTACGGGCTATTCATGCCCGTGCCACCTCTTGGGTGGCTTAATCTTGATCAATCAATTGACCATATTTGCTCCATACACAAGTCTGCAACTCGGGTTAATGATGACTTACACCTTTCTTATTTTTTATCTGGGGGTTCCCTCCTGCAGCCAGCCAAGATGGGTGAAGAGTGGGACATCGACTCCATCAAGGAGGAGGGGTGGCAGGAGCGGGCCGTGTACCTGGTCCCTGACACGCCTACTGAAGACAACTGCCCCAACCATGCCACGCTCTCCCTGCCCCGCAACCTGGTCCTCAAGGACTCCGAGGCCATCGCTGACGTGAGTACCTGCAGCTCTTTATCGCTGCCTTCCTCCTACATGTTGTACTTGACGTCTAGCGAGGCTCTTATCTAGCGAGTCTCTTATCTAGCGAGTCTCTTACTTAGCGAGTCTCTTATCTAGCGAGTCTCTTATCTAGCGAGTCTCTTACTTAGCGAGTCTCTTATCTAGCGAGTCTCTTACCTAGCGAGTCTCTTAACTAGCGAGTCTCTTATCTAGCGAGTCTCTTATCTAGCGAGTCTCTTATCTAGCGAGTCTCTTATCTAGCGAGTCTCTTATCTAGCGAGTCTCTTAACTAGCGAGTCTCTTATCTAGCGAGTCTCTTAACTAGCGAGTCTCTTATCTAGCGAGTCTCTTAACTAGTGAGTCTCTTATCTAGCGAGTCTCTTACCTAGCGAGTCTCTTATCTAGCGAGGCTCTTATCTAGCGAGTCTCTTATCTAGCGAGTCTCTTACCTAGCGAGTCTCTTACTTAGCGAGTCTCTTACTTAGCGAGTCTCTTATCTAGCGAGTCTCTTACCTAGCGAGTCTCTTATCTAGCGAGTCTCGCTGCATAGGTTTCAAATCTAACTCAGACAACCACAAGTCATTTTTAAGGAAATCCATATTTCCAATGTCTCGGCTATGTTGAAATGTTATGGTAGTGCAGCACTCTGGACTATGAGTGTTGCTGTGAGGCGTGAGTGAGGTGCTGACGCAGAGAACATATTTGTCGGCAGGTGTTGGGCATCTGGAGCACCGACTACATCCCTCGGGGCACGCGCTTCGGACCCCTCGTCGGCCAGTGCTACGCCAAGGACCAGGTTCCCGAGACGGCTAATCGCAAATACTTCTGGCGGGTAGGTCTTCAGGCTCCCAGTGATCCTTTACATCTCTCTGGTGGTGGTGGTAGTGGTGCTCTCACTATATGAAATCAACTCCTAAGATCCCCTTTTTTTTGTTGTTAAAAGTTCAATTAGTTTATGTAATAATGTGTGCAATAGAGTGTCTTTTTGATAGACCAAGGTGATGGTTGGTGGTGATTGTAATATATACATGGGTGGTGACGTCACGGCTTGCTGGTGATTGGTTCTCTCTCCTCTTGTTTCTATAGGTGGATGTGGGCGAGGGGAAGCAAGTGGAGGTAATTGGTTCTGTACTCTTGGCATGCTTGCCTTCTTTCACCTCTCTTGGTGCCTCTCTCTTGCTTGTGCCTTTAATTAACCTGATATTAACCGTGATAATATGAGCCAATAAGCACGTCTCTTGCATGTATCATCTCTCTCACACTGACCGTGTCAGCTACAAGCTTCTGCATGTATCATCCCCCCCCCCCTCTCACACTATACAAGTCAGCCACAAGCATTACATCAGCTTTGTTTTGCTTGCTGCACCATGACCCTTCGTGTAATCCTCTGCCGCATGTGCACCACTCAGTGGAGTGATAACACCTGTGCATCTCTCTCTCTAAATGTTTGCAAAGTGTAAATGATTCTATATATAACATATTCAGCATGAGCAATCGTACCGGCACATATAACACAAAAATGTTCACCTGATCCAGACTTGACCTGTATACACCTGCTCCAGACGTGATCTGTATACACCTGCTCCAGACGTGACCTGTACACACCTGCAAAGCAGGTTCCTCGTATGTTTGTTGGCCTTGCTTCCTTCACAGTTGCTCCCTGGAGTGTGTAGTGTACTGTAGTAATTACGATCACTATAGGCTTCTTGTACAAGGGCCGGTAGGCTAGCTGCTGTGTTCCCTCTCTTGTTGTCATGTAATGCCCCTCTTCCACTGTCATGATGCAAGCATGCACACACACACACACCTATGTGCATGCACGCTCGCACTCATACACATGCACACGCACACATATACACATGCACACGCACACATATACACATGCGCGCGCACGCATATACATATGTGCACGCATACATGCACACACACACACACACACACACACACACACACACACACACACACACACACACACACACACACACACACACACACACACACACACACACACATTCTCCCCTAATAACATCAACATTAGCCTACCATTCATCTCCAGTTTCCTGTCCGCTCTCCCCCCCCCCCTAACCCCCCCATTCCCCACGTGTGTCACTAAGGCTCAGTGTTCCCACAGGTGTACCGGGGAGATGAACTCTACTACTACATCGACGGCTACGACACCACCAAAGCCAACTGGATGCGCTACGTCAACCCCGCCTACAGCTCCGAGGCCCAGAACCTCATCGCCTGCCAGTATCAGGTCAGCCTCGAGGGCTTGGTCCCGTGTCTCACTGTTGGGGTCCAAGCAATAGCTGTCAGCAGGGATTTTGCCCCAATAGTCAAGGGGGCCAATGTTGAAATGGCTTCTTTGCAAATCACAGAAATTTATGATTTTTAAAACAATAAATTTGAGCTTTTTCTGTACAACTTAAATATATTTTGGATATTTTTTCAAGTAAAATGTTTAAAAAATCAACGTTTGAAGATGTTTCTCTACGAGCCGTGATGACATGGATGTTTCTCCTCCAACAGTCAAACATCTACTTCTACACCATCAAGCCCATCCTGCCCGACAAGGAGCTGCTGGTGTGGTACTGTCGGGAGTTCGCCACCAGACTCAACTACCCGCTCACCGGGGAACAGATGCTCGACAAGATCCGTAAGTGCCGTTGCCCGCGCCTCCGTGGACGGTGGACTGCGCGACACTGGGCTCCCTCGCGCGGGAAGTGTGAGGGAGCTCACTGTAGCACAGATCTGCTTGGAGTAGTCCTGTCTTGTTCTTTGACCACAGTCTTCTCGTACATTATTATTTAATTGAAGAGGCTCCTATATATAAATCAATACATGTGGCTCCTGGAGATTTCACTTCTATAAGCCGCTAATGTTTGTTGTTTTGACTACAGGCCAGCAAGTGGGCGACCCGGAAGTGAAGGAGGAGCCCGAGACGGTGATGGCGGGCAAGACTCCGGCAGCGTCCCCGGCGGCGTCCTCCACCACGGCAGCCTCGCCCCCCATCGCGTCCCCCACCCAGTTTGAGGCGAGGCTCGGCCAGCTGACCCCGACGGACGGGTCCGTGAGGTCAGACGAAGGGTACGACAGCAACGGATATCATCATGACTTTAATATGCCAGAAGATTCTTCCGACTCTGAAGGCGATAATAACTATGTCCTAGATTTTAGGTAATTTTATATAGAGATATATATACATACATTCAAGTATTTTTTTCCTTGGAATACAAGAATGAGCTTTTACTGGAGTTCATTTTGATTAACGATAATATTTTTTTACATTATTTTTGCAGTAAAAAGAAGAGGAAGGAATCTCCCACTCAGGATGAAGAAGCTGACCTGCGAAATGAATACAGAAAAGTAAAAATCAAGATGCCACGAGCGTACCACTACCGCTCTAAGTCCACAGGATCTGACTCTTCGGAGAAGGAGAAGTCAGCGTCGCCGCCGCTGGATTGTCAGCAGGCGGTGGCTGACACCCAGGTGATGCCCCTGCTGGAGCCCCAGTCACAGTCTCTGCCACAGTCAGTGCAGCCGGCAGTGCCGCGACCCACCACCACCACCACCTCCGTCCATCCTGGTAAACGCAACTCTCAAGAATCATCGCCCAGTCGCCGGTCTCCGTCATACGTAGCCCCCGCACGCTACTCGCCCTTCATGGAGCAGACTCCTAGGGTGGACTCTGTCATGGAGAAGGAGCAGCGGCCTGAGAGTACACAGAACCAAACCACTCGGAGGTACCCCCTTCCAGACCAGACCATTCATCAAGCTCTGGAAGTACTCCGTCCCACTGAGGTCCTCCGCCCAACAGAAGCACCCCGTCCTGACGCCAGAACTAGCCAGGTATTCCCAGACTCCCGCATGCCGGTTCTGCCGGACACTGCCCTGTCCTGTATCACCATCACCAAGCAACAGATGTCTCCTGACACCCGGCAGCCACCTATGCCAGACACTCGTATGGGTCTGCCCCCGGTGGTTCGTCTGCCACTGCCACATGACTCACGGCTGACCCAGGGGCGCCTTCCATTGCCACCGATGACACGTCTGCCGGGCTTGCCCTCCAGTATCACCAGTATGACTCCACGCCTGCCTGTCATGCCACCTCAGGACCCACGTATCACCGTCGCCCCCGACCCGCGCCTACCTGTGCCACCTGACACCAGACACACTATGCAGCCTGACACACGACACCCAGGGCCACAAGACACAAGACACCTTCTCTCAGCTGACACCAGACTCCCGGTGCCACCTGACACTCAAATGGTATCTCCTCGTCCCTCTGGGTCCATCTTGGAGAATATTCTTTTAAGGCGACTAGGGGGGAAGGATGAAGCAGACACTACGCACTCCTCGACCACTTCTCACAGGGATCTGAAGGAGCCCGTCCACATTGCTGTGCCCAGCGATGCCCACTACAAGCCTGACAGTGCCACAAGCAGCTCGGGACCTTCGCATGATTTCCTCTACAAACGAAATTATTGTAGTTCAGATTCCAGCCAACAGATCTCTCCAGATTCCTCGTCGACGCCCCAAAAGTCCGGTTCCGGGTGCTCCACTTCCTACCACCCACCGCCGCAGGTGTCTTACGCCGTCCAGGCACCAGTCACCAACTCCACCTACCGCACACCTGTCTCCCAGATGTTCTCATCACCACATTTTAACATGTATTCCTATAATGGCTACAATGGGAGTAACACCAATGGCTTCCCTCCAGGAAGCCAGGGTTCTATGCCAATGGATCATCGCCTGACCATTTCCATCCCCACGACAGCATCAGGACATTCTCCGCCCTCCAGCAATTCCTCTCATTCGTCGCAGGGGTCACCGTCCTCGCAGGGCTCCACCTCGCCAACAAACGGCAACAGGGGCTACCGCTCCCTTCCCTATCCACTGCAAAAAAAGGATGGTAAGATGCATTACGAGTGCAATGTGTGTTTCAAAACATTCGGTCAACTGTCCAATTTAAAAGTGCATCTTAGAACTCACTCTGGGGAGCGACCCTTCAAGTGTAATGTTTGTATCAAGAGTTTTACCCAGTTAGCGCATTTACAAAAGCACCACCTCGTTCACACCGGTGAGAAACCTCACCAGTGTGACATATGCAAAAAGAGATTTAGCTCCACCTCAAATCTGAAGACTCATATGAGGCTACACTCTGGGCAGAAGCCGTATGCCTGCGATCTATGCCCAGCCAAATTCACCCAGTTCGTTCACCTCAAGTTGCACAAGAGATTACACACCAACGAGCGGCCCTACACGTGTAATACCTGCAATAAGAAATATATCAGTGCTTCTGGTCTCAGGTAAGGCAACATAACATTTATGTTTTTTGTAAATTAGTCTTAGCAATCAAACAGACATATTCAGGCTATAGGAATTCTTAATGAGTAAAGGGACATATAAGAAAATTAACATTGGAAATCAAAATAAAGTTTGGTGTGTGTGTGTGAGAGAGAAAGAGAGAGGGAGGTTGTGTGCATGTATATGTGGCGATGACTGCATTCTTTCCCACACTAACTACATGTTTTGCTCAGGACACACTGGAAGACGACGAGCTGTAAGCCGTCCACCCCTGAGGAGGAGCTGGCGGTGGAGAGGTCCCCGACGGGGTCCTCGGGAGGATACGACTACTGTCCCTCCATCGCCTCAGGTAAGACACTCCTCTTTATCTTGCTTCCCTTCTCCGCCTGTCTTCATCAAAGTGCATGTTCGGGAGGCAGATACTTCCACTTTTGTGGTTTTTTTCTTTCATCGCAATTTTCACAAAATTCTGTTTTTGACCCCCTCCCCCGTCGCTTACCTTCATGGAAATACAAAATTTTAGCTAAAAACTATTTAGATATTAGTGTACCTTTTTGTATAGATGACTGTGAGATGCTTAATACTTTACATAAACGTTCATTTTCCTGGTACAGGGAGCAGCCTGGATACGGTGGACACGAGCAGTATGGACGGGATGCAAACGTCCCCGAGACACGACCTTCATGATTCTGGCGACTACGACCCTAAGAGCCCGTCCTACATGATCCCGGAGGAGCTGATCAAGCAGTCACAAGAGGAGTTCAAATCCTACAACCAAGAAATCAAGTGTGAATCCGACACCAGACCCTCAGTGATCGAATCCTCCGCTCATCATGCAATTGAGTGCACTTAAAAACTCTGTGATGCAACGTAAGCGTGTTACTCGTGTTTGAAGTACCTTTTTATTTTAGACAAGTGAGGTGAAATCTCATGGCAGACCGTGACGACGCCTAGCCTCCAGTGCAGAAAATGTGGAGACTTGCGTCACTCATCCGAACTCTCAGGAGTGGATACAAAAACAAAACAAAGAAACTCTAGTTTCGGTGCATCACTGGCGTTTGGCATTCTTTGCGAGTGTCGTGGAGGGACTTACAGGCGAGGCACTCCACACACACACTCACATACACCCCGCCAGTATTGAACGAGAGGCGAGAGAGTGGCCGAGACAGAACACACACACATTGGTGTAGTCGGTGTCACAAGCCAAGAGGACTCGATTGACCTGCCTAACGTAACCACACTAATTTCCATTGACTTCACAAACAGAAGTACTGACCCTTGAACTGGCTGGCTTCTCTCAAACTTGACCACAAAATGAAAAAAATCAAACATATCTAACCTTCAATTCCAGTATCGGCATTATCTTTTTTTTGTTTTTGTTGTATTTATAATTTGTTGTTCGTGTGTTGACAGTGGCATTTATAACCAGTCAAGATTTGTGTTCGCTCCGGCAAAACGGGACGAGGGGTCACCACATATATCAAATTTTAGCTTTAGCGCGTAGTTAATGATGGCTACACACACACACACACACACACACACACACACACACACACACACACACACACACACACACACACACACACACACACACACACACACACACTCTCTTATAAACGCAAAGACAAAACGAACTATTTAGCGTTTGATATAAGCAGATCCTGACACGAACTGACATTATAATGTCTGAAAAAGTCACCATAATGACTGACACAACTGACACCATAATGACTGACACAACTGACACTATAATGACTGTGACACTATAATGACGTGTCACTATAATGACAGTGACACTATAATGACAGTGACACTATAATGACTGTGACACTATAATAACTGTGACACTATAATGACAGTGACACTATAATGACAGTGACACTATAATGACAGTGACACTATAATGACAGTGACACTATAATGACTGTGACACTATAATGACTGTGACACTATAATGACTGTGACACTATAATGACTGTGACACTATAATGACTGTGACACTATAATGACTGTGACACAATACTGACAGTAACTACGGTGACTGACACTACACAGACTGTGACACCATAGCCACTGTGACAACTCCTCTACTTCAACACATGCTCCCCCTCCCCTTTCCCCTCTCCCCTATCTTCCTCCTATTCCCACCTATCTTCCCCTTATGCCTCCCCCCTTCCCCTAAGGGGGTGCTCTTAGACCTCTCTGTCTTTCCAAACTCTAAGATCCTCGTTTCCCGACGAGGCTCCACTTTCATTGTAATGCTCAATTTTGTGGCAATTATAGTAGATAACGACCCAACTAGACGGAGAGTGGCTTGATAACAGTGCTGACCTCTCAGAACAGTATTGACCCCTCGGTGACCCGCAGCCAGGCGAAGGCAGCTGACCTCTAAGGGCTTATTAATTTTCCCATATCTCGTCTGCATGCTCAATATTTTGGTGACCTGACTTGGGGTCAAGATTCGCGTGACCTTTCTTCGCACCGTCCATAGTGATTACTGAGGTATTTGGGTACCCTCCGTGTTTGGGTACGCTCTATGTTTGGGTACCCCACCGTGTTTGGGTACCCCATCGTGTTTGGGTACCCTCTGTGTCTGGGTACCCTCCGTGTCTGGGTATGGTCTAGGTGTTGATGGGGCTTCCTGAAGGAGTGGACAAAGGTATGTACGTCCACTCTCTGGAGGTGCCAATCATGCCTACACAGGAATGAGAGGTACTCATATGTATACCGTCTACACTAAGCCTTCTCCACACTCCTGACCCCTTAGCGTCAGGGTGTGGAGCGTCTGGTGTTCCGGTGGATGGGGACCACTACCCATGTGTCCACTGGTAGATTGGTGGTATCTCGCCTATCCACTGGTGGAGTATAGGTATCTCGCCTGTCAATGTGCCTCTTCAATCCTCACTGTATAAATTGTATAGTTCAAATTTTGTATAAATGTACATATTATTTAATTTATTATTATTATTTTCCAAATGGAAATCACTAATGACTGTGATTTTAGAAAAGTACAGTACAGACTGATTCAGGATAGGACACTGTCTATTATATTAAACACGTAGAGAGGCGACACAGTTTGTCTGTCTGTTATCCCTGTGTGTCTTGTGCTCTTCTTCCCCTTGTCTCGTAGTCAGGGTATCAAGTTATTGTTATGCATTAGCTGTGGACGTCCTCCCACCGATTCAGTGATAGCGTGTCTTGTCGACTTGGCTCAAGGTCCACTTCACAGACACCTGTACACTTAAAAATATATATGTGTAATGGGGGGATGACTTCCAGTTTGATATACAAAAAATATATAGTTTTATTTGTTAACGTTGGATTGGGGGGCAATTTTCTAATTAAAGTTTTTTTTTAAGGACAATCTTTAATGTCAAGAAAGGTTTTATCTTAGAACTTTTTGAAAGGGGATATTTGATTCTCATTTCAAGAAGTTATTTTGTTAATTTATATCATTTATTTCTCAAAAAAAAAGGGACGGTCTGTAGAAAGTTTATAGAGAGCTTTCTGTTTTGTTTCTAAATTAGAGACGATCGAATACCCTCCACAGGCATTCAAGCAGTGCAATACACACACATTCTCATACCACATGGCGAAGGACTGACACGGTGGCACTAAGCAATACAACATACCTGTAGGACCCAGTGGGTTTCTCCTCCCCGGCGTGTGTTCCATTGATGAGTACAAAACCCCCCACTTTATACGCCTTCAAGAGGAAAAATCTTATTTTGTTTTTTTTTCTGTTTAAAGGTTCCTAGGTGTGTTTATACGTTTATGCCTAAGTAATAAATGGCAGAATAATTTATTTTTAGTCTAACATACATACACACACACACACACACACACACACACACACACACACACACACACACACACACACACACATGGGTCCACACACACCTGAACACACACACATACATGCACACGCAGATTACGTAGGTAATGACACCATATTGACCTGAAAACATGAAATTATAAAACCAAATTATCTTAGGTAATTACACGCACAAACAAACACACACACAAACAAACACACACACACAACAAACAAACACACAACAAACAAACAAACACACACACAAACACAACAACAAACACACACACAAACAAACACACACAACAAACAAACACACATGTCGTTGCACATGATCTCAGACCTTATATTAATATTCTGCTTAATAGTTTCTTCACTTCGAGAGTAAGTTCTTCGATACAAATTGGATATTTATTCAAATTATATTTATTCAAATTATTCCAAACTGTTTGTACAAATTGCTGTTTTTGTTTCATATATAAGCCTAACAGGATGGCATTTGATAGATTACTGTAAATTTATATTTGCTCTGAATCGTCTCTGTGAGAAAACTACATTATCTTCATATAGGTTCCTCTTTCTCTTCTTCAAGACAGTGTGAGAAATAGTTTATTTGCTAACTTATATTATTTATTTTTGTACGTGTGCCCATCTTCCATCTGCGTTACAAATCATGCTCATTCAAGTCGGCATTAGCGAGTGCAACAACCCCACACACACATACCAGAGTGCACAACTTCAGTATTAAAGTGTCTGATTACGAATCCAGAGTGCAGAGTTGTCTTTGGTTGTTCTGGACGATGATTGTTAATTGTTGTTATTATATATATATATATATATATATATATATATATATATATATATATATATATATATATATATATATATATATATATATATATATATATATATATATAATATATATATATATTTTTTGTCCAAACTCTCATAGTGATAGCCGTTCACAGCCAGCACGAAGCTCTGCACTATTTTTATATTAACAATTAATATCATATTGATATTATAAGGTGGAAGGTGCTGGCGTTTGCCCTCGTGACGTAGGCACGAGACCAGATGTTGTATAACAAGAGATATTTAAATAAATGGAACAAAAATAAAAAATTTACTAAACACTTTCTTTGCTTATCCATTCTGTGTCCGCCATGGTGCCCCAGTGCCCCGGTGCCCTGGTTGAGGGCACCGTGATGTCAAGACTGGTCAGGGATGGTCCTCTTTAAAGCTTACCCATTCCTCAGTGAGAAAGCTTACCCATTCCTCAGTGAGAAAGCTTACCCATTCCTCAGTGAGAAAGCTTACCCATTCCTCAGTGAGTATATGTACTACGACCCCTAATTTTTTTAGTTTTGTTTTTCTCCTCCACCTGTTACATTGATGCTTGGTATCCTGAGTGGGTATTCTGTACAGGCATGTCCTATCTTATTGCTCACCGGGACAGTAACTGCCTTGACGGGCACTGACGGTCTACACAACGACTGTCCAAATATATCGTTTGGTTCAGTTTACCATACAGCTGTCAACATTAGGGATATGTGCATATTCATGGATGGTAAGATCGTTTAATTTTATTACACAAGGTGTAAACTGTCGTTAAATAATAACAAACTCATTCATCGTGGACAATATTGACAAGATGCGAGGCGCAGAATAATATGTATATATATACATTGTTTATAGGTATACAGAGGCCCATTACCGCCGCCACACACAGGTGTACAGAGTGGTAGGTGCTGCTAGAGTGAGCCCCGAGCACACCAGGAAGCACGAGTGCACTGATCACTGTGAGAGGTGTGTGTGTGTGTGTGTGTGTACTCACCTAATTGTACTCACCTAATTGTGCTTGCGGGGGTTGAGCTCTGGCTCTTTGGTCCCGCCTCTCAACCGTCAATCAACTGGTGTACAGATTCCTGAGCCTATTGGGCTCTATCATATCTACATTTGAAACTGTGAATGGAGTCAGCCTCCACCACATCACTTCCTAATGCATTCCATTTGCTAACTACTCTGACACTGAAAAAGTTCTTTCTAACGTCTCTGTGGCTCATTTGGGTACTCAGCTTCCACCTGTGTCCCCTTGTTCGCGTCCCACCAGTGTTGAAAAGTTCATCCTTGTTTACCCGGTCGATTCCCCTGAGGATTTTGTAGGTTGTTATTGTGTGTGTGTGTGTGTGTGTGTGTGTGTGTGTGTGTGTGTGTGTGTGTGTGTGTGTGTGTGTGTGTGTGTGTGACAGTGTGGTGAGTGTACACACCACACACATCGTGAAGGAAGTGATGGCAGCCACACGGTAAGTTGGCGCACATTTCTCACGTGAAAATGGCGTGTGAAAATCTGTGATTTTCCATGTTTGAGAACAACTTAAGGGAAACTAAGACATCAACGACTTGTTGCAATTATTTTCAAGTCCTTGTAGCGGCTTCTTGAAGGAGAATTACCATAGAAATACGAAGACAACTCTGGTGATCTTAGAAAACATTGCGATTGTATGAGGTCCGGTTACTGTGACAGTTGAGGTGTTCTTCACAGGCGAGGCTAGATGGCGTGACCAGCAGCTGGTCAGCTGTTTTTTACAGCTAAAGAAGATATCAGTCATCAAACACACAGCATGCATCATTAAAGCCTTCAAATCACCTTTGATCTTACACGCTTGGGCTGGACGGTAGAGGAACGGTCTCCATTCGTTCAATCTCCGATCGTCCTAATAGTTGGGCGCCATTCCTTCCCCCACCCTCTCGCCCCATCACAAATCTTTATCCTGATTCCTTCCAAGTGCTGTATGGTCTTAATGGCTTGGTGCTTTCTCCTGAAAGTCCCTTCCCCACAACGCTATACTTCGGAAGCTTTTGCGCGTTGCGACAGAGACTTGAAAACATAATAATATGCTAGGAAGACACGGCTGAAAGGCTTTCAGAAGTCGGTAGATGTGCGCCGTCTGATTTTTTCTGCCTGCTGCAGCATTTGCTTCTGGACGCCCTGGAGCCACGCCCTCTTGATGGCGGGAGTGTTGGCGCGGAACTCGTAGGTGACGGGATCCCTCCCACCTCCCTGACGGACCTCCAACTTGAAAGCCACGTCGGAGGTGGTGGGAGGGCCCAGGTTGACCTGGTCCAGCCAAATGTCCCACGTATACTCGTAGAACGGTGGCTTCGGCTTGGTTAGGATGATGATCTTCTCAAACAATAAAGCGAAATATAATCCTCCGCGTACCTCCTTCTTCCGCGTTTTCACGTCCATTTTATCGTGACGAATTATGTTGCCACTTCTGTAAAAATCTACTCGACCATTTATGATTGCGTCAGTAAGAAGCCGGATCTGGGCCTTTCGTACATAATTTTTTATGTGATCCAGCGTCTGTTGAGCCGACTCTCGCAGGGCTGAACTTAGGCATATCTGTCGTAGCCATATCACGTAGAAGGTGAGGTGCTGAACGGGTGAGATGTATAGTCTGGAATCGGTGCTGGTGTCCAACTGCGTGACCATTTGACTGCGAACAACCAGGTAGTCGATGTAGACGCTAAACGAATCAATATTTTCTAAGAATCCGCGAAGAATGTCGTGCGCAAAGCGTGATCTTTCGAGACAAGGAAGGAAAAGTTTGCCGTGAAGCTGATACAGTTTTTCCAAAAGAGAGCAAAGTCTGACCGGAGGCATTATAGTGTCTGGGTTTAGAAGAGAAGAAAGGTGACGCACATACGCCTTCTCCTGGTAAATCAGTTGTAAACAAGACTCTTCAATGGAAACTGGTGTTGGGTTCACAGAGTCCTCCTGCGTCAAGGCCGACATCAGGTGCGGATATTCGGTGAAAATGTTCAGAGGGAACATCTGGGACTGAGCCTGCATGGAAAAAATATCTGTTTGGGGATTTTCCCGATGGACAGATGGTTCGTTCTGCAGCACAATTTTCTGTAGCTCTTTAATCCATTCGTCGCGGAGGAATGTACTTTTGGCCTTGAACTTCATAGTGAGTCTCTGACATTGCCCCTCAGTGAGGGCGTGCAGGATGAACTCGCTCTCCCCCACGGCCTCCACCTCCTCCAGCTGCTCCGCCCGATAGTGAACCTTGTACTTGAAGAATTCCATCTTTGAAGACGTGATAACCAGCAAGTTTTCAAATAATATTACATTGTATTTCTTCTTCTGGAGCGAGCTTCCACCAAGGCACAGAAGCTCTCCAATCTGCAAGACATCGCCACCGAGTCTGAGGTCGACCGGGCTGTTGAAGACTGTAGCGATGGTCATGATGGTGTTGGCTTCACGCTTCAGCTGGTTCAGGTAGTCTCTGGCAGAATCCAATTCCGCCTTTTCCTTTTCCGATGCTTCTTTTTTGAAGCCCTCTAGCATCATCACATAAAAATTTATCCGCATAGACGGCTTCAGTATATTTCTCTTCAGATCGGGAAAATTTTCCTCAAAGTAAACCGAATATCGACTGAAATCTTTCTGGACAGTTGGGGTCATTATCATGTAACGATTATACGAATGGAATTGGTCGTTTCTAAACGCTTGTACCAATAATGTTGGATCGCCATTTGTCTCCTTCAGAGCATCATACAATTCAACCTGAAAGTGATATATTATTTCCATCTGCTTAAAGAAAACATCAAAATGCTGACGGATATGTGGAGGCGTTGTCTCACACATCATCTTATACGTGCTCAACATATTTTGAAGACACTTCAAATATTCATTTTCGTTCACCAATAAATACGAAAAGTGGCTACTGCACAAATCCGCTTCCTTCGAGACGTTGCCGACCATTCCAAGTCTGTTCGGGAGGCACTCGAACACACTGGAGCCACTGTCCCACGAGTACAGGGACTTGGTGCGTGTGAGGCCAGCACCCTCCTCGCAGCTCTCGTGTATAGAGCGGAGGTTGTCTCTCAGCTCCCCGCGAGGCTTCACCTGGCGGCCGTCGCTGCTGCTGCTGCTGCTGCTCGATTGGGAAGATTCCGGGTCCTCAGCGTCCCTGAGAATACACGAGGGTCAGTCTGATATAAACATTGGAGAACATTTTATTGTCATGTGATCTTTAGATTTTGAAGTGGAGTAACAAGGTACCGGTAAAGTGTTTGATAATCAGACCAGGGGCAGGACTCACCAAGCAGCTACGAAGGTACCTACAAACATGTAATCTCTTCTCAACCTTTGACGGCTTTGTTTACACTTATTAAACAGTTTTCGAGCCTCCATGTCTGGAGGAGGCCAAACAAAGCCCAAAGTCCATTCCATGCACCCGCCAAACCCCCTGTTTATGAATGAAAAATGGTTTACACACGACTCACAACTGATTTCGTTCGAACACTTCCGGAACAAGTGCTTCACTGACGAATTTTGTTTGAACCACAACTCTATAAATGCCTCACCCACGTACTACAAATACAAATAATCGTCAACAGAACCTAAACACCTAACCTAACCTATGCCTATATGTGCACAATATGCTAATATTTTATAATATTAATTTATATTTGAGAAAATGAGAAAATTCCTGTTTAGAGTGAACAGCATGTAAAAATTTATGAATGCGTTTGTGGGGGCGACCGCTGGATGTAATGGACTTGGTCTGAGGACGGGTTGGTTCCAGAAATGCTCGAACGTCATCAGTTGTGAATTGTGTATAAACCGTTTTTCATAAATAAACAAGAGGTTTGGCCACTGTATGAACCAGCTTTTGGCCTTTGTTGATGAGGACGGGCTCGTATAAACAGCTTGCTAGTGCTACGGAACTCTTAAGTGTTCAGTAAATGTAAACAAAGCCGTCAAAGAATAATAAAAAAGGAACTAATTCACGAGGCATAGGCTATTCTGTTTATTAGAAACTCCGGCATGAGATAGAGGTAATAATCCCTGCTTCAGGAACCTGTGGAATAGGGAATAGTCGCCCTGCTTCAAATGCCCAAACATGTGACAATGGTAACCCTGGTTTAGGGAGAGAGAAGCCTTAAATCAGAAGATAGTAAATACAGAATATGCGGTCATATTCAATGAGACATGTTTAAAAGAAAACCTGCTGCCAGTATACACCAATATATATATATATATATATATATATATATATATATATATATATATATATATATATATATATATATATATATATATATATATATATATATATATATATATATATATATATATATATGATGATATATATATATATATATATATATATATATATATATATATATATATATATATATATATTGGTGTATACTATGGTGTATACTATTGGTGTATTGATATATATATATATATATATATATATATATATATATATATATATATATATATATATGCGAACAAGCCTGAATGGTCCCCAGGACAATAATATATATATATATATATATATATATATATATATATATATATATATATATATATATATATATATATATATATATTGGTGTATACTGGCAGCAGGTTTTCTTTTAAACATGTTTCATTGAATATGACCGCATATTCTGTATTTACTATCTTCTGATTTAAGGCTTCTCTCTCCCTAAACCAGGGTTACCATTGTCACATGTTTGGGCATGTGAAGCAGGGCGACTATTCCCTATTCCACAGGTTCCTGAAGCAGGGATTATTACCTCTATCTCATGCCGGAGTTTCTAATAAACAGAATAGCCTATGCCTCGTGAATTAGTTCCTTTTTTATTATTCTTTGACGGCTTTGTTTACATTTACTGAACACTTAAGAGTTCCGTAGCACTAGCAAGCACTAGCAAGTATATTATATATATATATATATATATATATATATATATATATATATATATATATATATATATATATATATATATATATATATATATATATATATATATATATAATATACTGGCTTAGTGCTTTATCCACATAATTATCTTGTAGTCAAAAAACGTATTTCATTTACTTCTTACCAAGAGGAAAGATTCTTGGTTGTAATCAGCTCACCTGCGTTGGGTACACCCAGTCGACGGCTGTTTCGTGAAAGTCTTGTTGCATCGAAGGATGGGAGCGTGGGAGGAGGCGGCTGTGGGAGCTGCCCCGCCCGTGTGACCAGCGTGGGGTGTGTGGGCGTCTGTGGGGAGGAAGGCCTGGCTCCCAACTCCCGTAGTGAAGGAGTTCGGGCGGTGCAGTGGCTGAGAGAGAACAAACAGGACTATTATCACACTATCCTGGTAAACTACTCACGCTAACTCCTCAACACGCGCATCTATGATTATTTGGATTTTATATATGTATCCTTATAGAAATGTCTATTTAATTATACATTTGTATATTAACATAAGACTGGAGACCAAATTAACAAGCGCCGTCTCATCCCGGTCTTAACTCTTAATACTCTCTGTTTCAACTACTTCTAAAATTAATTGAATGGAAAGTATAAGGATAAAACACACAACTAATGTGACTATACAGCACATGGAAGGGAAACAATAAGACAGGAACGGGACAGAAGGAAAAGGGGGGGAGGGGAGAAGAAACGGTGCCCAACCACTTGGACCATCCGGTCGAACGCCTGACCTGAAAGAAACGAGGTCGTCGCTGTACCGACCAACTCAAGCGGTTAAAAGGCAGTGAACGTAGATCGTGCGTCTGTTGTATAGTGACTGAAGTTTTTTTTGCGTGCAGAACAACCAATATGAGCGGTAAAAGAGGTGAGCTAAGCAGACAGGAACACTCAGAGAGCCAGACGACTGAATTTCAGACACCAGACTAGAATTTGTTAAGCCTTGACTAAGTCGGTCCACAACTTGGGTTATGACCGTCCTACAGGGTTAACTGCGAGGGATTATTAGTGTGAACATCTAGAGGAGAGTCACGACATACGAGTTAGTTCCGGCGACACACATCTTCACTGGCCGAGTATCGCCGAGTATCCCAAGTTACAACCATCATCATCACTACCTTCCGTCTCTACCGTCTGCACTTGTCTTCCCAGCTTTTCCTACCCTTCACCATCTTCCCTACCCTTCAGAGTCTTCCCTACCCTTCACCATCTGCCCTCTTCATCACCACCTTCCCTCTCCATCACCACCTTCCCTCTCCATTACCATCTTCCTTACCCTTAACCATCTTCCCTGCTCTTCACCATCTTCCCTACCCTTCAGAGTCTTCCCTACCCTTCACAATCTTCCCTACCCTTCACCATCTTCCCTCTCCATTACCATCTTCCTTACCCATCACCACCTTTCCTATCCTTCACCACCTTTCCTATCCTTCACCATCTTCCCTGCTCTTCACCATCGTACATACCCTTCACTATCTTTCCTACCCTTTTCCACCTGTCCTACCGTTTTCCACCTTTTGCCACCTTCCCTACCCTTCACCTTCTCTACTCTACACATTTCCTTTATCCGTGTAATCTTAGTGAGGATGGTCTTTCGTTTAGCTAGACTGGAGATTGACTGGATAAACACCAGTCGCCCTTCAAAGTTTGGTGAGGCTAGCCCCTTGCGTCTGGCCTCCAGCTTCGAACAGACAGTGCCTTTTATAGGTATGGATTAGTGTTAGTGTGGAATATACACAAGACACATGAATCACGTTACATTATGAACAACATGTAATACTTGATAGAAAGGCGCAAACTATTATTCACAAAAGTATAACACAAGTAATAAAATATGGGCGTTTGTAATTACCTTGAAATCATCAGCTGCATCAATGGTGGAATATTGATGGCTGTTCTGCGATCGTTTTCTGTTGATTAAGCTTGAGCGGGATCCCGGCAGGTCGTCGTCCCGTAAGTCAGCGCTTCGCTGTACTTCCTGAAGTATTCCTGACGAAGGTAGACTGGTCGACAATGGCACTGCTCTCCTTCGCCAGCAGTCATCTCTCGTGTTCATGTCGGGAACTGTCTGCACAGTGATGTGACCGACCGTACTCTCTGGCCTCTTCTTTCGAGTCTCTCTCTCGGAGTAAGGTTTGAGGGGCCATGGCATGTAGGCGCCATCCCCCCAAGGTGAGACACCTCTGCTTTTCTCTTCAGAACCTTCCCGGCTGATGACTGGAGACTGTTGTACAGAAGAAGATCTCGATAGTCTCTCATGGCCGGGGGTTGCGTCTGCTGCTCTCTCTAGTGGTAGATGTGTGCTGGATTTGTTCAGTGGATTAGATTTCTCTATGGGTAAACTTCCATATCTTCTAAAATTACTTATTGATGGTGCTTCCGAAGAACGATTTATCTTCCTGAAGGTGGTGGGTGAGGAAGGAGCGCGGTGCGGAGACGGGGACAGGCACCTTCCTTGCAGTCTGGCAATTACTGTCTGACTCCAAGATGAACTTCCAGAGTTATTTTCCTGAGAGTGTTTGGAGGACTCGTGGTCCGTTTGGCTTTCTTCACTCGGAGAGGTCACTTTACGACGCGGAGAAGACGACTGCGCTCTCCTGAAAAATGAGGCAAATCCCTTCCTTGGCTCATCTCCTTGACTAGATGCCTGAGAGGTGCTCTGAGAACTTATGGTTGGCGATGGAGAAGTTTTGCGACGTGGCGCTGAGGAAGTTTCTGCTTGCAGGTTTGTTAATCTTTGTTGGTTCCAGGATTCATTGTTATGAGTGTTGTAACGTGAGGAATTTTGTGTTGCGGTGTGACCCACAACACTTGGACATGAGAAAGACTGGTCAGTGTGAGGGAATGGCGACGGAGACACGTTTCGTGTGGGTGGCGATATATGATGATTTCCATAAACAAATGATCTCGACTTCCTCACCAGGCTGCTTTTCTGTAGATGACAGCCGGGAGAGAGCGGCCTCTGGTCGTCATCCGCCGATATTATGCTGCCGCGAGTCTCTCTTCTATAGCAAAGTGACTGTGTCTTCCTCACCTCATTGTTGATTTTGTGTAGCGTGTCCTCACTATTTCGGGGAGGCAGTGGCGGTCGATCTTGCATGGCCGGTCCTCCTAGCTGCTGGTCTTGCACGGCCCGTCCTCCTAGGTGCTGGTCTTGCACGGCCGATCCTCCTAGCTGCTGGTCTTGCACGGCCCGTCCTCCTACCTGCCGGTCTTGCACGGCCCGTCCTCCTAGCTGCCCATCTTGCAAGGCCGATCCTCCGAGTTGCCGGCCTTGCAAAAGTGGTGGTCCGAGCAGTCGGTCTTGCAAGGCAGACTCTCCCAGCGGACAGGGACGCGGCACGGCAGGTGAAACAAGCGAGCTGGTGGACTGGGGTGCGGACTTGGTGTGTTTCAGTGACGCTTTAAGTAGAGCAGGTGGTCGTTGTCGCCTGGTGGTCCTCAGCTTGCTGTGTCGAACGAAAGGTTCGGACGAGGTCTGCAGCAGCGGCTTCTGGTCCTCCTCCTCCTCCTCCATGGCCCGACACTCACCTCTGTAACCGTCAGAAATGTATTACATCAAACACACTGGGTAATAATGCCCTTACTCTAGCCCTAGCCTAGATCTGATGTCTGCACAGCTAAGAGCAATTTGTACTTCCTGTACTAGTACAGGGAACTATCTTAAGCTAGGAAGTAATGATGTCAATATGTGACTTGACCACCAGTTACGGCTTGTTCCGGGGGGGGGGGGGGGGAGGGGTTGTTCTAAGTTACGTAACTTAGTTGTTAACATATAATGTGGAAGACTGTGCTTAACGTTCATGAAATTCAAAGATCGGAAATATCGTAATGTCAGAAAAACCTGAGGTTATGGAAACCCGGAGGTTGACCTCTCTGTCTCACCAACACTGAGGGGCTGACCTCTCTGTCTCACCAACACTGAGGGGCTGACCTTTGTGTCTCACCAACACTGAGGGGTTGACCTCTGTGTCTCACCAACACTGAGAGGTTGACCTCTGTGTCTCACCAACACTGAGAGGTTCACCTCTGTGTCTCACCAACACTGAGAGGTTCACCTCTGTGTCTCACCAACACTGAGAGGTTGACCTCTGTGTCTCACCAACACTGAGAGGTTGACCTCTGTGTCTCACCAACACTGAGAGGTTCACCTCTGTGTCTCACCAACACTGAGAGGTTCACCTCTGTGTCTCACCAACACTGAGAGGTTCACCTCTGTGTCTCACCAACACCGAGGGGTTGACCTCAGAGAGAGAGAGAGAGGAACTAAAATACTCCAACTTTTTATTTGTCCGAACACCCCGAGAACACAAGAAACACTTACGTCGGGGAAGAGAGTGGGGTCGGTAGGCAACCGTTCAGTAGTTGTGTCCCTGGGGTCTCACCAGGGCCACATGGAGGTCATGGAGTGACCATGTGAGGTCATGGAGTGCCTGGCACGCTCTCCCTGACCCGTGGCACACAAGCCAAGGAACAAGATGCAAGCGGAGAGTAATTGGCAGTCACTCGTGCTTGGATTAAACGAGGAGTATTAACGGGTGACTGTTGAGGCGAGGCGTCAACAACAGTAACGGTGACTGTTGAGGAGAGTGAGGCGAGGCGTTCTCAACAGGACAACAGTAAGCATCCACTCACTACATGAACAAGGGGCTACCAGTTACTGAAGGGTGATTGCGCTAGGTGCCTCCGCACCTCACAGTGAGGCACACACGCTATCTTATCGAGACTTGATATCGTGAATGGTTATCGACTTCTCACCGGAAATACGGACTTCTGTCACATGCAGAGACAAGGGTCAGATCCCTGTCAGAGGAACATATGATAATATCCCTCCCATAAATTAAACATTGTACGTAGTAGCCAAGATTCACTCATGTGAATTTTGACTGCTGGAGGCCGGGGTGCTGGAGGCTGGGGTGGTGGAGGCCGGGGTGCTGGGAGGTCTTGGGTGTGTGTTGGTCCGCCTCGACACCCGACGGCCAGATGACAGTCTCACTTCGGCTCTTGGCGGGAGTTGTTGCGTTACTCTATTGTCATAACCAAGAGCAATGGAAAATGTGTTTTCTTTTCCCCCCTTCTCCTGCTCCTCCTTCTTCCTCCTTCTCCTCCTCCTCCTTCCCCTCCTCCTCCTTTTTCTTCCTCCTCATCTTCCTCCTCCTCCACGTCCGTCTCCTTCCTAGCTACAGACATGCATGGCTCCCTGGTGCTAGCTGGTAGCATTTCAAAGTTGGAGACCTGAGCCCATTTTGTAATTAGTTGACTGTAGCTGTAGCGAGTGTTCACGTGTCTTGGGTAATACTGTGCATGTGTCAGGGGCCGAGCAAAAGAGCACGAATATAAAAAAAAGAACTCGTATATAAAGACTACACAGTAATATTAATTGACTGTGTTGCACGCTTGCCTACCAGGGGCGGGTTTTGTAACTCATTATGGTACCTTTCCTCCTCTAGCTAAACATTATCTCCATTATCCTTCTCTAGCTAAACATTATCTCCATTATCCTCCTCTAGCTAAACATTATCTCCATTATCCTTCTCTAGCTAAACATTATCTCCATTATCCTCCTCTAGCTAAACATTATCATGCGTGACTCATTATCAATTTAAATTCGTATTACAAAAACTGTATTCGTAAATAGTTTTACATATATAATTGAGTTAGTTTACACAAAATTACAGTACATTGTTTACATAAGAGAAAATAATAAACACAACTTAATTTTAACACGTGATGATTCAATGCCGAATTCAATTTATCAATGAAATCTGTGTAATAACTGATCGCCTTCACTCACATCTTGACGCAGCTTCCTTGACCTGCCTCTGATAAAAGATAAGACAAATGACACTGTAAATATATAGGTAAATAGACGTTTTTGTTATGAGGGCAATTTACGTCCAGAGAGGCAGAGGCGTCTCAAGGTACAGGAATGATCGTTACGTTTTTGACAATGAAAAAAGTTGAATAAATATATAATGAGATCATTATTTAACGATTCCTTTTTGTTTTACCTGAATTGCAGTTATAAAATCTTATGACAATATTTTGTTTACTGTCTAAAATGTATTAAATGATTTGAACTACATCAACCCATCATCCTAAAACGTATATACTTACACCAACTGTTTTGTCGAACGTGCAACAATGAACTGTTGTGACCAACAAAGTTCACGTTATGAACTATAATTTCGTGGATGGCACGAACCAAAAAAACCATTGCTAGTCCTAGTAGCACATATTTGTACTAAACGAGGCCTAACATAGCGAATATTAGACCTAGGATTAGTACAAAACGTGAAATCAAAATCACAATCATTGCATGCACCCCCCATGGGGTGCATAATAAATAAATGAATCGGAAAATTTGCCAAGAGGAAGTCGTATGGCACCCGTGTGTCCTCAACGGTGTTACCAACCTCACCAGCTTGTCCGAGGGCCAAGAATATGTCCTCAACGGTGTTACCAACCTCACCCGCTTGTCCGAGGGCCAAGAATATGTTCTCAACGGTGTTACCAACTTCACCCGCTTGTCCGAGGGCCAAGAATATGTTCTCAACGGTGTTACCAACCTCACCCGCTTGTCCGAGGGCCAAGAATATGTTCTCAACGGTGTTACCAACCTCACCCACTTGTCCGAGGGCCAAGAATATGTCCTCAACGGTGTTACCAACTTCACCCGCTTGTCCGAGGGCCAAGAATATGTTCTCAACGGTGTTACCAACCTCACCCGCTTGTCCGAAGGCCAAGAATATGCCTTCAACGGTGTAAACGGTGAAGCCGACGTCACCCGCTAGTCCGGTGGCCAAACCAATGTTGTCATTGGTTTAACCAACGCCAGCTGCTAGTCCCGTGTGGGCAGCCAGCCATGAGCATACTGGTATAGCCAGCAACAAACGTTCATACAGCTCTAGACCGCCAGATGTTGACATAGTATAGTCAACCAGAAGGGGCAATAGAGGCGCGATGTCAAGTTAAATTAATAAACACAATTCCTCGTGTACACTTATGCCTCCGATGCTTCACAGAGTGTTAATAACAACATCGTCCACTCGAGTCCCTCAGAACTACAATCTCTCGCATGCAATGACCGGCAATGAATCCTCCTGTGTGTGGGAGGAGGTAGAATCTACTGGAAAAGATGGCGCCTGGCTGTGTGCACTGTTATCGTTTAAGAAGAAGACAAAAGATTGTTGTTTTAAGCTGGAACTGTGGTTGGTGAGGTGGACAATGGAAAGCTGGGAGAAGGACGACCTCTGGAGGAGCAGCAGGTGAGACTTACCTTGAGGAGCAGCAGTGAGAGCAGCAGGAGGCAGTGTTGGAAGTGCTGCTGTTGTGTTGCTTATCTCAACCAGCTGCTCGCACTCTTACGTGGCCTCGTTATCGGTGTTATCATAGGTCGTCCTTGCAAAGTGCGTTCTCGCCAACGAGGAAACTGGCACGTTTTTGTTGTTGTGAATAACACTTACATACACGTGTCTGTGTAGCTGCCCTGGAGGACTAGACTATATGAAGGGCTGCATAGTTTGTGTCAAGAACTAGCTGCAAAAGAGCCCATTTCACAGGATGGGTGGTCATACAGGGACATGTTATCAGTACCTGTACGTGCAAATTTTGGAGGCATTCTGAAAGTTTGTTCAAGAATGTGAGAGTGGATAAATTGATTGTCAAGCTCCAGGTAGCTCATACCAGCAAGTCTGAGGATCTAATGACTGGACACTCAATACCGTAGTGAGTGAGAATACATGACCCAGTTCCTGCGGCACTACTGAAGACGGGTACTACTTACAAAGGCCATTACTGATGCCTGTACTCAGTGCTTCCTAAAAATGGGTACACACACACATGCTCAATATGTACTTTAGGCTCTAATGGTATACGTTACGTAATGTAATAGTCAGGAGAAAGCTCTTAGTCATTACAACTATATAACACTTGGAAGCGATATGAGGATAATGATTTGGGATAGGACGAATGAAATAAATTGTGCCTATACACTTGGATGTTAGGGGCTTGAACGCCGACCTGCATGAAGCAAGCCTGTCGTTGTACCGTCCAGCCACGTCTGGACGATATACATGCCATGTCATGGTTTCAGAATTGTCCTGAGCCCTTCAGCTTGTACTGATAAGACCGTTGGTTACTTGTTTTGGAATAATTTTCGTCGGTCTATGGTGAACCTTATCCAATACAACATTATATATTTTTGAAGGTGAGTTCTCATTTGGTGCATGGCTGAATGACCACGTTATTTTCCTTTGTTTCGTAGTCTCCCCGACTTGGTGCCTTCTTTTGATAATTACTTACTTGTCCTTGGTGTCAAATGTTCGCATGACTCTCGCCAGGGTGTGGCAGACTTGTTGCTGTGTTGCAACTGTACCTGGAGGAGCAGCGGCTTGCGTCAGATTGATGAAGATTAAGCCACCCAAGAGGTGGCACGGGCATGAATAGCCCGTAAGTGGTGGCCCTTTCGAGCCATTACCAGTATCAAAAGATGATACTGGAGATCTGTGGAGGCGCAACTGCACCCTGCGTGACGGGAGATGTCTCCCGGACCAAGTGGTGACCAAATGGTGGTGGTGCTTGCGTCAGGTGGACCTTCTTCTTATATACCTGCTGCAGGGTCGTGTTGTCACTATGGCCCTTGTGGTCTTTATTGTTATCGTGTAAATGAAAGGTCTTGAAGTTCTGAATATTGGAGAGCCTTTGTCGGCATTCTGACCGTTTACCTGAATTTACTTGAGGGCCATTACCTCTCTAGTGACTCGACGAGGACAGGAAGCTGCCGGTTTGTCAAAAATTCCTCCCTCCCCCCCCCCCTCTATTTGTCCTGATGATTTTATCCAGGTGGATTTTGAACGGCAGCGATATTTTGGCATTTACGGCTTCGGCAGGTAGGTAGCTCCATAGGTTTATAACCCAATGGGTGAAAGGAATCTCCTATTTTCTCTCCAACATTGTGGCTTCTTCAGCTTGAAACTTTGCGCCTTGTTTGTGTTGCATCTGACCTTATGAAGACGTTGTCTGGTTAAATGTCCTCCACATTGTTAAGTATTTAATAAGTATCGATGAAATCCGCCCTGTCATGTGTGGTTTGCAGTGATGTTAACCTTGTGGCCCCTCAACCGTTCCTGGCATGAGAGTCGACTTAATTTTAAAATGATACTTGTCGACCGGTGATGAACTTTCTCCATAGCAGATGTGTTTCTGAACATGAGGTCTCCATGCTTGGGTACGATAATCCAAGTCGCGGAACACCAGAGATTTATGCCGCTGAATAACTACCTTCATTTCCTTGAAATCAGACTCGTTTGACTATTCCTTGGAGATTTGATTTGCAGTATTTTTACTGCAGCTCCCACTTGTTGTGCAACTTCCTGTGCTTGATTTATCTTCTACATTTCCGCGGGTGCAGCGACCCACACTTTGTCAGATTTGCGAGGAGCCTGAGGTGACAACACCTAATTTGAGATTCTTCGTCATACCTTCCACTCCATTAGCCATTCCCGCCGCATGAAAAGGTTTTAGGGGGATCCAATCCTCTTGCATCATTTCCCGAAACCGGGAACCCGGTTTACCGCTACCGTTTACCGTGTGTGTGTATTCACCTAGTTGTGCTTGCGGGGGTTGAGCTCTATTCTTTCGGCCCGCCTCTCAACTGTCAATCAATCCACTGTTACTAACTACTAATTATAATTTTTTTCCACACACACACACACATTCCCAGGAAGTAGCCCGTAGCAGCTGTCTAACTCCCAGGTACCTATTTATTGCTAGGTAACAGGAGCATCAGAGTGAAAGAAACTTTGCCCATTTGTTTCCGCCATGGTCCGGGATCGATCCCGGGTCCCTTCTCCTACGCTCCCTTGCTATCCTCTTCTTATTCCTATTACTTTCTCCTTCGGTGGTTATAATAGGAGCTGCCTCGTATTGGCCAATAGGCCTTCTGCAGTTCTCATTATTACTACTATCCCCTACATCTTACTTTCCTCCTCAGCTCTCTCTTGCCTATTTATTGCCTGTTTCTACCTCCTCATCAACTTACGGGCTATTCATGCCCGTGCCACCTTTTGGGTGGCTTAATCTTCATCAATCAATCAATCTCCTCATCACAGGATTTCTGAGATATATGTAGCCTCTGCCATTAGATTAATGAGAGATGGGGTGAGCTAATGAAATAATCCTCTCAGTTTAAAAGGTTGGAAGTAATGAACAATGTATGGTAAAGTATAATAAGAGAGCATATATGAGTATATTATGTTCTAGTGTTATCAAATCAAATCAAATGTTTATTTAGGTAAGGTGCATACATACAAGAGATTTTACAAAGAGTGATGGATTTATAGATAGGGCTAGTACATACAATGCCTAAAGCCACTATTACGCAAAGCGTTTCGGGCATAAATTCGGGTTATAAAGTATGTTGTTATTCCAGAATGTATTGTTCTGCCTAAGAGACAATTCACACCACCACGGGAGGATTGTAACGTAGATGTAGTAATTATTCCCTTGCAAAAGAAAAAACTATGTATGTCTCGCACTGTATCTAGTGGTACCCAATCCCCGCATACTTGTACGTCATATTACTTTACCATTGTAATCTTAGATATCGTCTGATATCATGGTTGTTATATTGAGTACATATCTACTGCATTATTCCTTGAAATGATCAACAAATTTACCTTGAGATAGTCTCAGGAGATTTACTTGTCCGAAACGCTAAGCATGCTAGTGGCTTTACATGAATGTAAAACATCAATGTTATACACTCTCATAAATCCAATGTACCTTCTTGTATAGAAATAAATAAAAACAAGTGATAAAAATATGTGTTTCTTTATAGACAGTAGAGGAACGTTAGAATCTTACACTTAACATTGGGTTTGTGAGAGTACATAGCATTGTGTTTATATTCTTGTAAAGCCACTAGTACGCAAGTCGTGTGATCACACGACTTGATAATGGTTCAAGACGGACCGAAACCTCATTTCTTCATTTTCTGATGTGTTGTTTGGTTATCATATCTTCAGCCACGTTACTGTGACTCATCGCCCGCACATGCATATTAACATTATCTTAAGAGAGTCTCACCGTTGTATATGTAACAACTTAACGTTTTCTTTGGACGTGGAGTGTAGAGCACGTGGGAGTATAGACGGCGGGGCGGTCCGGGCGGAGGATCCGGAGTCGGGGGCGGCGCCGCGGGGGATCCGAAGCTGCCCCGGGCGGCTCCCAACTCTATTTTGTTTCAGTCGTCATCTTGAAAATCATAAGGTGTATGTTTTGGTAGGAGATAGTGAGTAATATTACTAATTTTAAGAATTATGAAAAGCTCATGTAACGTCATTTGGCCATGTTGCACTGAGGTTTAGGCTGCATATGGACGACCCGCAAGAGTCACCAACTCCGCGTGTAAAGGTAAGAAGCGGCAGCTGTGCCGAGGACAGTAAATACAGATGGTCCGAGTAATTGGAACGCCTCAAGGCCGGACAACTACGTCCTGAAATGGCCCGTGTGGCACAATTTGTGGCAGTCATGCCATCGTGTGGTTGTTGGGAGTAGGGGAGGACACCCAGGTAGGATATCTTGGGGGGAGAGATGTGTAGGGAAGTGCGGGAGATGACTCACGGGGGGCGGGCGGAGGGGAACATTACACTTCTGTCACTTCCTGTTTACTCAACACCTGCATCATACTCGCCTCTATTACTTCAACACATGCGTCTGCATTCAACACCTGCAGCTGGCCACGGTGTTTGGTATTGTCTATTGTCAATGACACCTGGTTCCTCGGTGAAGTAGACGTGTAAATATTCTTCAGTTGAGAGGTAGGCAACATCTGTAGGTAACATTGTCAACACATTTGTGCTTTAGAGACTTAATCATTTGGTAATGTATGTGGGGATTTCACAGTGTTTCTTTGCTATATTTTTATTTCAAATTTAAATGGGTGTTTATCTTCACCTAAACACATTTTGCGTTAGGTAAGGCTTCCTTCATCATGAAGCAGCCTGACATTATGATTCCACTCCATTCAGACATAATAATAATAATAATAATTCTGCAAAATATCTATGAACTATTATGTGTGAGAATAAAGGTATCTGCAGAAGGCCTATTGGCCCATATAAGGCAGTTCCTATTTACAGCCACCCAGTCTCATTCATATATATATGTCTAACCTATGCTTGAAACAATCAAGGGATCCTACTTCTATTATTAATGGTAATTACAACAAATACTGTACACTATGGCTTGTGTTAGTGTTCATATGCCTGGTACAATATTAACTTTTTACATGGCCACTTGTTATTCAAAGCATTTTCAGCAAATCTTAAAACTAGCTCATGGGTTTATAATAATATAGTTTTGAATAATATTTTATGTTAGGAGATCTAAGTTAATATAATAAATCTTAAGTTATTACCAACTAAAGTACTGTTAAATAAAATCAGCACATTCTTTATTTTGGTTTAAGTTTTGTTGGTAAATATTAGTTAGGTAAGAAAGAATTATTACTATACTGGACATAGGTTACCAACCTCCCTATGTCTTTTGCATAGGTTGATTGCTAAATGTAATACCAAACTTGATTAGCTTAATTAGTATTCAAGCTCTTTTAGTAAATATGGGAACTTAAGTGATGGTAAATTTACCTGAGGGCCACTCACTATTCTAGTGGCCTTCACCTAAAGGCCACGACGAGGACAGGAAGCCAGTGGCTTGTCAAAGGTCACGCTATTCAACCCTCCCTACCCCCGATCTTTTCAAGTATTTTAAAACCCAATACTGTAGTTATGGTGTTTACAGCTTCGGTGGGTAGGCGGCTTCATGGGTTTATAACATTATGGGTGAAAAAGCATCTCCTGTTCTTAGTCCTACACATTGTGGCTTGTTGAGCTTTAAACTGCTGCTGCTCGTTCGTGTTACATTTGACTTTTTAGAAGAAATTTTCTGGATCAGCATCCTCCAAATTGTTCAGTATTTTAAACGGTTCGATGAGATCCGCCCTGTCATGTCTGGTTTGCAGTGTTGTTAGCCCTTTGGCCCTCAACCATTCCTGATACGAGAGATTACTTGGCTCTGGAATTATTTTTGTTGCCCGTTGTTGCACCTTCTCCAGAGCAGCTATGTCTTTCTGAGGATGTCTGGATGCAGTAATCCAGGTGGGGGAGCACCAGAGACTTATACAATTGAATGACTTATTTTCCTTAAAGATAAAGGTACGCTTGATTATTCCCAGGATTTCATTAGCTTTTTTTTTTTTTTTTTTTTTTTTTTTTTTTACTGCCGCTCCCACCTGTTGTGCAACTTTCAGTGAATGATGGATTCTGACTCCAAGGTCTTTTTCTTAATCTGTTGTAAGGGAGTGCTGTTAATTTGGTAGTTGTGACATGGATTGTTATGCCCCACATGCAGGGTCTTGAATTTATCAACATTAAAAAGCATTTGCCAGTCCTCTTAACATTTGTGGAGTTGATGTAGATCTCTTTGTAAGGTCTCAATATCATTTTCACTTCCCACTTTACCATAAATCTTAGTGTCATCTGCAAATTTGATGTGGTTTGTAATATTCTCATCTATGTCGTTGATGTACAGTATATGACAAAAAGGGTTGGCCCCAAAATGGATCCCTGTGGCACCCCCACTTGGCACATTTCCCCAGTCAGATTCATTCCCATTTAGCACAACCCTTTTTCTTTGTTATAACCATTGATTTAGACCAAACTCTCACAAGTCAAGCCTGGCCTCGAGCTGGGCTTGGGGAGTAGAAGAACTCCCAGAACCCCATCAACCAGGTATCCATTCCAGTATTCTCCCATTTATTCCATATGCCTGTAATTTCCTTGCTAGTCTTTCATGTGGTACCGTGTCAAAAGCTTTAGCAAAGTTCATGTAAGCTACATCTACCGGAAGTCTTTTGTCTGAATAGCCAGTTACAATATCCAGAAATGTGAGCAGGTTCTAAGGCATGATCTATTTTTAACAAACCCATATTGCATTGATTTTACAAGATTGTTCTGTGAGATGTTGGAATCCCTCTTGTTAGGATTCTCTCCATTAGCTTGCAGATGTGTGATGTCAAGCTGATCGAACAGTACTGTAGTTTTCTGCCGAGCTCTTTCTGGCTCTTTTCAACTCCCTCCAGGTGGTGTTTTGCAATTCCTCTCTCATTCCATGATATTCTCTTTGATGATAATCTAGATTCAGATTGATCACAGAATCTCAGTTAGGTACTAATTATGTTCCTTTTTAAGATTCGTTGAAGGTAGTGCAGCATTTGTTTGCATTTGGGATGCTGTTCCATATTTTAGTACTCTTAATTTGCATGGCATTTCTACTTTGGAACATCACAGATACAAGATTCTCCTGTAGTCTGAGAGTTGTGTCGTGGCCTTCTAAAAGTATTTGTCAGGATTGATATTATAGTTAGGAGTTAAATATAGAGTATACGGGAGAATGTGAAATCCTTCACATTTATTTGGCATGTTGAAGGATTTATTTATTTCGCAATAAACTCGGCACAGCACGGTGGTTAAGGAGTGGAATGAGAGAAATGGAGGAAGAAAAACGAGGAAGATAAGAAGAAATAATTAAGGCTAACTACAGGAAGAATTACTGTCAAAACATAATAGATAAAAGAATCCTTTCAAGAATTATTAAATTTTATGAACAATTATTATTATTAATTATAGATTGAACAATTATTTTGTTAAATACGGACTTGGGAATAGTGTTGTAGAGTTATGGAACAAATTATCAAGTTAGATATGTACAGTATAATAATGTGCATGAGTGAGTTTGCTTGATATATTTAGGAGTTGCTTTTATTATGTAACATGTTATATAATGTATAGTTCTCTAAAAGTACAATAACTTGAACCTAGAAATGGCCCCTTGATTTGTTATCTAGAATTAATTTTTGTTTTTTCCAGATGGTCAAAAGTGCGTGACCACATGACGATGTACCACATGGCAATGCCTCCCCACATGGGGGGTCCCCATCCCCCCACTGTCCACTCCCCCCTATTTCCTACAGCAATCTTACCCCCTCCTATGCCCCACAATTATGCAATGCATGCTTTTCCGCAGACCCATATCACTCATCCACCTCACTCTACTCACCAGGTTCACTCTTCCCACCAAGCTCACTCTCCCCACCAAGCTCACTCTCCCCACCAAACTCACTCTCCCCATTCCTCTTCTATAGCAGCAGCGGCGGCTGCAGCTAATGTATCTTTACAAATAGGTTCAGGAAATTCTGCTATGCTGACCCACCCATCACCAATGCTGTCTCAGCCATCACCAGTATATCCACCTCAAACTGCTATTTATGTCAATCCTTACCTTGCCCCTCAACTGCCACATGCTCATGCCCATTCTCACCCTCCACACCAACACCCATCCAATATTATTTATGGGATGCCCTCGGGTATGCCTGGAGGTCCGCCACCTGGAATGTTACCGCCTCAGCAATCTGTTGGACAGTCTGCTATACCTGCTCTGATCTCAGGCCCAGTGATGTCAGTAGATGAAGAGTTGATGGAAGAAATGAATGCTTTGCACCTTGGTTACATTGAAACGGAAGATTCCCCCCACAAACTGGAGCAGCGAGAGAAATTGGAACGTAAGTTATTTTTAGCACTTATACACAAGATGATACAACAGTTGAATACTGTATTATATATTACACTACCTCATGTATTCTAATTTAAATTATTCTTGTCTAATCCAAAAGGAGTCATAATGGAATACCTGGCAATCACTCCTCACTCCCACAAGTTCATATTTCACCAAATATCTGAGGTGCTGGAGTCTAGTGTGAACACCATTAGTGACTTCAGTGCATATAGTGCAGCTTGTGCATTTGATGCTTTGGCCCATTATGCAGCTAATCTCATTGCACAACCTTGGAGAAAAGAATATAGAGAAGTTAAGGTTAGTTCATTGAAATTAAGGTATTGTATTGTTTATCGAAAGAGAAGTGAGATATAGTACTGTATAATAAAAGTATTTTGTTGAATGTATTGAAATGCTGCTTTCTGGTGGGGCCTCTCAATATCTTCCCGCGCTATCCACCTGGAATTCTCCAACCCACGTACCATGCTGTACCACTCATGGCTCTAACACATGTGTGCCTACTTGAGACCTGGACCCTTATGGGGCTTGAATGAAATATAATGTACAGTATTAGTCATTAGGGATAAGGATAGTAATTCCAGAAACTCACATGTTTTGGCCATTAGTCCTGCAGTTTCATTTTGTTCTTATTTTTATGAAGCAGTGATGAGACAATGTTCTTTATCTCTCATTTCACCTTCCTGCCTATATATTATAGTGTAGTATTTGTGAAAATATGTTAACACGAAAGTACTCATGTCCTTTCTTGTTCCATTTTTCCTTCCTGATTTCTTTTAAGCACTTTTGGTTGAAAGTGACTGCATTGTTGATTCTGTTGTTCAGGCCTTTGATGCGTCGGACAATCCTCTTTGCACCAGCATTGAGTTGGGTGATTAGGTTACCAAAATTCATGGTCATTCTGGGTTAAGGAGAATAAAACACAACAAGAATGACTATATAATGTGTTAAGTGCACAACATTTCGTTCCTGCCTGGAACATCTTCTGGTGAGAGAGGGTGTTTTGCATGCATGGTAAAGGGGATATGTACTCGGGTAGAGGTAAAGTACAGGTTAGGCGAGTCAAGCTACGGGGCTCAGGTGCTGGCGAATGATGTCATCTTCCATTGGGTGGGGTCTAAGCCTCATTGTTGGTAATGATGCAGAGTCATTTTTTTTTTTATGTCCATATTAGGTTTTTTTTCTTTGAGGATTGCTTCTGGAATTTGTAATTTGCTGCTGTCAGTTGCAGAATCAAGTATCTATGTAAAGATTATCAGATGCATTGAATGCCTGAACAGCAAAATCAACAAAAATGGTACAGTAGCACAAAAAAAAACTATTATGCTAGAATTTTTGGTACTGTAATTGATGCGACTTGAATAAAAAATATGTAGTTAAAAAAAAGTAGTGTTGACAATTACTTTCAAATAAAGCTCAAACAATAGCTAATAAAATATCTATTGCATTAAATAATATTACAAAAATAGCCAGTGGTTGAGGTTGGTAGGCAGCAAGCACCAAGGGGCTACCAGGGCTCACCAGAAAGAGGCATTTCATTCATTCAATGCCTTTTTCTGTAGGGGAGCCCTGTTGGCTCCCCTACAGCCAAAAGCTCTCCTGGAGCTATTGGACTGATATTAGCTAATATTAGTATGGGGCTTCAGTCATAAGGAGTTGTCATGCCTACCGGGGACTACTAACCAGAACATGGTCCCCCTCAGAGAGGCCCGGGGAGCAATGGTCTATGAAACTCTCGTGTATGAAAGTATTCATGTTTGCTATTGACTAGGTTTGAGCACCCAGAAAGGTAGGTGCTCCAAAACAGACCCCTCCTGGTAGAAAAATTGCAACCTGAGACCAAACAGAGGCTAGAAACCCCCCTCCCTAAGGAAAACACGCCAACAAGCAATACGTCATCACACTGTGTCTCACTCTGCATGCTTCCCCCTGCTCTTCCCCCTTGGGAGAGGGGGAGAGGGGTCCCGGCCCACCGAGCTGGCAGCCGGAATGTCAGTTTGTCAACTGGGGCTAAATGGGGCGGATGTCTACTCTGGTCTCGGTTGCTTGAAAGGCTTTTCACCTGGGTGTTGTTCCTGCTGTGAGTTGGTGTGGTGGCCAGGAGTTGCTCTTTGGGTAGCTAACTACCCAAAGAGCAACTTTGGGTAGTTAGCTACCCAAAGGATGGTTTTCGGTCCAGGATGGTTTCCAGAAGACTTTGTTCTTGTTGGCTTTGGCTTCTAAGGGTCGAGTCGGGGAGCTTCATGCTCTCCTCCAGTACAAAGGCTTTTGCTCATTTGGTCCTAGTGGTAGGGTTGTTCGTTTGCAGCCATCACCTTTTCTGGCGAAGAACGAGATGGCGGGTTTCCGGAGGGATCCGTGAGTTATTGTTGCATGGTTGGTCGTCCTATGGGGTGCATCATGTTTTGTGTCCTGTTGTGGCTTCACACCGTTACCTGCATGCCTCAGTTTCTGTGTCCGGAGACGTGCTGTGGGTTGACCCGGTATCTTTTGTTCCCTGTTCCAGGGCTTGGGTCTCTCGGCCCTGGATTATCGAGTTTAGCCACCCTGCGGTCTACCCACGTGCCCATGATGTTCGTAAATTCAATGCTTTGGTTGCTATGTTCGGTAATATGTCTTGGGCTGACATTCGGCCATGGGGGTTTTGGAGATCAAACAGGGTCCTGGCTGCCTGTTATCTTTTTAATGTGCCGGGCCGTCAGCGGTCTTGTGCTGCCTTGGGTCGGCGGTTGCAACCAGTTATCTCATCTTTGTTATGAGTTGTGTGGTGCAGCCGCCTCCCAGGTACATCCCTCTTTTCCTGCTCTTTGGGTAGTTAGCTCCAAGGAGCCGACAGGGCTCGCCCACAGAAAACCAGCATTGAATATGATGAAATGCCATTTTCTGGGTAGGGCCCCGAAGGCTTCCTGGCACCCTCCCTTCTCTTGGTCTGCAGTTTTTGTTTCCGTTTTTCAGTCTTCAAACTGACGATCCAGCTTCCGGTTCGGTGAGCCGGGATTCCCCCTCTCCCCCTCCTGCGAGGAGGGGTGGTAGGTGCGAACGAGCTGCATATGGTGTAACGACATGTTGCTTGTTGGCTTATTTTCCTTGAAGTTTTTAGCCTTTGTTCAGTCTCGGGTTGCAGTTTTTCTTTCCAGGAGGGGTCTGTTTTGGAGCACCTACCTTTCTGGGTGCTCAACCCTGGTCGATGGCAGATATGAATACTTTCGTACACGAGTTTCATAGGCCATTTCTCCTTGTGCCTCTCTACCCACAAAATGGCGTTTCATTACATTTAACAGGGTTTTTTTATATCATGGTATTTAGGATCTTGAGAAGTTCCCAAATCCCTATTGGTACACAGGTAATGGAACTATATATCGACTACTGTCTACAGCACTTACAGGGATCAGGATAAGGATTTGGGATGGGAAGAGGGGAAGGGAATGGTGGCCACCCACTTGGGTGGTCGGGGATTGAATGCTGACCTGCATGTAGCGAGACCATTACTCTGCCTTCTGGCCCAAGTGGTTGGGCTGGACGGTTGAGCGACATTTAAGTAAACATATGGTACACAGTTGTACCATATATTTACATAAAAGGTTAATAATTTTGCTCCTAATATGTTCACTTAATTACAGCATGTCAAGAATTAAATTACAAATCCATTTGCAGCTCTACAGTGGCTTTTGGGTACATCAAGTGGCCCATCATTTAGCTGGTGCTGAATCCGTTCTTTCATTGATGGGGTATGCTCCTCGGTCCAGCCCCCCTCCTGGATCATCTAACTGTGGTGATCCAGCCTGCCTTGTTCTAGATGGGGTACTTGATCCGGATTTGATCTCAAGACTTGCCCTTGATTGTTTGATTGCGTACTGTGAATGCCAGGTGGGTGACTAAGTCCTTTTAGCAGTACTCTTCATGTTATATTTATGCAATAGCGATAAAATTATAGAACAGAAATAAAATTTTCCATGGGTAAATTGCACTTCGTCTAGCCAATTTGAGCTAGAATCTAACCAGCCCCAGTGTAGAGCTTGTTAATTTATAGCAGTTCCTGACCAGGAATAATATTAATTTTCCTCCAAGATACTAGAGCAGTGAGACTAATAGATGCATGTGTAAGCTCTAAAAGCACGTAACTTGTGTTTCTTAATGCTGAAATATGTACTGTACTTATTTCTAATAATGATAATGCAGATGTTCACATAATATAAACCTTATACCCTTTATATCTTAAATTTTTGTATTCTCCTTCATATTAGAACAGTAGTATTGAACATTTATAATTAATCAAAATGTATTGAAATTTAGTTTTATGTTCATTATTTTTACTTTCGAGTTAAAATGTTGTTTGTATGTACTGTAGTCCCAATGCCTTACCCCCTCCCAGAGCTCCCCATTAGGGAGTGGCCACTTGTCACTTTTTCAAGCTCTCTGTCCCTTTCCTCTTTCTTTTAAAATCATTACACTCTTCCCTTACCATATGACCCACTTTATTTCACCATTGTATACTCATTAAATGATTCTAATCCATCTACTTGTACTAACTTGTATGTGGTATATCTACTTTCACTGACTCAAGTTGCTTGCAACATCACCAGTTTGCACATATTGCAGAGGGCTCAACAATAACTTAACTTAACTCAACTTAAGTAATTACCATGGATTGTGTGTAGTAGCTCGTGAGGTGTGGGCAGATGAGGCCACCATGTCGGTTGGTACAGAGTGGTGATAGCAAGTCTAATTTTTACTCCAATAGCAGTTGAGATAAATATGCACACCAAGAACTATGTGGCGACACTTCTCTCATTTTGATCCGTTTGCTGATCACTTTTCTTGTTACTTCAGTAAACAGATGGCTTTGATGTTACATGCTTCTGAAAGTAGTCACATGGTGTCTCCACGATTCTTCTGTTACTCACACGAACAGCTTTAATCCAACGAAGTCACGGTCATGATTCTGGCTGATGACTAGTTATATTGAAATAAATGTGGTGGGCTAATTTGACATTGAAGAATGTTATGGAGGGATAGTGGCTTACTGGCCAACAAGCAATATCAACTCATGTTTGATTAGAACATACTCTGTGGACCAGAATTCTTTTGCAGACTCTCACAGAATCTTACCGAAGTTGCTTGGGGCCCCAAACAGTCAGGGCAAGAAATTTACCAATAAGAATCAGGCACTGGTGCCTTCCCCAAATGTGTAGACCTACACATGTCGGCTAGAGGCATTATGTTACGGTTTACAACCATGGCTGTTGAGCAATATAATGCTTGGTGTCCCCTTATCTTGCCTTGGTAATCATAGACTGAAAATATACTTTCTTCAGCATCCAAAATGCCTGACTCCTTGACTCCTAGTTTCTATTATTTGAATGCTTAATTTGTCCTAATTAATCCTGCACTGAACACACAGCAACCATTGTGGTATCATTAGGCTGCTGGCGATGCAAGCTTCAGAGACACCCAACATGCCAGACCAAAGTCCAGACATAAAGACTTTCAGAACATACACTCTGGCACTCAAAGGCGGATTTCCCGATTGAGTTCACTGCAATGTACACACCTCTTAAATCAACTGTGGAAATCACTCTCATAATGTACATACCACCTCAGGGTGCGTTATGCTACACCTATACTTACATACTAACTCCACATTGCATTCTCTCACCCCTTTCATTTATACCATACCTTTCTTATGTTAATTTCTTTATTGCTATGCTTACTTACACTAGCTGCATAAAAGAAAAATAGTAATTTAGTTTCAAGGCGTTGTATGACGAAGAGTGCTGGGAAGACGGGACACCACAAGTGTAGGTCTCATCCTGTAACTACACCTAGGTAATTACCTAAGTGTAGTTACAGGATGAGAGCTACTATGCTTGTGGTGTCCCATCTCTTGGGGACACCACATCTTCCCAACACCCTTTATCACATAATGCTTTGAAACTACTGACTGTGTTGCCTCCACCACCTTCTCACTTAATTTGTTCCAACCATCTACCACTGTTTGCGAAAGTAAATTTTTTTATATTTCTTTGGCAAGTCTCTTGAGTTACCTTAAATCTATGACCTCTTATTCTTGTAGTTCCAGGTCTCGGGAATTTTTCCTTAACAATTTCGTTAATTCCCATTACTATTTTGTATGCAGTGATCATATTGCCTCCTTATTTTTTTCTTCTATATTCTAGTTTCGGATATTTAATGCCTCTAACCTCTCCTCATAATTCTTGTCTTTCAGTTCCGGGAGACATTTAGTTGCATGTCTGTGTACCTTTTTTCCAGTTTGTTGATGTGCTTCTTGAGATACAGGCACCATACAACTGCTGCATATTCCAACTTTTGTTTCACAAAAGTCATGAACAATTTCTTTAGTAGTTCACCATCAATGTATTTAAATGGTAAAGTTTTCTGAAATTGGAAAGCATAGCATAGGCTCCTCGCACAATGTTCCTTATGTGGTCCTCAGGTGTTAGTTTTCTATTTAGAACCACCCCTAGATATCTTTCTTTATCAGAATTTTTTAAAGCATTTTCACATAATTTATAGGTTGTGTGTGTGATCTATTTTCTCCTATTCCACATTCCATAACATGGCATTTATTCACACTAAATTCCATTTGCCAAGTTGTGCTTCATATATGTACTTATTTTATCCAGGTCTTCTTGAAGGGCATGACAATTATTCAAGTTTCTCATCTTCTCTAGTATCTTAGCATCATCGACAAATATGTTCATATAATTCTGGATGTCTTTTGGTAGGCCGTGTATGTAGACAACGAACATTATTGGTGCAAAAACTGAACGCTGTGGTACTCCACTCATGACATTTCTCCAGTCCAATATATTGCCTCTTATTACTGCCCTCATTTTCCGGTCAGTTAGAAAATTTTTCAACGCTAGAAACCCCCCTGTCACTCCTCCAGTATGGTCCAGTTTCCAGAACAACCTATTATGTGGAACTCTGTCAAAAGCCATTTTTAGGTTTATGTGAAGCAGTTTTGTTAAATTTGTACGTCTCCAGTAATAATTAAACTTAGGCTTTGCATTAACAAAAAATTGTATTGTTTTAACTTCAGATACTCAAAAAAATCAGTGAAGGAGTCCGGGAATTTGGCTTGACATGGCGGCAGATTTTACAGTTTCGACAGTTGCATGTTGGGGGAGTTGATGTGACCGTCCGCCATCTGCTGTTTACCCTGAGGCAGCGTCTACAACCACAGCTTCAACCCGAGTCCAGTCATAGACAGGTACAAAATGTTGCTTTTGAATAAATTGCTTAAACTTATCTGCATGCAGTATCATTCAAGATGGTTTCCAACCATAAATTGTCATTGATTGATGGACCAGCTAGATGACATACCCAGTATACAGTAGTTGGTACAAGCAACTAGAATTTGTTTCTTAGTTTTAGTAGCCTGCTACCATAGCTTATATTTTCTAAAGACAAAAACTCTGGTTTATGGGAGTGAGTGAGTGGTGTATGTGCTTGTTAGCTGATAGATTGGGCAATCAGTCAGGTAGTTTAATGCAGTTCATTATTATTATTTATTTGAGCCAGTCTTGTCTTTGTATCTTGGAGTTAAAGTTGTATGTTGAGGGTAATTTGCTTAACCACTGTGCTGCGTCAATAGAGAAAACACCTTTTGAATATTTCGTACCCATTCAAAATGCGTGTGCAGTAGGTTGTGTACGAAATAGACTTTTGGGACCTCCAGTGAGAGGCAGCCATTTTGGAAAAAATCCTAGAAAGCCCTATAGCTGCTGGCTGGGTTAATACTGAGTAAGCGACCATGGGTGGTGCACGTGCCTCTGGCTCCCAAACACCTCAATAGGGACGGGACGATAAAGTACCTAAATTATTGGGATCGTCTCAAAGCCCTCCAAATGTACTCACGCATCTGGGTCGGCGGTTGCAGCCAGTTGTCTTGACTTACACGTTGAAGAGCGAGGGCCGACCGCCTCCCGGGTAAGTCCCTCTTGTTTTTGTCTTTGGGTAAATAGCTCAGGGGAGCCGAAGGGGCTTTCCCCCAGAAAACCAGCATTGAATGTAATGAAACTCCATTTTCTGGGTGAGACTCGGAGGCTCCCTGGTAACCCTCCATCCCTCTGGTCGGCATTTTTTTTTTTTGCATGTTTTGGCATTCAGCCTCACAACTGCGGATGGATAGCTGGCGTGGGGGTCTGGGTTTCCCCCTCCCCCTTCTGAGGAAATGTGGGGAGCTTTCCAACCACACGGGGGTTTCCATAGGCCATTGCTCCTCATGCCTCTCTGAGGGGGCCAGGTTCTGGCTCGTGGTCCCCAGTAGGCCTAGAACTCCATGCACATTCACTGATGCCACGGTCTAATACATTCATATCAGCCCGGATAGCTCCAGGGAGCCTCTGATTCTCACCCAGAAAATGGCGTTTCATTACATTCAACACTGTTTTTTTTGCATTTTGCTAGCTTGAGCCAGGGATTCCTTGACTTTGCAGTCCAGTGTCTCAGGTTTCTCCTTTCCCCACCTAGTTCCCAAACACCCTACCCACTTCACCCAACCAAAGTTTGTTTCCCTAGTAATGAGTCCTCCAGATGGTCCTGATGGGCCTTAGTGCCCAGTTTCTCGCTTGGTTTGACTTCATGTTTAGGAGTTGAGCTGAAATTTGCGAACCATGCCTAAGATTAAGTGGAAGTTGTGTTTGTGTGATCGAGTGCAATATAAATATTTTACCCCTGCTTGTCCAGTAAATGTTAAATATTGGAAGTGGTAATCTCGTCATCTTTAATGTGCAATACAGTATATTCAAACTGAATAGAGTTTGTAATTTTAAATAAGTGTAAAATTACCAAGTAGTCAACATGCTTGTAATCTTTGATCACCATTGCTGAGTTGTACAAACATGAACGTAACATAATCTTGTATTAGTCGTTTTTGTTTTAATTTTGACCTTTAGTAGAGTGGTTCATTCCACCCAAGATGGATTAATCATAGTCTGGAACAGTATATGACCAACTATCTGCAGTACAGAATATAGTCATAATCATGCATAATTCTCATGAAATAAAAGTGTGACGGTTTGTTCCCTGTATTATATAAAATATTTAATAGTATTACTGTATATGTAATTTCCCAAGAAAGTTTTGATCCTGTACTTGGTATATTATTGTGGTAAACTTCACTAACTCATGCATTGGTTTACTACTTTTGTAGGCATCATCATCAGCAGGACCACCTTTGCCAGTCCGTCAAACATCTACAGGTGTAACATCCACCTCTCCTGCCACCATGCCCACTTCCCTTCAACCAACATCCACATCTCATACAGTTCAAGACAAGACTGGTGATCATCACTTGCCTCCAGACCAACAACAGCAACAGCAGCGTGCAAATGGAGCTGGAATTGGCAGCGGGGGCAGTAATGTTGGAGACCAACGAGGGAGCTACCATCATCACCACCACCATTTACACCACCTTCACCATCATCCTAGCAGTCAGACTCCGCAACACCCCACCTCTACTGTGAGTTCATCTCACAATTCTGTGGCAGCATCGCAATCTCCGGGCCCACAACCTGTGCCACCACTCTCATACTCGCGTAGTGCTGATACACCTGATACAGGTTAGCTTATATGTGCAGTACACATACATTTGGATATGGTGGTCATGTTTTCATTGCGTGAAATCACATTAATGTACATTAAAATTGTGAAAAGGAAAAAAATCAGAACAATTTTTTCTTGCACTTGACAGAGACAATGCATACAAAATATTCTGTAGAGTTTAAGGGTTGAATAAAATTAATGTCTAATTATATTTTCATTTCTCTTATTTTCAGCCAAGAGTGTAAGTAGTTTGGGCATTGGGGTGCCCACTGGTCAGGTGCCTACAGCTAAACTCATAGACCTCGACTCGTCCCATGAGGCCTTGCCATCCCTGAGAAACACACTGCTCTTGCCTAAGGTAACAGTTAAGGTTTATTGTCATTTTTGTTTTCTTTTTACGGTGTATTTCGTTCCGAGGGTTATATACTCGGTATGAAATTTGAATGATTAACCCTTTAACTGTGCAACGCGCCTGCAGGCCCACGTCTGGGGTGCGCTACGCGTCTTCAGGTATTTGTATTTTTCACGTTCCATTCAAAACTCCAGCGGCTACATGGGGTTCACATCAGCTTCCTCAGGGCTCTTGTAAACAGACGCCATCTTTAAAAAAAATCATGATCCACATTCTCGGGTGTGAGAGCCTCAGTAGTGAGTGAACAACCAAGGCTGGCGCTCGCAGCATGAGCGCACAGCACTGCTGTTCAGCGTGTGACTACAGCATCGCCTAATAATGTCAAAATATATATATATAACCTGTATTATTTAGCCATGATAGTATTATAGAAGAGCCTGAATGTGATAATGACTGGGTACAATGTTCAAATATCAGTGATTCAATGCTGTTCACGATGTTCACAGTCCTAGCCACAGCACCACAGCATTATTTCGTCCATCTAGGAATCTTAAATGACTTCTTAGGTTCCTTTTCAAAATAAACTTGCGGTCAATTATTCATTTACAGAAATTAGTGACCAGGATTATGGTTATAATTAGCATTGTGTGTAGTATTGTGGAAGGAGGAATTTTGGTGAGGAAGGGAGAGAATTGAGGTAGCCTCACTGTGTGTGGCAGATAAAAAAATTTAGAATTTTTTTTCTTGCACACAGGGGGTGTAAATCTCCTCAGGACCCCTTAGCAGCTTAAAGGTTAATAGTGCGGAAGCTCGTCATTCGAGGCAAATTTCGGCGAGTGGTTTGCTCGTTACTCGAAATGCTCGTAGTTGGAGCCGCTCGTCACTCAAGGTTCCACTGCATTTGTGTAAATGATTGTATATATTTGTGTATGTAACATTAACAATTGACAATTGTGTAACTAGCTTCAAAAGATTGTCACTTGCTTAGCTAAATGAACTATGGGGTTCAGTTCCTGAATTGATTATGTGCCTCTGTAACCCTTTCCACCACTTCCCATGGGATGGGTATGGGGTGCATAATAAAGAAAGAATAAAATATGAGGAGAGCATGAAGCTCTCCAACCCAACAATCAGCAGCAAGAGAAACCAAAACAAAGATTTAAAGAAACAATCACGAACTGAAGAGGAGACCATAAAATAAGAGGAAGAAAGAAATGCAAGACCACAGTCCAGAGACCAAGCATGCCGGAGTGAAACAATGTGCAAAACAGGTTGCAACACGGAGCCGAGGTAGTATTGACCCTGAACATAAGCTGCAGCAGCTCCGCCAGTGCCTATAGAATTCCACGTCTGATGTGATTAGTAGATGGTACCCTATCAGTATATAGTAGCTTCAGTGAGCCACAAAGGGCTTCTCCCAGAACTAATGATATTTGACTTTTATTGCACACTTGAACTAAAAGAATTACAATTTTTTTTTTAAGGGCGCCACTTTTGACACATTTGCTTGGGTGAAGTGGTCGCTCTCCCTTGCTTCCCCATTAGATGTGCTATTTGTTTCTAATTTTAAGCTGCATTATTGAGCCTTTCTATCTGTGTAGTATCTTTTCCTGATGTAGGTAACTTGAGTATTAATAGCTGTTGACTGTGCATCTGAAATATATGCTAAACTGCACCTGCACCTTCCATACTCTAATTTTTAGTTAACACTATCTGCCAAGTGTATGAAACCGACTCCAAATTCCAATATCTCTTCTCCTGTTTTGAAATTACAGTTCAATTTCTTATTTTTGCCACTATATGGATCCACAAAATTCATGAGCTCCCATGTCCATCTCTCAGACCTCATGAACATATATTTTCCTTCACTGACCTTTAACATTCTTTCCTTGCACACACTATCAAACTTATTCACAATATTTTGCAATTAGCTCACTGCACTACAAATAATGGTGTAGAATGCTGTTCCTATTAATTATTAATTATTATTTCAGGTATTGCCACATAAACGAAGTTCTAAAGCCACTTTAGCAAGCAGTCGTGTTCTACCTCCCTTAGAAAACTCGGAGTCCTGCCCACCTCCGCCGCCTCCCCCTGAAGTGTTCCAGGCAGGTACCTTGGATGAACATCTAGAAGCTACTCTTTCTATTGTGAAGGATCCAAATAGGAACTCGACTAATCTGAGCACTCCTAATGATCAAGGTGCCAGCTCTTGGGAAACTTGGGATTTTGTGTATCGGGGACTTGAGAAGAGAGGTTACAATAAAGACATTGGTGACCGTGGTGACATTCTCCACCAAATAACACGACAAAATCTTTATCCTGAAGCAATAACCCAAGGGAAGAACAATAACTTGAACAACAAGAAAGATGTGACAAAGAGTAAGCCATTATCAATCAACCAAGCTCTGCAGGCTCTTGCTCTTAATGAAACTCGAGAGAGAGTAGAAAGACCCTCCAGTTCCAGTAAAAGTTCTCATTCAATATCTCATGGTGCTGGTCCTGACATCTTCCCAAATCTTACCAAAAGGAATAGCCTGTATGACAATATTTCTGCAGGCTTTGAGACAGCTCCCCAGGACAGTGATGATTATGAGGATAGAAAACCCATATTAAAGAAGACCAGCAACTTGATTAGGACAGAAAATAGATTAGACCTAAGTAACAAAAATAATGTCAGCAGTTCTTCTTCACCGCGCAGTTTAAGTATGAGCAGTAAGGGCTCTCACTCTAGGCAGGAGTTACCATCAGAGACCTCTCACTCTACAACAACAGTCCCTACTCTTCAGCAGGCCAGCATCACTACAACAATCTCCCAAGCTAGAGAACCTCTGCCTCTACGAGACAGTTTACCTGAAATACCATGGTCCTGCAGCACCTGTACGTTTTTGAACGACAAAAGTCGATCGGCTTGTGACATGTGTGGAAAGTCACGCATGCCAGGCCCAGAAGCTAAACCTCTCATTTCAGGGGGAAGACAATGCCCCCAGTGCACACTCATTAATGAGAGAAATGCTCAGGATTGTTCTGCTTGTGGTGTACATCTTGAGGGTTCTTCCACATACATATAAAAAGAACATTATGTGAAAAAGAATAAGCAATTGTAGCCAAAGCAATCAATTAGCATCTGGGTTTGCCAAATAAACATTGTCTATAAATAGATTTTTTATCTTGGTAAGTTACCCCATGAGTGTTGTGTTGTATCATATTTGCTGTTTAAAACCTAATTATTTTTGAAAACTGAAATTTGATCACATGGTATCTGAGTAAGAGTTTTTCCAATCAGAATTTTTTTTAAGAACGTATTGTTCTAGGTCAGTTAGCATTTGTCAGGCTCTTGCACTGATGATTATACAAAGATGCATCCAGGCGAACGTCAATGGGCTCAAGTCTTTCATCATATACAGTACTGTGTATCTCCTGTGTTAACTTTTAATTGTTATTAGAACTTGGACAATAGCATAAAACTAAACACACCAGTACTTCCATTCTTTTACTAAATCTTTCAGAATCTTTATTATTTAGGACACCAGCTTCCGACTTAACTCTATAACAATTGTTTCTTTGTGGAACAATTTGGATGCATAAATCTTAATAGTTTGTCCTTAATAATGAAGAGTACAAAACTGGTAGAAAATGAAAGAAAATATATATTAATAAAAGTAATATGATGTCTAGATTATTATGAGGATACAGGTTCTTAAAGTTTGACTTGCATCTTCTGTGATGCAAACTGAGCTAGATTTAATATTTCACGAGCTCAATTATCAGTTACTGTATTACATAAGTGGCAGCACGGGTATGAAGCGAGTGCAAATGCTTGTTACCTTATCGTCTAGATTGACAACTCCATATATTTTAGTTCATGTTACAAACAAACAGGTGGTATGGATTTACAACTAAGCATGCCATAATTCTGTTTTATAAGTGCCACTATCCAAAAGCAAATTTAATTGTATGAATATCTATTTTTAATATACATGATATCATCAAAATACTGAATATATTTTCACAAAATTGTTAGTAATTTCTAGTAAATAGCATCCAGTATGAAGATGGCATGGCCTAGAGTCTTTGTTTTCACTATAGCTTCTCTGCAGTACAGTACTGTACACTACAGTACAGTATGGTACTATAAATAAAAATGTGACTGTTCTCTATCTACTACAAAATTGGAAAACAAAAACTCTCCTCATTTTTCATTGAGAAATTCAGTCTGAATCTAGTTACAAAAATTCTTGATATCTATACTACATTATATGCCATTGTCAATTAATGACTTTGTATATTGCGGGACACATTAGCCATCAAATAGTCCTTAAAGTGCATTAACAACATTTATAAATTTTATATGCAATTCACCATTTGTTTCAGCGTTAGAGCCAAGAATTTACTTAGGGTAGATGGCATCGCTAACATGTAGCTGGAATACGTTTTGACTTGTTGACATTATGCTTTCAGAGTTGCAGAAAATGTGAAGTGTGTGTGATCATGTTGATCTGTATTTTCATATACTGTAACCGTTACAGTAAATATTTGCATACAGAGTTCTGGGAAAAACATTACCATTATAGACAAATCTTTTCAACATGAGTAGCATGTTCTTTCAAAATGGAGTATATTATAGATAACTTTATTTTTTTTTTTTATATAAATAATTTACAAGCTATTCATAATGCCAAGAGAACAAAAGTAATTACATTGTGTTTCAGTTACTCTTTGTCAGAGGAATTTGATTTACATATAGAAACCTCCCCTTCCCCTTATAATTTTCCTTTGTGCTTTCTTGTCAACTAGAATATCAGTAGATATCAGCTGTGTATTGGTTGTGTATTTTCAGGGTATATAATTCCAGTTTTATACCCTCACTATTTTCCCTATAAATTTAACTTATTCATTCTACAGATGCATTGAAGCACAATAAAAATCAATTGATATTTAATTAGAAAGGTAAGATTTATTTTCTGTGATTTACCAAAGTCTCTGAGGTGAGCTTCATATAATTATTATTATTACAGTATTTACTAAAATACAGCACCCGAGGTGAAAATTGTATAATATTTATTTTTGTTCTTATTTCTTTATGTATGCATTAAGGAAAAGCTTTAATGTATGGAATGTTGAGTATGTTATTAACCAACTAATAGTCACAGCCAGTTAACTCGATGAGTGTTTTTGTTCTAGCTGTCTTGGCTAAATATTGTGCAGGCGGGTTTCACATTGCTGCGTGGAATAGTATTAACAGTCTTGTATCACTGGCAGTCTTTTTTTTTTTTTTTTTTTTTTTTTTTTTTTTTTTATGGCAAAAATTTTTTTAAAAAATTTAATTAGGGTGAATTTATATTCTAGTCTTCAATTTCATTGCTTCTCATTATATCACCATTTAACATTCTCTCATTAGTGCCCTAGAACATAAATATATTTAGAGATGCACATTTTAGTATCTTAAGTACCGTAGCTTTTTTGTATTTTTTATCTTTTGGGAAAAACTGGAGTAGGAAGGCACACTGCTGCGAAATCTGAAGAAATAACCTTTGAGTGTGTGAAAAAATCATTATTTACAGCCCATCCAAACAAGACAGTTCCTTTTTGTATAATTATTGGCAGTTTCATTGTCATGTGGATTTGTCATTGTACAAACATTGACAAGATTTATCTTATATGAACTGGTAGTGGGCTTGCCGTTCTTAATTTGTTACATATATTTTTGCATTCTAATTATTAGCATAGCATGGACTTCCTTTACTACTGTAGTAAAGGTTGTAGTCATTCAGGGTTATATTTGCTAAACATGTTTTCAGTATTGTACAGTGTTCATTGACAATTATATTTTGTGTAATTAAACAATGTGTAATGTGAAATTAAACCTCAAATTTAGAAAAAACATGTTGTTATATGTCACTGGCCCCAAGGCTGCAGCTTAAGCAGCATTTTCCGTCAAGAAATGGGCATAGCACTGATGTGTCGGATTGAATTGTGTCATGAGGATTAGCAGGTTAAGTTTCTTATGTTTGGTGCACCTATTCTGTCTTAACCCTATGGGTTTGAAAAGTAAGTACTTTACTGTATATACAATAAGATTCAACTGTCATGAATTAATTAAGTTTTCAGCTGCTGCAAGCAGGGGAAGTTTACGTTGGAGGGAAAATGAGAATGCAAGAAGTATAGAGGGAATACAGAAGTGTAGCAATCATTACCGGTAAATTATGGCTCGAGACTAATATTTTCCATGTGCAAATATGGGCTTTGGTATTTAGAAGGTTGTAAAAGTAACACAGTTCCCTGTTTTGGAAGTTGATCATTAGATATTTTGGTGAACCTTTATCTAGATCTTTAAATGTTTCTAAATATTTAGTTATTTTTACATTATCAATTTATTATTTATATATAATACTGGAAATGGTTGATAATCAGTCATTTTAACTCTGTATTAGTACTCTGGGCTATTTAAATTCCCTCAGACAAACCATCCAGAAACTTGTAATGTGCTGGGTGAGCAAATGCACCAGAGAACTAACCTAGAGTTAATAGCTATTATTTACTTTATCTAATCCTTTTGCCATATTGCTAATACCTCTAGGATTGGCAGGGTTCTAATTAGTGATGCATCAATTTGGTTTTATTCTTTAATATTTCATTGCAAACTCGCTCCCTCCCACACTACTCACAAGTAAATTAAACTCGTAAAATTATTTTAATCTTTAATTATTGAAAAAATTTCTAAAATCTATGTTTTGCTCTATATTAGCAAGCATACATACCATTTATGTATATTTTTTTTTAATACAAATATCAACAGTATATTGGTGAAAATCCAAGCTAAATTACTATTTGTTTATGCAAGGAAAATACTTTTCTATGGAGTAATCATGAATCTTGTCTATTGTTACTAATTACAGTACATGTATCAAATTGTTTGGTACAATATTGCAATCTTCAGTTCTGTACTTAAGTATGCAAACATGCATAGTTAACAGTGAACTAAACTTCATATACCAACTCGACAGTATTATCTTTGTGTGATTTGTTTAGTACGATTTAAAACAAATATTTGCTTTTCACAAGTTGACTGACTTGTGATTGTGTTCACTTTGAATTATGAAACTTTGAAATTGCATAACTTCAAAGCAGTGTTTGGTTATGGCTGTAATACCAAATTTCACTTAAAACTGTAATAGAGGTCTGTATTTTTGGGCTTGAGTTATTGAAAAGTTTGTCAGATATTAGACAGCTTTATTTGTTTTTGTTCCTGCAGGTATCCTGTTATTCTGGAAAGATTTTAGGGTTATAGCATGAAATGCTGAAAGCCTGCCTGATAAATTTGACCAGCATTTGGTTTCTCAACACTGCAAGGTTTCTGTTCCCACTGGTAATTAAAGGCATTCTTATAATTCTTAATTCTGGAGATACTAAACTTTTAAAACCTGCAAGTCAAGTGATGTTAATGTTGAAAGGGCATTTCTTAAATTTTAGCATTATAATCCCTAGACTGCCACCTACTCATTGATTATAACCCAAGTGATATGTTATGTACATACTCTTGTGCAAGGCCTAAGGCTGTGGGCCAGTATGACACAGTTTTAGTTAGGAGTTTTAGTGTGAGTTTTTCTAATCTCTGGTGATATTATTTATTTAGAATATACTTGGTCATGAAACCTTTTAAGTGTTACTAAGAGTATAAGTTCTTATTAATGATTAATCTTAATTCTTAATTTCAAAAGTCTGTTGTAATGTCTTAAAGATTGTTATTTCTAGCCTTTTTTGGTGTTACACAGCCAATTCAGGTAACCAACACAGTGTAATATAGTCTGTTTCATTATGTATTAATGAACGATACACACACACTATACAGTATATATAAATATATATATATAAATTATAGTAATGTATCAATACCAAGTGCCCATAATAAAGAGAATATCATGACAATTTTTAATTGTTTCTGTTGTGTTAAAGTTCTTAATTTTGGATTGAATTGTTATCATATGAAAAGTTGATACTTTATCTTGCATAATAATTATCCATTACACAGCAAATATATTTTCTGTGAGGAGCCCCGTCTGCTTCCTGAAGTTATCCGAACTAATATGGTGCTATACTAGTTTGGGGTCAGCAGTCACAGGAGTCCTTTGCCTGCTGAGGACTGCTAGCCAGAACCTGGCCCCCGCTCGGGTAAACCGGCAGCCCACCTCTCCAGATTTTGAACTGATGTGCTGGCGGTCGGATTGTCACCTCTGGCCTCAAATTCCTGTTCTTGATTTTCACCTTACTCGCCTAGTTGTGCTTGCAGGGGTTTGAGCTTTGGCTATTTGGTTCTGCCTCTGTACTGGTGTACAGATTCCTGAGCTTCTCAAGCTCTATCATATCTACATTTGAAACTATGAATGGAGTCAGCCTCCACCACATCACTTCCTAGTGCATTCCATTTACTAACTCTGACCGAAAAAGTTCTTTATAATGTCTCTTGTGGCTCATTTGGGTACTCCGCTTCCACCTGTGTCCCCCTTGTGCATGTACCACTCGTGTTAATAATACATCCTTGTCCACCCTATCAGTTTCCCTGAGAATTCTGTATGTGGTGATCATGTCTCCCCAAGCTCTTCTGTCTTTCAGTGATGCGAGGTGCAGTTCCCTCAGCCTTTCCTCGTAACTCTTGCCTCTCGGTTCTGGGATTAGCCTAGTGGCATACCTATGAACTTTTTCCAGCTTCGTTTTGTGCTTGACAAGGTATGGGCTCCATGCTGGGGCTCCATGCTGGGGCCACATACTCCAAGACTGGCCTTACATATGTGGAATACAAGGTTCTTAATGTTTCCTTACAGAAGGTTTCTGAAGGCAGTTCCGATATTTGCCAGCCTCGCATATGCCGCCGATGTTATTCTTTTGGTGTGGGCTTCAGGAGACAGGTTTGGTGTGATATCAACTCCTAGATCTGCTTGATGCCTGTTTGATGGGGTTCTGGGAGTTCTACTCCCCAAGCCCGACCTGTGGCAAGGACTGACTTGTGAGAGTTTGGTCCACTAGACTGTAGCTTGGAGTGGCCTGCAGGCCCCCACATCCACCACAGCCTGGTTGGTCCGGCACTCCTTGGAGAAAATTATCTGGTTTTCTCTAGATGTCGTCTACGGTTGTTCCAGCAATACCTGTATTTCTTATGCTCGCTGGGAGGGTGTTGAATAACCGTGGACCTCTGATGTTTATGTTCCGAACCTTAATGGAATCTGACCCATATATCAATCAGGTCAACCCATGTGTTGCGTTTCCAAAAGGGTCGCCCATGTTAGAATCGGTGAACGCCCTAGTAATATTGTTGAAAACATCTTAATAACTTATTAAACCAAAGGTCTTTTTATGTCAGAAGAACGGCAGAAACTGGATCTATATATGAAAACTCTTTCAGGACAAAATTTAAAGTAAAACTAAAGATATTTGTAGTTGTATAAAAGTTGCATTTTTCATCGTTCGTAGAGCCGGAAATCCGCAATATTCATCTCAGAACAATGCTTATTTCACGCAGAATCGTTAATAAACGTAAGATTTTTATACGTCTCAAGAAAGATAGAAACATAATCTTCATTTTAAATGCCTTACCATGGGCATATTTGTATTTAAAGCGAAGATACGTGTATTTTTCTAATCGGCGAGCTCCGATCCCGCACAGATCGAACAACGGAGTAACTCTCTCAGAACAATGCTTATTTCACGTAAATTCGTTAATAAACGCAAATATTTTTATATGTGTTGAGAAAGATAGAAATATAAGCTTCATTTTAAATACTTTACCATAGATATATATAAAGTTCTAATGAAGATACATGTGTTTTAATAATCGCCGAGCTCCGACCCCGCACAGACTGATCGACAGAGCAACTCTCTCTCAGAACAATGCTTATTTCACGTAAATTCGTTAATAAACACATATGTTTTATATGTCTCAAGAAAGATAGAAATATAAGCTTCATTTTAAATACTTTAACATAGACATATATAAAGCTCAAGTGAAGACACATACGTTTTTATAGTGGCATTCAGTAGCTTGTCGGTCATGGAATGCAGAAGCCTACGCACTTGCCAATATAGTGTGTAATTAACAAAGATACGCTTATAAAGCCTAAAATATTATATGCCTTCAGAAAGACAGAGATATGCTCGTTATTGTGAGTGCACCAAAGGAAATATATCTTGTTGGAGGACAAAGATATATCAATTCTAAAATAAGTTTCGACTCTCGCTCGGGCGAGAGATAGCGCGACTCTCGCCCCATCTATTGGAGATTCTGTTCACCTAATGACCCAAAGCTACTCAAAGCCTCCTAGCATTACTTAAATAATGAAGAAATATGGTATATTTATTCACTATAATGTTGGTGCTTAATGCAGAACACGAGAAAACATATATTTACTATAAAATAATATACTTCCATTATGAAATAAGTAAATATGTGGCCTCATAGGAAGTCAACGGTCCAGGTGTCAATGTTGTGGAGCGACTTATCCAAGATATATTGTTGTCTGGAAAGTGTTTGTTGGCATATCAACCTTCTGTACACAGTGATCCAGTCGTCGCACTTCTCTCCTTAAATGATCGCAAATTTAGTTTATTATATTAACAAGTATAATACGTATTTCTAATAATATCTAACATAACTAGCCTGAAAATATTTAAGACTTATTGAAAAATACATGTCTGGAAGTTAAATCGACTTCATAGAACAATAGTGTTGGTCTATACTAATCGTTATTCGTTAGTATGCGTTCGCTACTTAAAACATTTACTGTACTGATGTAAAATCTCCCATGTCTCTTCGCACATGAAACACCGAACCTTACACACTCTGATATATTGTTTAATTAATAGAGATTCACTAATAAAGCTTATAATTGTATATGTTATCAAAAAGGCATAGATAAAGTCGTTCTTATGATTTAGTCACAGAGATTAGATATTAGTAAAGTAAAGTTCATTTTATTCAGGAAAGTACATAAATAGTCGATTTACAAACATAATATTGGATTTATAGATAGAGCTAGTACATACAATACCTAAAGCCACTAGTACGCATAGCGTTTCGGGCATATTATTGAGAGAGGAAAGATATTTATATTTAAACAATTTTTTTTTTACCGACGCTCTCCCTATTGATGAGAACTACAACCTAATGAAGATAAATGTTAATTTTATGTAGATACTGTAATAAACGAAAGTTTTTAATGTCATCAGAGAAGCAGAAATATAGGCAAATTTTAAATCCCTTGTCATAAATATAACTGAAGTGAAAGCAAAGATATATGCATTTTGATAGTTACAAAGACACCTCTTTAACACGGGTGGAACACGAACAAGGGGAACTTAGTACCCAAATGAGCCACAGAGATATTAGAAAGAATTTTTTCAGTGTCAGAGTAGTTAACAAATGGAATGTATTAAGCAGTGATGTGGTGGAGGCTGACTCCATACACAATTTCAAATGTAGATGTGATAGAGCCCAATAGGCTCAGGAACCTGTACACCTGTTGATTGACGGTTGAGAGTCGGGACCAAAGAACCAAAGCTCAACCCCTGCAAGCACAAATTAGGTGAGTACAACTAGGTGAATACAGCTGAGGGGCGGGACCAAACAGCTGAAGCTCAATTCCCTACGCATAACTAGGCGAGTCCATAGGAATTACCGTTTGTCCTGGCGCCATCTATGTTTTGACAGCAGTGCTACTAATGTTCCCACGTTATGTGATGATCGCTATACGGGTGTTACAGTCAGTTGCTCTTCTATATATGTTTATGGACAACGTAGGTGATTTGAAGCAATTTGCGGCCAGAGTGAAATAGTATCCACGCGGTGAGTGATGGAGGAGGATATATACTGCTGTGTACTCGACCAGCGGGTGAGAGGTAAGTTATATCGAACAATTATGGGGAATAGATGGGTTATTTTAAGCGTAGAATGTCGGGTAACCGGTAACTACACAGATGGGGTAGTGTTTTTTTTAAGTCTTTATTTACTAAAGTTGAACATTACATTATGCCTGTAGCTGAACAAGTCTACTGGTGGGGGAAGTAGACGGGTTTTATGAAGGTATTTTACCTAAATATTTGTATTTGGTTAACTAGTTCAGCCGTTACCAGGGAGGGTGTTCCTTTAATCTAATCTAAAAATTCTAGCCGGACAAAGTGATTAAATAAAGAAATTGAATAGAACGAAGTGGTTTGCCAGGGTGCTTAACATTTAGTTTAGTTCACTTACTATGCAGCCCATGCTTAAAGAATGCAAGTTTATCATATAGAATTTACCGTAGTTTTACTGCATTTAATATACCGTTTTTACCCTATTTAATTATGTCGGGTTAAGGCCGGTCGTGGAAAGTTCCTAATATAGCAAGTTTTAAAGGAAAAGTTTGAGTTAACTTTAACGCTTAAGTTAGTGACCAATTAGCTTAGTCTATTGTGAGGAAAGTTACTAGAATTGAACGCAATTAGTAATGATTCAAAACTTACACCTAAACATGCAGTTGTCTGTGATTGCTGCAATGGAGAATTCATAAGTTTAAAAGGACAATTCCCTTTACTAATTCCACAATGACAATTTATCATTACTGTATTCTAATTTAGAACAGTTAAACATAAGAGTCTGCAAATCTTGTGTCCAAATTCTTTCAAAATATTTGAAGGCGGATTGTTTTAATTTGTATTTTTATCAGGTTTCTCTTTGGCTTTTTCATCTTGTGCAAAAAAGTTAATTAAAGATGAGAGGAGCCGAGGCGAGACTTTATCTTCATGTTGACGAGCATAGTTCAGGACGTACTCGTCTGCTCCTGTAATTGTGTAACGTCGACCCCAAATATCCAGGGTGGCTCCTGAGAATGATAAATCGTGTAAAACAATTATACATACAGTGAACAGTTTGCTTTCTAATTTAAACATTTAATGTTTTCCTCTACATTTGATATACAAGGTGGGTCAAGCAGGGGAGTGCATATAGAATGGCAATGTCAAATTGCTCCCAACTTGACCTTTTCTATTGTTACTCCTCTGTGATAGTGACGACAATACATGCAGCGTCCTGAAAATTTATGCTACATTCTTACGATGCAATGTGTGACCAAGTTTTGTCCCTGAATTTTGAGTCATAATATGAAAGATTTCAAATCATGCGGCCTCAAAAAAGCAACACTACTATAAAGTGAGTAATTTTTGTTTGAAATAACACACCTTACAAGAATGACAAAATTAAAATAGCTCTCGAGATTTTTAAGTTAGAAAATTTTGAATACGTTCATGGAAGCTGGACATATTAAAAATAAAGCTATACAGCATGTCCGCTTCCATACACAAGAGAGCAAGTAAATCAACTGTCTGGTGTTATTTTAGTCATTCCACTCCCACTCAACCCCCCCCCCCCCCCACACACACACAATGTAAAAATGTTGTGTAAAACAGGACCAGGTCTATTCTATAAGTTCATAAACAACAAATTGCAGGATAATATTCAGAGGTTGAAAATGGGAAATAGATTCACGGAAAATGAAAAGGAAATGTGTGAAACACTAAACGAAAAGTTCCAAAGTGTGTTTGTATAAAATGAAATCTTAGGGAACCAGACACAATAAGAATTTCGGAGAACAACATAGAGCACATAGGTGTCTAGAGACGAAGTGGAAAAAAATGTTCAAGAAGCTCAGTAAGAACAAAGCAGTTGGTCCAGATGGGGTTTCACCATGGGTTCTGAGAGAATGTGCACCTGAGCTCAACATTCCACTTCAACTGATTTTTCAGGCATCCCAGTTTACAGGAGTTGTAGCTAATATGTGGAAAAAGGCTAACATAGTTCCAATCTACAAAAGTGGAAGCGGGGAAGACCCCCCTTAATTATAGACTTGTATCATTGACAAGTGTAATAGTCAAAATATTGGAAAAAAATAATTAAAACTAAATGGGTAGAACACCTGGAGGAAAACGATATATCAGACAGACAGTATGGTTTTCGATCTGGAAGATCCTGTGTAACGAACTTACTCAGTTTTTATGATCGAGCCACAGTGATTTTATAGGAAAGAGATGGTTGGGTTGACTGCATCTATCTGGACCTAAAAAGGCTTTCGACAGAGTTCCCCATAAGAGGTTGTTTTGGAAACGAACATATTGGAGGGGTGACAGGTAAGCTTCTAACATGGATGAAAAATTTCCTAACCGACAGAAAAATGAGGGCCGTAATCAGAGGCAAGGTATCGGATTGGAGGAATGTTAAGAGTGGAGTACCACAGGGTTCAGTTTGTTTGTTTATTTATTTATATACAAGAAGGCACATTGGGTTTGTGAGAATACATAGCATAGTATTTACAATCTTGTAAAGCCACTAGTACGCCCAGCGTTTCGGGCAGTAATTCTTGCATCGGTCATGTTCATTGTCTACATAAACAATCTACCAGTGGGAATACAGAATTATATGAACATGTTTGCTGATGATGCTAAGATAATAGGGAAGATAAGAAACCTAGATGATTGTCATGCCCTTCAAGAAGACCTGGACAAAATAAGTATATGGAGCAACACTTGGGAAATGGAATTTAATGTGAATAAATGCCATGTTATGGAATGTGGAATTGGAGAACATAGACCCCACACAACCTATAAATTATGTGAGAAATCTTTAAAGAATTCTGACAAAGAAAGGGATCTAGGGGTAGCTCTAGATAGAAAACCGTCACCTGAGGACCACATTAAGAACATTGTGCGAGGAGCCTATGCTACACTTTCTAACTTCAGAATTGCTTTTAAATACATGGATGGAGAAATAGTAAAGAAATTGTTCACGACTTTTGTTAGACCAAAGCTGGAATATGCAGTGGTTGTGTGGTGCCCATATCTTAAGAAGCACATCAACAAACTGGAAAAGGTCCAACGACATGCCACTAAGTGGCTCCCAGAACTGAAGGACAAGAGCTACGAGGAGAGGTTAGAGGCATTAAATATGCAAAAACTAGATGATAGAAGAAAGAGGCGATATGATCACTACGTTCAAAATAGTAACAGGAATCGATAAAATCGATAGGGAAGAATTCCTGAGACCCGGAACTTCAAGAACAAGAGGTCATAGATTTAAACTAACGAAAAGCTGCAGGAGAAATATAAGAAAATTCACTTTTGTAAACAGAGTGGTAGACGGTTGGAACAAGTTAGGTGAGGTGGTGGTGGAGGCCAAAACCGTCAGTAGTTTCAAAGCGCTATATGACAGTGTGCTGGGGAGACGGGACATCACAGGCGTAGCTTATCATCAACGCTGTGAGAGCTGGAGACGAAGCCCCAGCCGAAAAACAATACAACTGAGAACAGCCCGAGCGCCGAATGAGAAGAGCGCCATGAAACCGAGCCTTGAAAAAGAAATTTAAATAAAAATATATTAAGATTCACCAGTCAAAATGGTGCAAAAATCACATGTCCCTGACGGCGTCGAAAGAGCGCCATTGATGAAAATGCCCCGAGGCCGCCACAGCCAATGGAAACAGGTGAGGACCAGTCTGGGCATCAGGTGCACTTGGTCTCTAGTAAAGTCAAGACTATTCTAGCACCAGCTGGAGCTCAGAGGTGCACCCGTAGCACATCCATACAACGTGGGCGTTAATGCCCTAATTACTATTTTCAAGCAGTAATAATTAAAGAAAATATCTATCATCAATAAAAATGTCTTACCTATGTAAAAGTCATCCAACGTGTAGACGTGTGGCTTGGAGTAGCGTCCGGCTCCCACCTCGTCGCCTCTCACCTTTGGTTTTGGAACACAGGTTCTGGAGAGCACTCGTCCTCCCAGTCCACCTGGCCGAGCCTGTGGAATATGAAGCCCTCACTTAGTTTAATACTTTAATATATTTAATATTTTGATATGGTTCTCAGTTGTTGAGAGCAGGAAGCTTGTATTTAAGCTTACTGTGATCCTTGACCAACGGCTGACCCAACCTCATGATGCGATCCACACTAGTTATCTATCTACTGCTAGGTGAGCAGAGACATTTAAAATTGCTTAAATGTTATCAAGTTAATAAATATACAAATTATGCAGCTTTTAACATTTGTAACATTCAAATGCTGTATAACAGTGATCTCTACAAAGTAATTTATCATTGTCTACATTGTACATTGATAAGGCTCAACTATCTACAGGCTGTATTGAAATGTAATTGTAAGAGCGTAAGAGCGTTATGTAAGAGCAGCTGCTGGCTTGGAAGAGGGGCCACGCCGTCTCCGTCCCGGTTTATATAACCTTGGCTCAATGCGCGCGCAGCTCGGGGCGGTTAAAGTCAGCTTCCAGACATACGTTCTCTTCCACTCAGAAAACCCACCGTTTTTGGGAAAAACAGTGTTCTTTTAACATACAAAGCTACTTTGGTGGGTGGTAAGCACTATTACTGTGCACAGCAGACTGTCTTACTAGTTCAGTCAACTCCAGAGTATCGTCAATGACGTGGTGGACCAGGATAAAGCAGCGGTCAGCCTCCGTCTCCAGCGGAGAGTCTAGTTTAGCAGAGAACCTCAGAACCTGCAAGAAATATTAAACAAAGAATATAATATATATATATTAAATACACATAATATGGTCCATGAATATATAATTGTGTATTCGGTGAAATGTACATTTAATTACTGCTTTGTTTATAACATGGCAAATGCAAAAGTGTTTGAGCAGTGTAAAGAGCAGATGGGGTGATCCCTCCCTTTCCACCCAAGAAGCAAATTAGAGATCAGCCCAAGCTTCGTCTTGAGGCAAAGCTCAACGCCTTAAGCCATATTGATGCTCTGTCCACAGAGCATTCTCTCTAATCCTATACACTGATGGTTCCCTACACTGCCATACGGGCGCATGACAGCTGAGTGGACAGCGCTTCGGATTCGTAGCCATGAGGTTCTGGGTTTGATCCCTGGTGGAGGCCGACACAAATGGGCAAAAAGTTTTTTTCACCATGATGCCCCTGTTACATAGCGGTAAATAGGTACCTGGGAGTTAGACAGCTGCTACGGGCTGCTTCCTGGAGGTTTGTATAAAAAAGGAGGCCTGGTCGAGGACCGGGCCACGGAGACGCTAAGCCCCGAAATCCTCTCAAGATAACGGGTGCAGCTGGAAGTGCAGTTGTCCTGACAATGGGCGATGGCTTATCTTTTGAGTGGGGAGTCCGTATAAACAATTGGGCCTCTACCCTTCAGACCGAACTATTTGCCTTGCTCCTTGCACTAAAATGTGTACAAGTCTCCAAACTTGATACATTAATTGTAAGTGACTATCATCCTTAATTGTCCTCAACTCTTTAAGACGTAACTGTAACATGCTCGTGTCTGAAGCTAGGCACAAGTTCTCAAAAGTTTGAGTATAACTAGCTCTCCACATATGTCAGTTACTTAAATGATAAACTGTACTTATGGTCGATCTCGAACCTATTGATGATGTGACGATGTGTATTGGATTTTGTAACTAGCTCATCAAGATTGTAACTTGCTTAGCTAAATGAATTGTGGGGTTCAGTCCCTGAGCCCATTATGTGCCTCTGTAACCCTTTTCACTACCGCCCACAAGAAGGGTATGGGGTGCATAATAAATGAACTAAACTAACTCACTGTTGCATCCTGGGAGTTCAAGAGTCCCGGGCGCGCCCGGGGGCGAGGCACGATGTCCGAATGCGTCTTGCCGCTGGAGCCGCCTTCAGCTTCCTGCAAACAACACAAACACACCATTATAAACAGGTGACGCTAAGTGTGTAGAACAATGTAATTTGCTTATATCATAAACATAATTAATAATGGTAAAATATAAAGATTTTGCATATCGTGCTGTTCTTAATGCAACAAATTATGTATAGGTAGGTACTCACTGTGTGTTGCAAGATAAGTTTGTATATGAATCATGGCTATGAACTTACCTTAGCAGTCTCTATGACCTTCATGGCTGGGATATTATCAATGCCATAGTTATCCAAAAGAAATCTTTGAGTTAGATTGTCACATCCTGTCACCATAACTCTGTAAAATATGTGTAAATTATCTACTTGTAATCAAATCAAATGTTTATTCAGGGAAAAGTACATACATACAAGATGAGCTACAAACATAATGTTGGATTTCTTGAAAGAGCAAGTCATACAAAGCCTAAAGCCACTAATACGCACAGCGTTTCGGGCAAGGTGTGGGGGGAAAAAAACTTAGACCCAAACTTAATACTAATGAGATCAAAGCATAAATTGAGTTGAAAAAGGGGAAAGGGGGGGGGGGGGGGAAGGGAACATGGCGGAAATCAGTAGGTATACAAGTTGGTCACAAGTTATACAAGTTACAAATATTACAAAGTTCCTTGGCCTATACTTAGGCAAAAGACTCAACTTCAGCACCGACATACAACACATAGCCAAGAAAGTCTCAAAAACGGTTGGTATACTCTCTAAAATCAGATATGTTCCAAACTCTGCTCTCCTCTCACTATACTATGCGCTAATCTATCCCTATCTTACATATGGTACCTGTGTGTGGGGCTCAACCACTGCATTGGACTCTGGGGGTCGGGTCGGGTCGGGGAGCTTCATGCTTTTCTCCAGCGCAGTGGTTTCTGCTCTTTTGGTCCTGGAGGAAGGTTTGTTAGACTGCAGCAGTCTCCTCCTTTCCTGGTGAAGAATGAGTTTGCTGCCTTCCGGAGGGGTCCTTGAATTGTTGATGCTTGGTCGGTGAGGCCCGGGGTACATCATGTGTATGTCCGGTTGCATCTCCGCCGATATTTAAGCGCCACGGCTTCGGTGGCCGGGGACACGCTTTGGGTTGACCTGGTTTCCCTCCTTCCCTTTCCCGGGCGTGGGTCTCCCAGGTCGTCCACAGGATTATCAGGTCTAGCCAGTCTGCGGTCTATCCTCCTGCCCACGACGTTCGTAAGGTTGCTGCTTTGGCTGCCGTCTTTGGCAACATGTCTTGATTGACGTTCGGGTGCGGGGTTTTTGGAGGTCGAACAGGGTCCTGGCCGCTCGCTACCTTATCAACGTTCCTGGACCTCGTAAGGCTCGCCTGCGTTGCATTGGGTCGGCGGTTGCAGCCAGTCGTCTCTACCTTGAGTTGAGGAGCGAAGTCCGGCTGCCTCCCAGGTAGGTCCCTGTTTTCCGTTATCTTTGGGTAGTTAGCTCCGGGAAGCCGACGGGGCTCCTCCCAGAAAATGGCGTTTCATTAAATTCAACGCTGGTTTTATGAACAATCTTGTAACAATTAATTTGGTACTAAACTAAAGAATATTTAATTTGAAACAATATTTAAAAAATGGCAAGTTTATTATAAATCAACGCACCTTCTACCAAAGATGGTCACAGTAGTTGGTGGGATCAGGTGGCGAGGCGTCAGCCAATCACCAACTTCCCCTTCCTCGCCGATGTCAACAAACGAAGCTGAATGGAGAGAACAGGGTTACCCCGACCTACCCTACATCCTAAACCAAATACTGACTTATTAACATCTACGTAAGTCAGTAAGAGACTTGTTGTGAACACGACAGCCCTTAGTTCTTAGGCTGGGCTGGATAACCACATTAAAACAATGCCTGGCGGGTTCACGATGTGCGGTCAAAAAAGTCGGAATAGTCTGTATTTTGAAAATTTGTTAACTGCTCTTAACTTTGGCTAGACTGACTTCATTCACTTGCAGCCCGTGACCAAACGTTGGCCTATGCATAGACCCTAAAAATATAATATAATGTACCTAATAGCCAGAACCGCACTGCTTTGTATAGTATGGAAGGTCCGAGTTGCCTAATAAACAGTGATTTTTGTTATTTTCAAATATTTTTCAAAATTGGTTTATTCTAATTAATATTATTATATTAAAGACATGAATATATGACTATATGACTATAGACTTATTCATATTAGGTTAAATTTAATCAGATTTCTATGTTAATTTTAACTAAAATTAAAAAAAATCATATATAATGTAATGAAATGCTTATTCATTCCAAAAGTTTTTTTTAATATGAAATTTCATGAAAATTCGGTTTGTAACGTAAGAACGTAAGGTAATTATAGGCTAAGAAATACTATACAAGCCGTTATATTCTCAACAAAAGTCAAACTTCAACTTGCCTTTCCTGGTATCCCCGCGAGGTACTTTGGTAGCCCTAAGTATTAATGGACTGAACTTCTTAATCTCTGTGTAGTCAAAATATGATGGTTGCCGGAGCTCGACGCTGAGGTCTGCCGGCCGGTACAGGAGCACCGCCGGGCTGGCGCCAGGTTGCCCGCCCTCACCATCTTCCACCATCACCTCAAACCTGGAGAGACGTAGCTTCCTTAATCACTAGCAATACCACCTTAAAATTGCCGTATTAGAAAATGGAAACGGCTCGCGAAAGTGACGTACTGTCCTGTTTTCTGTTTTGGGTCCTCTGGCTTAGTCTGGTAGGTTAGGAGAGGACACTTTAAATTAACGGTTTTCATGACTTTTTGAAACCTTAGGTTACGAGAGCAGGAAGTTCTCCTACCAGAGGACCCAAAACTTGCTATTTTGGGTCCATTTCACTTGGAAAATGAATTTTCCATTTTCTAGTACAGCAATTTTTAGCCGTAATAGTTATTTGGACACATAATGACGCTTTTAATAATAATATATATTATTGTATTTACAAGAAGGTACAATGGGTTGGTGAGATTACATTAAAGTGATATTTTAACATTCTTGTAAAGCCACTAACACGCATAGCGCTACGGGCAGGTCCTTAAGGATGATAAAAAGAAAATTAATTTATCCCTCAAAAACAGGTTACAGTGATGAGCCACATTTGATAGCACTCACTTGAGGACAAGTCCTTTGAGGCGTGGTGGGGCGGGGGGCGCGGAGTGTGGCCTCAGGTCCGAGGTTCTGGAGGGGGACTCTGCCCGGGACTGTCTGAGGAGAGTGTAGGGGTCTGACGGTATTGGCAGAGGATTATTCAGCTCCGTCCCCTCACTCATCAGGTACTCCTACACACACAAGGTACTCATTAGCGTCTACCACTTACGAAAAACTTCAACAGATCTTGTGAAAAAATTATATACATTTAAGCAAAAATTTATGCAATCTTACAATACATATAAAGTGAAGGGGGCCACGGAGGAGGTGACCATGGCACGGAAGTGTTCACGGCTCATCTCTTCACAAAATGTTTCCGTGTACCGAGTGATCCGTCAGTGTACATGGTCTGTGCGATGTTGTTTTTAGTTTGTACATAACAAAGCTCCGGTGTGGATTCTCGACACCCGCTGGGAAGAATTTGCCAGCAGTGAAAGGTTCCGCCTCAGAGTGAACACCACACATCAATATCTACTGAAAACACCTGACCGACAAACACACACACACACTGCCTAATAACACACCATGACCACCACATCACACTCCTCAACACCACAATACACAGTCCCAGAAACACTCAACCTCTTCAACACTACACAGGATCCACCTCTCCAAACAATGTACACTTGGAACTAGTATGACCACGTTGACACCTTCCTACTCCCCCTAACCACGAACAAAAATGAAAGTCAACTATACGAGTTACTCCAGCGATCTGGAGTGACTTAATGCATGGAGGGATTAGTGGGGGGGGGGGGTGTTGCGTGGTGCTGGTGCCCTCAGCGGTGCTTATCCCGCGGACAACATACCAGCCAGCAGCTGGGTTGATCTCTGGCACTATTCTCTTTCACTTAACACACGCCTCTTCCACACTATTCTTCATGCCTCACCCCGAGAGGTGTTTTTTTCTTGTGCTTATCGTTTGTTCGTTCCCTCTCCGAGCATCCGCCCTTCTTCCTTCCTTCCTTCTCACACTATGTCTTTTTTTTCCCCTGTATCTCAATTAGTTTGACCCAGTATCGTGGTACAGGGCTGCCAAATGAACCAGTTTAGAGCTTACTTGGCGGGTGGTCGGCCCGGCCCCCAGGGATGTACCCAAAGGATCATTAGAGGTATGATGGCATCCTCACCAAGCCCCACGGAGAAGAGAAGCTGCTTAAAATTACTATTCATTAACAACAACCAAAACACTCCTACTTATAACAATGTTCTTGCCTGTAGATTGTTACTTCACTATCCACTATCCCTCCTGTGACAGGCGCAGACTTACATAAGCAGGTACTAGAGAAGCAATAAAGCACTATGGAACCGTTATGGCCTTGCCAGAAAACCGGTACAAACACTCACACTGGCTCCTCTCAAGGAGTACACTTTGTGAACATAGTAGGGGCTATGATTAGTATTTAGAAAGATATTCACTCTCAGACCGACATAGACCAATTGAATTCTCCCTGCCTCTCCTGGCAGCGTATTGGAGAAGACTCTCCTACTGTAAACGTTCCCTCCATTAAGTTAACTTGCCAAATATTTCACAAAACAATGGATAAATTAACATTCCCACTGACTATTTAATTACTAAGTGCAAGATCTTGAACATAGCCAGAAGTTCACATATTCCCAAATAATTGCGTCACCGGCAGCGCTATAAAACCCGGCAGTCACCAACTGATACAAATATATGCTTGTCTTTATATATAATTTTAAATCTGGCCATGGACAGGTGTTAGGTTAGTTTGTGAGTTTGGTGTTGACAACGGCTTTAATCAGGCCGAAACGTTCACTTCCTTTCACATTTCTCTGTGGATTTTCCGCATATATATATATATATATATATATATATATATATATATATATATATATATATTGCCATTCAAAACAGTACATTTTTAGTTCACAAAATCAAAAGTCAAGAGGACAAATATAGACCATAAGTCAACACAAATATAAATACAAGACAAATTCTTGACAAATGTATATGTTAAAACTACAGAATTAAGATCCAGTTTGTTAATGGGGTTTTGGGAGAACATTGTTATGACGGAGGTTACAGCGCTCCAGTCCCACCTTAGTGAAAGGGTCGCAGTCACAAATGAGGAAGTGTCTGCCATAGAGGGAGAGAGTCATGTTGAGGTTGAGATGCGTCCAGTGCCAGAAGCCGCCACCGGGGCAAGGAACACGCTGGCGGCTCAGGAGGCGTCCCTGGTCCAACCCGGAGTTCTGCAACAAACCACTTACCTGTACATTATTTTTAACCAAGTAATGGATGCATTTGGCGGTAATGACAACAATAAATATATGCAGTAATTAATGGTCTGGATTAGTAGGAATGTGTGCCCATTCATGCTCACTGGGAAGACATCATACAAGTATTAATTAACAGAATGGAGACACGCAAGAGCTGCCGTGGTGTCTGACCTGTGTGGAGTCGCTCCCGAAACTGTCAATACAATTCTCGAGTGAGCGGTTGTTTGCCACTGGGCCTGCCAGTCTCTGGGGTATGGTAGCAGGTGTGAGGATGGGGGGCCATCCCCCCCCCTCCCCTGTGCTTCGGCGGTGGGAAACGATTGGGATCCGTTTCTCCTACAAGCCAGAATATGCCATTGCTAATGTTACACTATTTGAGCTGCTGGATGTGAAGATTGAAAATGTCCAACGAATAAAGAGTGGCACTGTTGGTGAAATTTGGGAATCCCACGGCTTTCAGTGTGAAGGGCGAGTGTTACCCCCCCCCCCTGTCAGGAGGTAATTTCACGATACAAATGCCGATCTTCAGCCAGAAAATAAGTTTTGTATCAATCAGAGACAGCTCCTTGACAAGACCGACGCGACACTCGTTAATGTGTTTGGAAGGTATGGAAAAGTGTTCCGTTTTTAGCAAAATATTTTATGTTTGGCTGGTTCACAGGCATTTTCGGTAGTTGCCGAACAGTTTAGGTTGTTCTCTATACAGATATTCTATCTTCTATTTCGGTGTTGGGTTTTGGTATTGGAGTGTTGTACAGCGGACAACCCCGCACTTGCGCCAAGTGTGGCCTTATTGGGCATTTTGCATCTGTGTTTTCAGTAGACCAGAAACAAGGTGAACTTATTCAACCCGTTCTCAGGACAATTCTATTCCATCCAGTAGTCGACCCCAAAGACGCATTCATTAATTTTAACATGTTGTTAATCTATATAAATAAAAATGGAAATGTTCGTTTGTTCATAATCGATAATCTCCGAAAGTTCTTCACCGATTGCTTTGAAATTTTCACACAACATTCCATTCGCATCCGACGTTTTTTATATATATACTGTATAGATGTCACGTCTGTGACGGGAAAAACATTCCGTTTTTGAAAAACTGTGTTTTTCATGTGTTTTTTACGTGATAGAAATCTTCGAAACCTCTTTACAGATTGCTTTGAAATTTTGACACAAAGTTGCATTCAAATAGGAGCGTTTTCTTATATACCTTCTATATACATGCCTCACCTGTGACAAAAAAAAATTTTTTTTTTTAAACAGCACCATCTGTTGGACGTAAGAGCAACACACACTGTAATCTCCGAAAGTTCTTCATCGATTGATTTTAAAGTTTGACACAACCCTCCATTAGAATACGCGCATGTTTTTATACACCTACTGTATAGATGCAACACCTGTGACAGGTAAAAACAATTTTTTTTTTAAACAGCGCCATCTGTTGTACGTAATAGCAACACATGCTATACTAAATACGTTGCGATTTCAATTTCAATGTTTCCGATTGAATTGTCCTATGTCCTGTGTGCATTATGTCCATTATGTCTTGTGTGTTCTTGTGTGACCCATGGTTCCGTTGTCTGGTGTGCTGTGGCGGCGTTGTACTGCTTCGTTGTAGTTACATGACTAATTGACAGGTGGACTGTGTGTGTCACTTCACACGTTTTGTTTCTACTTTGGAAGTATGGAATGAGTGAAGTTATGTTGACTGTATTGATCATGTTTGTGACATGTTATCTTTGTTCATGCTGAGTTTGTGTCATTCTTTAGTTTCAATTGCAAGTAGATTAAGGTTTCTAATGCTGCCCTGTAAGGTTGTTTTGTGAACTGGTGTATGGAATTGTGTTTTGGTGTTTAATAATTTTATTTGTACATGTGTTAATTTACCAATAACGAATACAAGTGTTTAACTAACGATCTATCCTCCCCGCCCTTGATCAATATATGAAACAAGTACTCCGCTGATCGACCAGATATTGATGTCCGCAAGGTAGCGAGAGTTGTTAACAGTTGCTCTGGCTATAATTAGTGCACTTTACCTGATGTTACCTGCCTATTTATATCCATTATACTTCCTACCGTTTCACACATGATGGGGAAAAACAAATTGATTATTGATATATTACAATATAGCTCCTTCATATGAGGACTCACCGGTGTTCTGGGTTCAGTGACAGAGAGAGCATCATCAACCAGATAGTAGGAGATGACTACTGGCCGCACTCGGTACACCTCTCCTCCGCCCTCCACACGCTCCCTGAAGTAACCTTTGAACCTCAGTACCTGACCAACACAAAGAAAAGTACGTATCCAAATTAATCAAGACCTTGTGATAAGTTACTCAGAAAATTTAGTTATATATATATCCGTGCCCACACACATGCACTTCCCTCGTCTCCTCCCTCCCTGCCCACACAAGCTCATCTCAGGCCATCGCCCATCCCTGACCACTCACGATATCCTACGACCTCTCCCTCTCTGCCCAACTGCCCAGTAACACCATGCTCACACACGCCCTTCCCTCTGTCACTTCTCTCCCTGATCACATACTTTCTTTCCTCTTCGTCACCTCTCTCCCTGCTGGCACACGCCGCTCCACCGTCAATGTAACTGCTCCCAGTAACTCTAGTCAGAACATACGTTTAGAATATAAATATTTCACGATTATTTAACGTCATAGTAAAGTCTATGGACCCGGGGCTGCACATTTCACTTTCATATCCTAATGAAGTAGGATATGAATGTGGGTGTCATCATTCATAACCATCAACATCTGTGGATGATGTTAGCGAAGAGGAAAGCTGATTTCGAGTCTATCATTGATTGACGGGATTGTTGTAAGTTGAAGTGTAAGCTGTTCTTTATCGCGATGATTAAGAGACGTGGAGCTATAAGCGGTTCTGCCGCCAGAATGTACTGCAGGCAGGGTTGGTAACCTGCAATACATTCGTAGGTTGTTTGAAGATTGGTGCCTCAGGCTTCAGGGAATGTTGTCAACGAGGGCTTTCACCCTTTTTCGGAGGGCGATGGTGGTAAATTGTAAACTGTTGTCAAAGGCGTTGTATATGACCCACTGTTTCCCTTTAAAGGTATTTCCTTTGAGATAGAGAGGGCGGTGTTTCGTTATGTGCAGGGTGGTAGGTATACCCGTATGCGGCGTTCTTCGCTGTTTATGGAGAAACGTATGTAATGTTATGTAATCAGGCCAGTATGAACTGATAAGATATAGAGAGGGAAACTTGATGGTGGAATTAAACTCACCGTTGTTTATTGCAAGGTGTTGACCATTGTCGCATTTCGTAAGGCAGTATTGGATGGGGTGCTGGTTGTCTCGATTGGTTTATGTTATAGTCGGCTGCTGGTGAGGTTGTTGGTGGTTCCCGCTATGTGCAGGTGTACGGCCTGGGTTACCTTCATGTTACTCTCAGACCAGTGTCATCCGCCAGGGAGTGGGTAGGGTTACCGGGTTACTCTCAGGCCAGTGACATCCTTCGGGCTGGGGGGGGGGGTTGCTGGGTTTGATGCCATGTCGTGTAGAGGTGTTTATAGCGTGCTTAACCCAAATCATTAATTACGGTATACATTTTTAGTAGTATTGAACAGTTTTTTGTTTAGGGGTTCGCATTTGTTTTGTGGTAATTAATGTGTGTGTATGTGTGTGTGTATTATGGTGTTGATTGTCTGCCTCGCTGTAGGAATTGAAGTAAACCATCAACTGTAGTGTTGGCAATAAGGAGATGTTTGAAGACGTGAGGACAATGTTGCTTAACATCTTGTCATACAGCACATCTTTCACTAAGCTGTTGCTGCCAGCTCATCACCTACATAACAACATTGCACTAATTGTCCGAAAACTGCCATAGTACTAAATAGGTGCGTACAGTACTACAGTGAAGCACATTGCGATGGTCTACTTGAAGATGACTGAGGGTGGGTGCAGCAGCACACAGAAGAGGTAAGCGTGCAAGAGTGTGTGAAGATGACTGAGGGTGGGTGCAGCAGCACACAGAAGAGGTAAGCGTGCAAGAGTGTGTGAAGATGACTGAGGGTGGGTGCAGCAGCACACAGAAGAGGTAAGCGTGCAAGAGTGTGTGAAGATGACTGAGTGTGGGTGCAGCAGCACACAGAAGAGGTAAGCGTGCAAGAGTGTGTGAAGATGACTGAGGGTGGGTGCAGCAGCACACAGAAGCGTTAAGCGTGCAAGAGTGTGTGAAGATGAATGAGGGTGGGTGCAGCAACACACAGAAGCAGTAAGCGTGCAAGAGTGTGTGAAGATGACTGAGGGTGGGTGCAGCAGCACACAGAAGAGGTAAGCGTGCAAGAGTGTGTGAAGATGCAATAACTCATCACTACTCGGGTGTGAGACGAGGCCTCCGGCGGGCGTGGTGAGAGAGACTGGACCACCAGCCCGCGCTCTTCACCTTCTTGTCCAACAGCGCCCATTCTGGCAAAAACCTGGGCGGGGTCGTTGGTCGACGGCGGCCGCCGAACTGCAGCCGTCGCTCCTGTCTGAAAACATATAGATAATTATACAAATACGTTTATAAGAATACAATTAATAATATTACAATGTCTAGAGAAGTAGAGGAATCCAGCATATGTAGTCTATCTATATATTGTATATATAGGAGAATGTCTGTGTTTGCTTGTCTGCCCAAGGTTAGAGGCCAGATCCTCGCCAAATTTTCAGAGGAAAAATGGTCTGGGGTATGGGACGGACATAGGCTGATCAGGGAAGACCCCAGATAAATGGCTTAAGAAATATGAGAAATTATAAAGACCCCATCCTCAAATGGCCCCATCCTATGAGAGGATATTCTCATAGTCAAATGTGAAATGTGTCATGTGGTTTCCATGGAGTTGTTAATGAAAAGAAAAACAAACTGAAAAGCAAACAGAAAAAAATGAATGCATCCTAGAGGCTCATACAGATGTTTGAGTGCTTCTTGAGGGGCGAAGGGAAAGAGGGGGACGAGAGGGAGGATAAAGAGGGAGACCAAAGGGATGGGGATGAGGAGGTCAAGGGATAGTAGATAGATATGGATAGAAAGATAGATAGAAAGAGGGAGAAAACATACATACAGAGACAGACCCGGGCAACGCCGGCTACCCCTTCCCCCTGGTACATGTGTAAATGGTTCTGTCTGCCTGTCTGCTCAAGGTTGGACCCAGACAGGGAAGGAGAGGCAGAGACTTTTTTTTTCTTATCACTTGAGAATGAACCATGTAGGTTCGAAACGTGGTGCAAGGAGAGGCGGAGAAGGAGAGGGAAGAGGAAGATTCAGAGGGGCGCAGTACTGACCTCAGAGGGGCGCAGTACTGACCTCAGAGGGGCGCAGTACTGACCTCAGAAGGGCGCAGTACTGACCTTTCACGGTCATAATTTTATAAAAATTAGTTGTTTAAAAAAAAATCACACTAAAAGGAAAATAACTTAAAGAATTTTTTTTTTGTTCAAGTAGTTGGCCACTCCTTGGAGGCAAAGTAGTCTGGGACTGGCCCTGTGCCTGGGGATTAGACTATTGTGGGTCGGATCCTGCAGAACTAACAGTTATCCTGTCCCCCGACAATGGAAACCCAAGTCACCGATAATCGAAGACATGATCAACGGTTAGCAACCATTTTCACCAGACTTATGTCAGGCCTTGACCACGCGACGAATTGGTACAGTTATAAGCATAGTTGATACTAAGTCACTGCTCGTTCCTGCGCCCTGATAAACACCTGAGTTTCCGTATCTTTGTTAACTTCTACAGGAGAACGATGGGCTTGCAAGACACCGTCCTGCCGCATTGTCCACCGCCAGACAATAAGGCAAGGACAATCTACATACCTTAATCTATGCAAATGCGTTATTCTGTCGGCACATACGCACCTGGCCAGCTCCTGCGAGTCCTCCGCCGACAAGAGGGACCCGGGTGTCGGCGCCACCAGTGGGACGCCCTTCTTCCAGCCCAGGCTCTGGCGGATGGGCCGCTGCCTCTCCTGGAACACACGGTGGTAATGCCAGAGAGGTTTTCACAGATGATCAGAGGAGACAGTACCGAGTTTAGAGTCAGTGTCAGAGACACAGGAGAGACGAGAGGAGACAGTACCGAGTTTAGGGTCAGTGAGAGACACACAGGAGAGACGAGAGGAGACAGTAACCAGTTTAGGGTCAGTGGAGCGACACACAGGAGCGACAGGTGTCACTAGAGAACAAGTATGATCCGACAGTATCGTAATACTAATTATAATTTTAATAATAATTTCAAATATTTATTAACAAGGTATAATAATTACAATGTAAAATAGCAAATTAGGACAACTGAAATTTTATGATAATCAAATTAAGTAATCTGACAGTTATTTAAAGATAATATATTAAAAGGAATAAAAGATGAGGATGGTGGTGATAAATATGTGAAAACTAATTAAAAACACATGTAAATTAGGCTTATATCGAGGTCTTCCCCCCCCCTAGGGTGGAACTAGGGACCCTCCCCACATGCAGCCTACAACCACCTCACTTACACCTGGGGTACCTATTTACTGCTAGGTGAACGCGAAATTAACCCCCGCTCCTGTGCCAGGTAAGTCCACTACGGGCTCACCATAACCCGTGCTACTTGGAACTTTATGTTCTGAGTAGCTGAATCTAAAACAAAAACAACAACAACGATATTAGATGAACACGAAATTTCCTGTCCCATTAGGCGACAGGAACGCGCTCAACCACTACTGTCCCCCCCCCCCCCCCTCTGGGAGTCGAACTCGTAATTCCAGACTATGAGTCGAGAATGAGCCAGACTGTACTACCAGGACTCTCCGGAAATAGATGAACCTAATTAACGTATCCCGCCAAACTGAACTTATTAAAAAAAAGGTTAATAATCGTAAGAAACATCCCAGACACTGCTTATGGAAGACCAAGATGGCCGCTATAGCCTAGTCCAACTGTTTAAAAAATCCTTCAGTCAAAAATAACTTGGTGTTATTCATGTAAGATGTTTATTGCTACCAGTTAACGTAGGGGAAATATATCGGTGCTGTAAATAATCACAGTACTTATCACTATAGCTATGGGTACCCTCTCACATGAGGGTTTTCTAATGGGGGAAGTTGTAAAGAACAGAAGAACAGTACACTACGCACCGTAGGGCTGGAGATGTTGTAGCCAGGCAGTAGAGGAAGGCCAGACATGTTTCTCCTGAAGTATAACCTCTCGCTGGCTGCCAAGCAAATATATCATTAATTGGACTCACGTAGGACTAGCTAGCGTCGAGACGCGGTATATGTGTATTGGTAGAGTAACCCTAGTTTGTGTGCGTGTGTAGTGACGTTTGTGTGCGTGTGTAGTGACGTTTGTGTGTGTGTGTGGTGACGTTTGTGTGTGTGTGGTGACGTTTGTGTGTGTGTGGTGACGTTTGTGTGTGTGTGGTGACGTTTGTGTGTGTGTGTAATGAAGTTTGTGTGCGTGTGTGGTGATGTTTGTGTGCATGTGTGGTGACGTTTGTGTGTGTGTGTGTAGTGACGTTTGTGTGTGTGTGTAATGAAGTTTGTGTGCATGTGTAGTGAAGTGTGTGTGCGTGTGTAGATAAGTTAGTGTGCGTGTTTAGCAAGGGAAGGTCGTGTGTAGTGAAGATGGTGGTTAGCTTGTCGTGCACCGGACGACCACAAACAGGGCAGCCAACCCCACCCAACGGAAGGAAGAGAACTTTAGGCCCCACGATATATTCCTATAACAGACGTTTAAAATAGCTGTGCAACTTTACTAAAGAGCGAGGGAGTAGCGCTTAAATTAGCGCTCCAGGCGTGACTTACAGTGTAGGAGCAGGTGGAGGGTGTGTGAGGCGCGGTGTGGCGGCCGGTCCCCGCCTGCTGTTATTGTGTCCCTGTGTGGCCTTGTTGTCATGGCGACGGGGACGCTCCAGCTGGGGCGTACTCTCCTAGTTGTACTCACTTAGTTGTGTCTCTCTATATTTTACCCCAAAGTCTCTTTTCATCCTTCACCCCAAGTCTCTCGTAAGGCTATGGAGATCTTTGACTTGTGGGAGAGCTCTTCACACTTTCTGTACACTCTATACACTCTACACACTCTACACACTCTATACACTCTATACACTCTATACACTCTACACACTCTACACACTCTATACACTCTACACACTCTACACTATACACTCTACACACTCTATACACATTAAATATGCTTTAAGATATCTAGAAGAAAATGGGGACATTGAAGCAGGTTGTAACAGAACCCATGAGCACCACACCAGAAACAAATACCTATTTGATACTCCAAGTGTACGACTTAATCAAACTAGAAATGCTCTACAAACCATAGGACCCAGAATGTGGAATGACCTTCCCAATCATGTTAAAGACTGTACCTCTCTCAACCAGTTTAAGATAAAAACTAAGTACTACCTAATTAACTCCCTGTAACCTACCTCACCTCTATAATGTCAACTCATGTCTACTATTTTAAACAATGCTGTTTGTTGACCAAATTGTATATTTGCTACTTTTCTGTCATGTCCCCCACCCACTTTTTATATTTTATTTTCTCAACACAATTTATACTTTATTCCCAATTAGTATTAACTTTTAGTCTTAGTGTTTTTCCTGCCCGAAACGCTTTGCGTAAATGGCCACTGCTTATCTGGAAAAAACGGGGGAATTTCTGGGAAGGAGAAAAACATATCATAGAGTCATGATCACCATATACAAAATTCTCAGTGGAATTGACAGGATAGATAAGGATGGATTATTTAACACAGGTGGAAGCTGAGTACCCAAATAAGCCACAGGGAGGTTAGAAAGAACTTTTTCAGTGTCAGAGTAGTTAGTAAATGGAATGCATTAGGCAGTGATGTGGTGGAGGCTGACTCCATACACAGTTTCAAATGTAGATATGATAGAGGCCAGTAGGCTCAGGAACCTGTACACCAGTTGATTGATGGTTGAGAGGCGGGACCAAAGAGCCAGAGCTCAACCCCCGCAAGCACAACTAGGTGAGCACACTCTACACACATAACGCATGGCATTATAATTCCCAAAGACTTGGGGATCTTTGACCCCCAAGTCTCTCTATATCCTTGTTGAATCCAAGTCCCTCTTCATCCATGTTGAACCCGCGTCTTTCATTAGTTTAGGAGCCATTTGTGGGTTTAAGAATATGATCCGTTACGTTCATGACCCAATATACTTACACTACAGTGTGACTACACAACACAACAGCTACAATACTAGTCACAAACAATATTCACAATACTATCACAACACCAATGATAATCCCGTCACTAAGTTAACAATACAACAACCCATAAGTCACACCCGGTCGTAATGCCATTCAGTAATACCAACCTGACTATAATATTTCAACTCGGATATAAGCTATACCTTCCACATTCCCAAACATCAACCAGCAGTTCTATTTCATTAAATAGAGTAAAACTCATCCTGCAGAGACCAGCATTTTGAGCGATGGACTCCCGTGAGCAACAGGTGGGGACTAAGGGAGGATGCAGCGGCTCAACATTCTCCTGTCTATGTGAAGGATGTTTTGGTTGGCTGAGAGTATTTTGTTGTCAGAAATATGTCGTCCAGCGCCTGAATATTCCTGAAGACGTTAGGCATGTGTTGGGGCCTTTTTGGCTGAACCATCTCAAGAACCAACACGGGGTCAAAGTTCGCTTTAACGCCAAGAAGAGTAAGCTTGTGGTTAAGGGTTTAACCCAGGAAGTCGTCGAGTCGTGCTGTGAAGACGTCATCAGAACCTGGACTGAGATGCGTGAGCAGTTGTTACGCCGGTCCTTACTGAACGACGACCACAAGGTCGACGACGACCACAAGGTCGACGACCATTACAAGATCGACGACGACCACAAGGTCGACGACGACCACAAGGTCGACGACGACCACAAGGTCGACGACGATCACAAGATCGACGACGACCACAAGGTCAACGACCATCACAAGGTCGACGACGACCACAAGGTCAACGACGACCACAAGGTCAACGACCATTACAAGATCGACGACGACCACAAGGTCGACGACGACCACAAGGTCGACGACGACCACAAGGTCGACGACGACCACAAGATCGACGACGACCACAAGATCGACGACGACCACAAGGTCGACGACCATCACAAGGTCGACGACGACCACAAGGTCGACGACGACCACAAGGTCGACGACGACCACAAGGTCGACGATGACCACAACGTCGACGACGACCACAACGTCGACGACCATCACAAGGTCGACGACGACCACAAGGTCAACGACCATCACAAGGTCGACGACGACCACAAGGTCGACGACGACCACAAGGTCGACGACGACCACAAGGTCGACGACGACCACAAGGTCGACGACGACCACTAGGTCGACGACGACCACAAGGTCGACGACGACCACAACGTCAACGACCATCACAAGGTCGACGACAACCAAAAGGTCAACGACAACCAAAAGGTCAACAATGACCAAAAGGTCAACAATAACCAAAAGATTAAGGATGGCCAAAAAAAATGGCGCCAAAAACCAAAGAAGCACAAGAAGCATAGTCAGTGGTGAGAGGGGGAGCCGTCGAGCTGAGGGTCCTCTCCTCTACGGTAGTTAGTACACCCCAGCAACAGGGGAAGTATCCCAGCAGCAGGGAGAGTACCCCAGCAGCAGGGAGAGTACCCCAGCAGTTTAAGTATGGCAGCAAGGAAAGTGGTGTCCCGTCTTCCCAGTACTCTTTGTCATATAACGCTTTGAAACTACTGACGGTCTTGGCCTCCACCACCTTCTCACCTAACTTGTTCCAACCGTCTACCACTCTGTTTGCGAAAGTGAATTTTCTTATATTTCTTCGGTATCTGTGTTTAGCTAGTTTAAATCTATGCTGACCAAAAGTGTGTGTGTGTGTGTGTGTGTGTGTGTGTGTGTGTGTGTGTGTGTGTGTGTGTGTGTGTGTGTGTGTGTGTGTGTGTGTGTGTGTGTGTGTGAGTAGGGAGATTTACGCCGTAGACCGCCCCCTCCATTTTGGGATGGAGTGGTTTCGCCCCGGCTATTATGGTTATTAACCCATGGAACTGCCTACCCGCCGATGCCGTAAATGCCAAACCTCTGTTAACTTTTATGGTACAGTTGGAATAGATCAAGACAAATGATAGGGAACCTTCGGCAAGATGATAGGGAACCTTCGGCAAGCCGCTGACTTCCTGTCCTCGCCGAGGTCACTAAGGATGGTGGCTCTCAGGTAAATTCAGGTAAAAATACACATGGAAAATATTGGACCGGGTTCCTAATTTACATAGTAAACGCAGTATGAATACTGTGAGCACTAGCGGTCAATCACTGTTCAACCATCAACTACCTAAACTACCCGGTGTTATCCAAGTGATAACAACAGGACACAGCCTTGCTACCACTACCGTTGTCAACAACAGAACACGCAAGGGGCATTTAATTTTTTCCAGTATACTGTTTTTCATCAGGTAAATAATTACTAAGGAAGGCGTCCAGCCGGTAAGATTACGGCCAACGACGGGCCCCTAGCCTCCAGTGTGCTTTTATAATCATTCTGGCTTAGCACTTTCCACTCACAAATAATTTCCTTTCCTTTCGAGTTGGGGTCGTGTATTTAGCTGGGGAACTTATCCAAGCTGTAAATTAACTTATCCAAGCTGTAAATTCCTTTCAGACAGTTGGGTTCTCCTTTTAATAGTCTTTCCAGCACGTCGTGACCGACTGGACTGGTTATAAACCCCAGAACATTTACCATCAACATTCACCATGGGTTGAGACTCTCATATGCCAAATTAAAAGATACTCGCGCCGTCTAACTTTTCACCGATGCCATCAGAAACCTTCAAGGGTTGGGGTGCCTCGGCTCCATCTTGTTGGGGCATTTATCCAAACCTAAATTATCGGTCAGACTGCGTCGTTGTGTATTAAAATTAATATGGTTTCTCGACCTTTGGAATATTGTTACTGACCGTTTATTCAAATCCTTGTGCCTCTATGAGATCCGGTGATGCAACTATATCGGGCAAGTTTCGAATTAAAAGGGAGTTTAAAGACAAAACTTGTGGCTCGGTTAAATCGCAGGGACTGGCGCTTTACGAGCTCTTCATTTTGTCCTCGAAATTTATCATGGGCTGTGGTGCTGTTGTTAACTGGACCGTTTATTCCAACTGAAAGGATTTTTCAACCTATGGCATTGCTGATCTAAACCTCTCGGTCTATGGTATTTTGCTGTGGACGTTTCCAGAGACTCGTCGTGCTTTCGTGAACTTGCGGGAACTCTCGACCTACGAGCTCTATAATCTGTCGTCGATTTCTACCTTAGACTTTGGTAGTGTCTGGGACTCTCTTTCAAACTAACATATAAGCTCAGACAGTGAAATATCTTATCCAAACTAAAATGGCATCTCAGACTATTATTTCTATTCTCCAAACTAAAAGGGTGTGTCAGACTATGAAATTTCTTATCCGAACTAAAAGGGCCTGGCAAACTATGGCGTCTCTAATCTGAAGCAATAGGGCGTCTAGGACTACGTCATTTCTCCTTTCACAGTTCCGCCAACCCGTCGTGCTTGGCGGGAGTGGCGAGGTCTGCTGTGCTGCCGCCAGGCAACCTCAGCGGCAGCTTCACCAGCCGCTGCACAGAAATGAAATACTTCCACTTCATTATTTATTACTGATGATACAGCACTCGCTGTGTCACTAATAATAATTTTACCATCAATCGAGGGATGGTCAGAAACCTTTAGGTCATCCACTTTGGCGCCAGCTTCACCAATCACTGCCCCAAAATTAAATACGACGGCTTCATTAATCATTCTGTTACTTGCAACTGCTGTATCACCAATAATATTTTGCTCATCATTAACCTAAGGATCGTCAGAATCCATTAGGTCATCCTCATTCTATCGATTCATGGATCTCAGAATGTCTTCACAACATCTGTTGACTACACTTTTTCTAAAGCCTTTAACCACGACGGTATTTTTCTTACCATTGAAGCGAACCTGAACCCCATGCCGGCTCTCGAGGCCAGTCAACCACTCACCACTCATCATATGGCTGGGGACGGCCTCAGTCACCTTCAGGCGTCGGATAACTCTTCTATTTTTGAAGAGTTTTTTAATCCATTAAAAACATCCCACGAAAAGATGTGAAATACAATAACCTGTGGAGCCGTTGGCAGTATCTTGGTCGGCGGACACCTCAGGGTCATCGACAGGGTCAGCTGGCCCACCGATCATCTTGGTTTGGTTTTCTTCAAACATTGTAAAAGATGATACTTTGTAATGTTAAGAGGAAAACAGATCAAGCAAATGAAGATACATCGATATATAATATAAAATAGTTGTAGTAAGGTTGGATTAATATGGTATGGTGTACATATGGTGCACACCATATGGTCGATGGTGTGCTTTCTGTCTCTGACACTACCTCTAAATTCAATAGTTTCTTGACCAGACCACACACTAGAAGGTGAAGGGACGACGACGTTTCGGTTCGTCCTGGACCATTCTTAAGTCGATTGTCATTCTCACAGTCGACTTGAGAATGGTCCAGGCTTGACCGAAACGTCGTCGCCCCTTCACCTTCCAGTGTGTGGTCCGGTCAACATTCTTCAGCCACGTTATTGTGACTCATCGCCTGCTCAATAGTTTCTTCTCATCCATTGGCATCATCCCATTCTTCTCATGGGATGTCACTTGCAAATGATATCCCATCTCCCCTAACTGATGTTAAGGGCTACCTTACATGAAAGTATCCAATCTCTATACCTAACTTCCACTCATTCCTCTGATGTTAGTGAGATAAAACATGTCTCTTTATTTTATTTTATTTTATTTTAATTATTTATATACAAGAAGGTACATTGGGGTTAACAGAGAACATAGAAATGAAGTTGATTTTACATTCTTGTAAAGCCACTAGACCAACGACCATGTCAATGGGCAAAGATTGAGGAATGAATAAATGGGTAAAAGTCAGAATAAGGAACATCTTTAAGGGAGATGGGACAAGTGCAGATAGCCTCCTTAGCGGCAGCATCCACATGCTCATTTAAGGACACACCAATATGTCTGGGAACCAATTCAAAGTGCTTTACTCTAGAAGGTCAGACCCCACTCCCAACCTGGTTTCTTATACCGGGAAGAGACGGAAGTCCTTCTTCAATAATGTGCAATGTTCTGGTATGGAACCTTGGGTAACATGATTTACTGGATAGAGGTGCACTTCAGAGGGAACCAGACCCTTATCCGGTCAGAGATCCTTGAGATCCTTTGGCAGAGATCTCTGCCAAAACTACAGTTGGAAACTACAATGGAAATTCAGTTTGCCATCAGTGTGAACACCAAGGTAAGTTTATTGTGGTTGATTATTGTGTTGAGAGATGATCTTGTGGTTAACAGGGAATTGATCCACAGCTGTTTGGTCCTGCCACTCAACCCTCAATCAACTGGCAGTCCAAATAGTTTATCCTTGTCAATCCTGTCTTTATCCCGAGAACTGTGTATGTGGTACTCACCTAGTTGTGTTTGCGGGGGTTGAGCTCTGGCTCTTTGGTCCCGCCTCTCAACCGTCAATCAACAGGTGTACAGATTCCTGAGCCTATTGGGCTCTATCATATCTACACTTGAAACTGTGTATGGAGTCAGCCTCCACCACATCACTTCCTAATGCATTCCATGTGTCAACCACTCTGACACTAAAAAAGTTCTTTCTAATATCTCTGTGGCTCATTTGGGCACTCAGTTTCCACCTGAGTCCCCTAGTGCGTGTGCCCCTTGTGTTAAATAGCCTGTCTTTATCTATCCTATCAATTCCCTTCAGAATCTTGAATGTGATGATCATATCCCCCCTAACTCTTCTGTCTTCCAGCGTAGTGAGGTTTAATTCCCATAGTCTCTCCTCGTAGCTCATACCTCTCAGCTCGGGTACTAGTCTGGTAGCAAACCTTTGAACCTTTTCCAGTTTAGTCTTATCCTTGACTAGATATGGACTCCATGCTGGGGCTGCATACTCCAGGATTGGCCTGACATATGTGGTATACAAAGTTCTGAATGATTCTTTACACAAGTTTCTGAATGCCGTTCGTATGTTGGCCAGCCTGGGTCATGTGTCTGTGTTGGTGTCTTCTATTGTGTTGTGATAAGTCACATGACTGTCCTGTGATGAATTTTAATTGTATTGTGAGTGTATTTTATTGACTATAGGGCTGGGACTGTCTTATATTGTGTAGCAACTGCATGTATGGTATATTTATGAGCTATGAATGTAGTGCTATGGTAGTATTTTGTTGTGTAACAATTGTATTATGAATATTTTTGTGAGCAAAGTTATGACTCTCTTCGTTTGTTCATTTACTGTATTATGGATTGTTATAGTTCTACCCACAACCTAGTATACACCTCTTTTTCTTTCTGTATATTGTTTTTGCCATCATTATTAACCTTGATGAACATAGGCTGGGTCAGTATGAATGCTATTTTAATGTTACAGTATAGGGGAATTTCAGTTGTCGTAAGGGACTAGAATGAGTCAAAGTTTTTGGGGGGAGAGGGGGGAGGGGGGATTGCAAGCTTTTACCATCCAAGGTTGACAATGTTAACAATTATATACTAACTGGACTTGCATTATAAATTTATATAATCCTAATCCTTATTATAAGCTCACAGATAGCCAAATTATCCATCCTTAGCTGGAACATTGCACATCTCAAAACAAAATTAAAAAAGAAAAAATTCTTCAACTTACATCACAAAGTAACAACTGAACCCATTGATATTTTATGTCACCTACAGGAATGCACAGTTCCTGCAAGATCCTTACCCCTGAAATGTCCCACATTTGTTGCATACAACCCCCAGTGTCTATAATGATTGCAGAAATGTAATGAGTACATAGAGTGCAATAAGTACAAGAGATACACTGAGTACAAGATTCAAGATTAAATTCATCATATTAAGGTTAATTATAAGACCATAATAGACAAAAAATTTGTATTATAAATATCTGCACAAGAGTTTTCTTGTATACAATATTTAAAATCAACACATTAATGTACATTTAAGACCATCATCAACAATATGTTCAAAAACACAGTTTCCCGACAGTGTCACAATATATTCCATAAACTCTTCTCAAACATACTTTCCTTGAGCACAGTTATATAAGTTAAATGTTTAAATTGATATTAACTAATATGCTTGACAATATTAACAAAATTTCCAATGGCCAATATATTCAAGACTTCATATTCGTACCCATATTAAATATGCCATACATAATACAGACCTGTGAAATGTGAGAGAAACCAAAGTGGAGAAAGAATTTTATAATAGGATCATTTCATTTTTAATGTCTAGTACCCCTTGATTCATTCCAAGAATGATAAAAAGAAAGCTAGGTTATAAGATTTAGGGACAAATTACACAAACCAGTATATTGTATTAAGAAACAAGTAACAGCCTGCTCTTCAAGAACTAGTCTTATAAAGCATATAAGCTCAAGTAACCATTTCCATCAACTAATTAAACAAGACTTTCCTAATAACAACCCACCTCAAGGCTCACTTTTTTTTTTTAATATAGTCACACTGCTGATCTGATAACTTTGTTCCATGCCTTAGACTTGGCACCTTTCTTATTTCCCATATTACCAGGCTTTCCTGACCTGGCTTGCTTAAATACATTTTTCTATATATGTACAGTATAAACTTTTCAAGGTAAAATTAATTTGTTAAATTCAAAGACTAAATATACTGTGTGAATATTATCAGTTGTAAATAAAGAGATTGGGTTGTCTGTATTACTAAATAACACTTCACTACAAAACACATAATTAGTACTGTACTGTATTTAAATAACATTCAAGATGCCGAAGCAAGAACAGAGAGAAAAGTTTATCTACCATAAGTTATAAGAGTGGAAATCTCTTTCCAGTGCAATATGGTAGATGAAAATGTGCATTTGTTGTTATGGAGATGCAGCACAATTAACACTTAATGGCCCAGGTCAAAACAAATTTGTTCCATAATATCGCTAAACCAAGGTTTCTTTCAAAACACTTCTCTAGGGATGTAAAACCGTCAAGTTAAAACCCTAACTGACTGACCGACCTTGCAAAACAAATTCATGATGCCCCTAGTCCTTGAACTGAGCCATGCCATACACCACAGTTGCTCTATTCCACCTACTTCACAGGACTAGACACAAATACTTTTTGAGGGGTCCAGTCATGAGGCATCAAGTACAGTATATGTGAAGTCATCACTTCTACAAACATTAGTACTGTGTGATAAATTATATTTCGTTCAGGAACATTTTGATTACCTGTAAATATGCTCATTAAAACTCAACAGTACTCTCTTTCTGCTTTCTTCTAGCATATGTTTCTGGATATTCTGTTTTCATCCTCTTCAGCTTAAACAAGTATCCAGACTTCCTTTGCAAATGATTCAAGTATGCTTTCAAATCTTAAAAACCATTTAATAAGTGAAACATTTCAATATTCAACATGAGGGACCTAGTTAAGGAAGGGCGAGTTAACAGAGAAACCATCCAAACACGTCGAAACAATGTCGAAACTTTACCTGTAAGTACTGTATACAGTAATTTACATATAGTGTAAAATACTGTATACAGTAGTTTACATATACAGCAGTGTGTAACAAAATGTATGAAGCTGCTAGTTACACTATAATTATAGGTGCACCCAGGATGTCTCCAAACAACATGAAGCCGAAATAATTATCAAAGGTAAGCCATGATGATGGCAAGTGTATCAGCTACACAGTGAGTTTAATCCTTGAAATCATTTATGGACTGCAATACTATACAGCACATTATAAAAGATTAAAAGAATTATTTATCATAAAAAGATGGCACCAAGCCAGGAAGAGTATTTAGCACTGTCTGTTACAGAATATTAAATAGGTCCTAAAAGTCACTCAGATGGTCAAAATGAGAGAACAAAACATGCACAAAAATAAGAAAAAAAGTGTTTTGGGACAAGAATCCAATAAATGCATACTGAGTTAGACTAAACACTTCTGTAGAAAAGTAAATACAATAAAACCATTATGACAGTCAGATATAGAATAAGTAAAATTACATCATCTGTTTAACAAATGCATTGAGAACATTGGAGGAAAATTAACACAGCTGAAACCCATCAACAGCATACAAATAGCAATGCTAAACACACACACAATTACTGTCAAACATTTTCTGGGAAGACTGAGAAATATAAATTCTTTAAAACCACATTCAATTTTCAATGATGACCAGCCATTGAATATAATGTAACTTATTAAAGTTAAATCATGAATCTTCATTACACAACATCCTCATTTACATAATTTTAAGTGCTTAAAGAATATACATTGAGTGTTGAAGACATGATGACATTTAAGTGACATGATGTACCCCCGGCCTGACCAACCAAGCATTAATGAACCAAGGACCCCTCCGGAAGGCAGTTGTCTCATTCTTTGCTAGAAAAGAAGGAGAAGGCTGCAACCGAACAAACTGACTACCAGGAATGAAGCAGCAGAAACCTGTGTGCCGGAGGAGACCATGAAGCTCACCTACCCGACCCCCAAAGGCAAAAGCCAACAGAAACAGAGCATTGGAAAAACGATCTTGAACCAAAGGGGCCACCACGAGCCGAGGAGATGATAGATAGGAGAACACCCTGTCAAAGGACCAGGACGGCTCAGGCGGCGCATGAGCAGGCCGAAGGTGAAACAAAGCACGAGAAAGCTTACGGAACGGGGCAGAAGTAACATCCACCCTGAACGCAAGCTGGAGTGGCTCCGCCAAATCTGCACAATACCAGGTGACAATATTAAACATGAAATGATGACCCTGTAAAAAGCCAAGAATGAAAGGACAAGAAAATAGATCAGAAATAAAAAACAATCTACAAAGAGAGAGAAAATGGTGAAAAGAACGCAAGGAAACCTCATACTGTCGCCGAGAGACAGCTCTCAGGTGGAGACACCATCAACAAAGCTACCTGATCACCATACAAATGGTGATGAACCCATGTCAAAAAGACCAGAAGCGAAGAGCCGAGAAGAAGACTGAACCAGCCGTGTATCGAACCAGTCCGACCTGCTGGAAGAGGCGGACCCATGAAAAATGCCCCGGGTTCGGACACAGAGCAAGCAGTGTGTGTGAAACCAAGGATGGGCCGGCACCAAGGGGCCACGAGGACTACTCTCCTGTGGAAAAACTCCAACCGAGCCAGAACCCAAAGCAACAGCTGGACCGGAGGGAAGAGGTACAGGTAACCCCACCTCAACCAGTCCTGCTGAAAGGCATCCACTGCAAAAGCCTCACAGTCGAGGAAGGGCACCACATATATTGGAAGATGCCGAGACCAATGCAAAGAGGTCCACTTCTGGGAGTTCATACATCTGGCAGAGTCAACTGAAGGAGTCGACGTCTACCGCTCACTCCATGGACAGGGGAATGAACTAAGACAGGTTGTCCGCCAGGACGTTGGACCACTCCCCGGATATGAACTGCATGGAGAGCCAACCCCCGAGGAACCAGCAGACTAGCCACTTGAAACGACCAGCCCCCAAAGAGGCAAGGACCGAAAAGACCCCCCCCCCCCCGATTCAGACAATGAACCATTGGAGAAATCCAAATGAACTGTTCTCTGGTCTAATGATTCGCATATTAGACCGATAGCTCCAGAGAGCCAAAGGAGCTCCCACAGAAATTTGCCTTTCCCATGTTTTTTTTTTTTTTTTAGCTAAATGTATATAATTTTACCATATTCTACATAAAGAAATGAGCGATGGCAAAACAAATACCGGTAAAGTACTTGACAGGCATAACAACAATATACTGGATCCAAAATAAATAGAATATCAGGTCTAAAAATACAATAAACAATCTCGCCTTATATTTTACAATAAAATCAGATAATTTTATACTGTATTATTAAGTGAAATATTACTGTGCATGTATAACTGCAAACCTAAATAAAAAAATCAACAATATATACCTTATAAATTATGTTGAAGAATGTCTTACATTCTTTTCCATTGGGATCCGAATGGCTTTTGTCTCATTATCCAGTCAAATTAAATTGTTTAACCTTTGTTTTCTTCAAAACATTATAAATATATTTCACAAGGTCAAGCAATATTCACATCAAGCTGATTCCTACGTCTCTTTGAATTCAAGATCAGCAATCAATGCAATGTGGTCTGATGGAAATGTAATACTTGGTATGGCAACGTGTTCAGTTACTTCTTCATGGGAGGGCATGGGGATCACCTGAAAACAAAAAAATCATAATGTATAAAGTGCACATGTATGTATTTGATGTTAATTAGAGCAATGTGCAAATTAACTTGTCAGATAGCTATATTTTTTAATGGATCCAATTCCTTGGAAATAAAATCTTGACTTAGCACAATCTCAAGTATAATGGAAAGTTTCCAGAACAGAATAGATAACTGCATTTTATGCCCCAGTAACACCAACTAAAAGATTTTACTGGATTAACAAATGAAATGCAATTAATAATATATTATCCATCAGAATATGGACCAATGTTTTGATGAATATTTAGACAAATGTACATTTCTTGTATAATATTGTAATAAATTTCCTTTTGGCTGTTTTGTGTATATATTTTGTAAATAAAGCTGTATACACAATCTTATATTCGAGTTTCTTTAAAAGATTTTATGCACTGAACGGTAGTTTAAATCTAGATTAAGTCAGCTGCTAGCATCCCAAGAGGCTGGCTCGGCAGTGGTTAGATAAGTAATCCTCAGAGAAACATTCATTTCATACACTGAACATACACTGAAGCAGTCCCCGTGGTGTAGTGGTAAGACACTCGCCTGGCGTTCCGCGAGCGCTATGTCATGGGTTCGTATCCTGGCCGGGGAGGATTTACTGGGCGCAAATCCTTAACTGTAGCCTCTGTTTAACGCAACAGTAAAATGTGTACGTGGATGAAAAAACGATTCTTCGCGGCAGGGAATCGTATTCCAGGGACCTGCCCGAAACGCTACGCGTACTAGTGGCTGTACAAGAATGTAAAAACTCTTGTATATATCTCAAAAAAAAAAAAAAAAAAAAAATCTGTTTAAAAACTGTTTGTCCCGTCTCCCCAGCATTCTTTGTCATATAACACTTTGAAATTACTGACGGTTTTGGCCTTCACCACCTTCTCGCCTAACTTGTTCCAACCATCTACCATTCTGTTTACAAAAGGGAATTTTCTTATATTTCTCCGGCAGCTTTGTTTCGTGAGTTTAAATCTATGACCTCTTGTTCTTGAAGTTCCGGGTCTCAGGAATTCTTCCCTATCAATTTTATCGATTCCTGTTACTATTTTGTATGTAGTGATCATATCGCCTCTTTTTCTTCTATCTTCTAGTTTTTGCATATTTAATGCCTCTAACCTCTCCTCATTGCTCTTGTCCTTCAGTTCTGGGAGCCACTTAGTGGCATGTCGTTGCATCTTTTCCGGTTTGTTGATGTGCTTCTCAAGATATGGGTACCATACAACCGCTGCATATTCCAGCTTTGGTCTAACAAAAGTCGTGAACAATTTCTTTAGTTTCAATTTCTTCCATCGAACAGCTGTGTGCTCTTAGTCGAAGAATTCATCTGGATGTTAATTACTGGTGTCAGCTCCCAAATGAACACAGCCGCAAGCGTACGAAGCCTCCTACGATCGTCAGCGTGCGCGATTACTGTCGTATCTTACACTATGTCTTCTCCCTGTTCTCCCTGTTTTCGATCTCTCTGTTTAGATTTATTTTTCTTGCGTGTGATAGTCGTGTATTTGTCTGCGTTTTCTTTGTAGAGTGGTCCTCTTTCTGACCCTCCTCACAGCCACATGCTTCAGGCAGACCTTGTATGCTTCAGCTGTCAGTTGATCTATTCCCTGTGTGGGAGTTTTGTCGCTTAAGACTATCTCCCATTGAATGGTTGCAAAGTCTACATTTATTTTTTCCCCAGTCGATCCTCTTATTGTTGAAATTGAATTGATTGAATATTCCTTCTCGCTTGTTGGGTCTCTTAAACCTACTACTGTTATTTATACTAGTTCGCACTTCAATGAGCTTATGGTCTGAGTATGTAGTATCAGAGATTGTAATGTCTCTGATTAGTTCATCATTGTTTGTGAATAGCATGTCTAGTGTGTTTTCGTTCCTAGTTGGATCTGTGATCTGTTGATTGAGCGAGAATTTGTCACAGAATCTCAAAAGTTCTCTGACCTGTGGTTGGTTATTTCCCGGGTCATTCCCTGCTATGATATTTGTGTTTACCATTCTCCATCTTAGACTTGGTAAATTGAAATCTCCAAGGAATATAATATCTGGTGCTGGGTTCGCTAGATTATCAAGGATGTTCTCTATTTTGTGCATCTGCTCTGTGAATTCCTCAACCGTTGTATCTGGCGGTTCATATATTACAATAATAATTAGGTTAATTTTTTCTACATTAATTCCAAGTACCTCTACCACCTCATTAGTTGAGTTTAGTAGCTCTGTGCATACCAGGTCCTTTTTAATATACAGACCTACTCCTCCATTTGACCTATATTCTCTATCACATCTATATAAATTATAATTTGGAATCCAGATTTCACTATCAATGTAATCTTTCGTGCGAGTTTCCGTGAATGCCCCAAATATTGAGTTTGACTCTAAAAGGAGGCCATTTATGAACTTAACTTTATTTCTTGACTTTGATTTTAAACCTTGAATGTTGGCAAATATGAATGATTGTCCATATTGTGTGTCACTTCCGGAAGGTTTTGGTAGTTCTCCCTCCTCTCTACCCTGACCCAGGGTGTGCTGGTCTGGCAATGGTTTGTCCAGTTTAAGGTGTTTGTTGAAGGTGATGTAAGGTCTTTGACTTTTGTAAGATGGTAGTAAAAACAATGTTTTGTGGAGATTCAGCATATAATACTACAATACATCAGAATATATGGAAATGCTGTACAGTACATGATGCAGACAAACCACATGGTGCACAAACCTGCTTGACAATAAACTTGTCAGTCTGATAGAAAATATAATCTAGGCAGCCATAGAAGCCAGTGGTGTAGTTGGTATATGGAGGACAACCACAGGCACTATCCAGCTCCAGGTTATGACTCAGCCGAATATTTTTCACGAACTCACTTTCTTCTGAAATTAGAAATGTGTCTTGTCTCAACTCTACTAAAAGCTTTAAACTTAAGAAATTCTGAATAATTATCTAATTTTTTAAGAAATTTAGAAAATATACTTTACACAAAAGTTTCTCCAATACTCATTTTTTTTCTTATGGATCACCATTCCCAACATTACTTATTATACCAGATAGATGTTTACAAAAAAATTAAATATGATACAGTACAGTTAACTGCAACTATGTACAGCAAGTAGTGTATACTTGGTCCATATTCATGATATCATGTAAATGGAAAACCCATCATTGAATGCAATGAGATGCCTCTTTCTGGTGGAGCCTCGGTGGCTCCCTGAAGCTATTTTGCCAAGATTGCTCCATGCTAAAAGGTTACATCAATCACAGAAGTTCTGTTTGATCTACTGGGGACCAGAGCCAGAACTAAGCCCACTCACAGATGCAGAGAGAGTGACAATTCACCACCCCACCAGGAAAGCATCCAGAAAATTGGCAAAGCTTTACAGATAACTGGACGATTTACAAAAAACCAGCGTCGATTCTAATGAAACGCCATTTTCTGGGTGAGCCTCGGAGGCTCCCTGGAGCTATCAGGCTAATATGTGATACATTAGATTGGGGCATTAGTCTATGGAGTTCAGCCTACTGGGGACAACGAGCCAGAACCTGGGCCCCATCAGAGAGATGCAGGGAGCAATGGTACAGTATATCACACACCAATCCGATACCTCCAGGGAACTGAGAGGGCTCCCCGCAGAAAAGCCCAAGAATTCAACAAATCAATGAAAATTCTTCAGCAGTTTATACACTGGTGAGTGGCTCAGAAACTTGAAACTCTGCCATAGCATTAGGTACATTAAAGTACATGGCAAAAAGTAAGCTGCTGGTGCAGAAGAATATTTCAGTAAATTTACAGAGATGGTGCAGGAAGAAAATTTATCTCCTGAGCGAATTTAGTGCTGATGAGACAGATTTGTGCTGGAGAATGTTACCCACAGACATTATAACTCATAAGGGTGAAAATAAACCCTCTGGTAGTTACAAGCAGCAAAAATGAACATGTGTGTTATTGAGCATACAGCTTTAGGAGGGCTGGCAACACTGAATCAGCAGAGAACAAAACCCCTGCAAGAGGAGTCTCACTGACCACCCCCCCCCCCCCAGAGCCAATCAGAATGAAGTTCTAGGAGGCTCAAGAAATTCATGACAGAAGCCAATTGCAAGTGGGCACGAAGGTTGTCTGCAACCAAAGCACTTGACTGCTGGGGAACCTGAACATGCAGCTGCAATGATCCACATCATGGGAAAGGGCAAGAGCAGAGGTATGCATTGAGGGACTCAATGCATACCTCTGCTTCCCTCTCAATGCATACCTCTCTGCTGGTTGCATACCTCAACCTTCCAAAAACATCTGCAACACAGTAGACACACCTCTCACCACTCAAGCATGCAGGTACGACAGAAACCGCTCCAAGCCACAAACGAAAAGAAAGGAATCTGCTAGCCAGGACGACTTGGGAACATAATAACACACCCAATAAGGGGAGGAAGAACGGAACTCGAAGGAAGCTGGATCCATAACCAAGACATAAACTGGGTCACATCACATGGGAGGTACAAACACAGGGCCACCCAAGCCTCCACTGAGGGAACTCGAGAGGAAGGAAACCTCCAAAAGGATGTCACAATAGTGCCCAAATGCACTTGGAAACGAACCCTGGGGGGAGCCATACCCAACTGAAACTCATATAGTGAGGGTGGATAACAAAAACCCCTCTCCTGGCAACACAAGACCCTCTGCAGAAGGCATTAAGGCCCACAAAGGATCAAATGGGACCCAAGAGCCCAAGTTGGATTTCCTCTGAGCCCCAGGAACTGCAGATGAGGGCCCCTGGGGCAGAGCCACTGTCCACGCCCACCACTTGGGATAGAAAAGCAGAGTCCAAGGAAGGGGCTTGCTGGAAACACCCAGAAGCCTTGAGCAAGAGGCTTGACTGCCTCTACATCTGTATCGGAAGAGGCAAACCCTGGATCAGCCCAAGTCACATCCCGAGCCATGTCCTGCCCAGATTTCGAAACCCTCAGACGTTTCAGAGCTGGAAACAGGCAGGAGAAGGGTGAACTAAGCCCACCGGGAAAGGAAGAGGTGTGGACGGAACCATGGTTGAATTAATCAACACCCCCAAATCCGGGTCCCTAAACACCAAACTTAGCAAATCCCGGGCATCAAACTGGACACACAAACTTGACTGTTGCAACACACAAAACCTTAAACACCAGGCAGTCACATGACTAATGACACACATAAAACATACAACACATGCATACTATAAATAAAACACATCAAACAATATATACACCCACATTTTCCACCTTACTTTAGTTCATTAAGCAGTCTAGAACCCAGAAATTCATTATAGCATTCTATCCATCTAGTATATAGCCCCAATGCCTCACTCCTTCCTGGGAGCACCCTCATCGGGAGGAGACGAAGTTCCTCCAGGAGGCTCTCTGTCACCACACAAACTTTTCCCTCTTTCAAACTCTTTGACCCCACCTCCAACCTTTCTTTCATATATATAATGAAGTGCTGTAAAGGCTTTTTAAGAAACCCTCAATTTTGACATCAATTATGGCAGGTAAATTGGAGTTGAGGAAACATGGGGGTCAAATTTACGGTGTAGTACTCATCACTAAGAGCAGTTAAAATACACTTTTACTTCTTATTTTGTGATCCATTTCATTCTTTAATCTATATGACAGCTTAAATTTCTGAACATTTCACAATCCTTGCACATGTCCTTTAATAAGTCATTAAAAACAATACACTGTAATTAAAACAACAGCCACTGGAGACTGCTGAAGCTCTCATCACATCACTATAGGGATTTTGGTACAGGAGATACAGAATGCGACTTGCATGATTTAGCAAGAAAAAACAGTTCCACGCACATTACATCTTTGTGTCTATGAACAGTCTTGGCTTATGGTGAACATGATATGAGTATGTGGTAGAAGAAAATCATAGTTAAGAGGATTACTATATGAAGCCCCTGAACTGCTTTAGTTGAAGATTATTTGGTGGTAAGAAAATCAGTAAGAGCCATGAGTAGGATTCAAATACACAAATGCATATTGTGCATTTAAAGAGAAGCGTTGGAGGTAGAATTCTTAGACTATAAGCCAGAGTGCATGAAGGGGGGTCGTGTGTGAAACCCTGATTTCTGGGTATGGTGGAAGCCTGGGAACCCCCTAGAGGGTTCAGTTGGATCCCAAGTTGCAATGCTTTTATCATGTCGAGGTGTAGCTGTCAGGGGCATTTGCTTGGAAGTGCCCCAAATATCAATTCAAATCCTCCTCATGGCTCCTACTGATTTTCTCCTTGGTGCATCACATTTATGTGATTTCTTTGTGCATTATTTGGTGGCATCCAGGTGGCATCTAGTAATCCCAACTACCCTAGGAGTGAGGCATAAACAAATGCTTTAAAGATAATCAAATGTTTCACCATCAATCAATTTTACACTTACTGCCACTCCAATCTATATCATCAAAATCAACAAGCTGGGTGGTCATGAGTCGATACACCTCAAATTCAGGTGTGCTGTTGAAGTCCCCACAGAAGATTAGCGACACTTCTTTTTCAGGATGCTAAAATACATTAAGATAATACAGTATTAAAGAATGGAACCACAAAAGCAGATTCATATAAAAAAAAAACAGCATTGAATGTAATGAAATGCCATTTTCTGGGTGAGCCCCGGAGGCTCCCCGGAGCTTAAAGGGCTGATATGTATGTATTAGATCGTAGCATCACTCTTATTTGTTTTTTTGCCTACTGGGGGACCTAATTTCATCTTCATAGTTTTCTACCTTGTTGCTTTAAAATTGCACTGTATCTAGTACTACCCAATCTCCCAATCTTCATGTACCCAATCCAAACAACTTTACCATTGGGATCATTGCTGTCTTCTTATATGTGCTTTCAATTTGCTGTATGGTGCCTATTAATCTTCATTTAAATTACCAATCAAGCTGTCAATGCAATCAATCAGAGCTTTAATATAGTAATGTGCTTTAATATACCTACTAATCTCTCTCATCTCATTCTTTTTCTTTCTTGCAATGTATCTGTTATCATTTTATTAATTCTGCTAGAATTTACCTACTTAAAATTATCTGTTAGATTAAGGACCTGCCCGAAACGCTGCGCATACTAGTGGCTTTACAAGATTGTATATTGCCATGCTATATATTCTCACAAACCCAATGTACCTTCTCGTATATAAATAAATAAATAAATAAATAAATAAATAAATAATCCAGCCCTGTACACAGATAACTTTGTCACAGTCAGGTTTTTCTATGACACTATCATTGCAAAATAATCACCGTTATTAATTCATTTCTTCATTATTAAGTGATACTGTGAGCACAAGTTGCACTATGGTTGCCCTCTCAATAATGAGGCCCCTCACACCCAGAAATAATTTTTTCCAAGGGAGGGAGGGAATTATCAGGGGAAAGTGTCAAGCCATTACAACTATATAGCACTTGTAAGGGTATAGGATAAGGATTTTGGATGGGACGTGGGGCAGGAGTGGTGCCCAACCACTTGGACTGGACAGTAGAGCAACGGTCTTGCTTCATACGGGTCAGTGTTCAGTCCCCCGATTGTCCAAGTGGTTGGGCACCATCCCATCCCAAATCCTTATCCTAACCCCTTCCCAAGTGCTATATAGTCGTAATAGCTTGGCACTTTTCCCTGATAGTTCCCTCCCTCCAAGATGGCATCTTTTCACTGGAAACCTGAAGAAGCCAATGTGAGCCTGTGTATGCATAGGACTTTTACATCTTTTACGGTACAGTACTTTAAATCATCTCTCATTGACTCGAGCAGTAAGGTTGACAAATGCAATCGTTCCTGTTTAACATGAGCATTTGAAGGGTTAAACTAATGTGAAGATAACAATTACCTGACACAGTTTATTACAACATATTAGATATTAAAACATTTTAAACTATCATATTAATATTTGGCCTAACATCTAAAATGACTGAAGGACTCAGAATGCATGCAAGGGGTCTTCTACTGTACATAACTAACTGGAGGTTACATTTTACAAACTGATTGAATCTATAAGAAGTAACTGTTTTGTAACAAGGCATACCTTGGTCTCATATAGAGATAGGACTTGCTGAAGCAATTTAATGCAGATTCCTGCCTGCAGAAGACGAATGTGATCAGCATCCGGATGGAAGTACAAGTGGGTAATGCCCACTACAATCAGCTTTGATGGATTTTCCACACTCTCAATCACGCTTACCTGGTGAGGAGCGAGCATCATACGGCATGAAATACTAAAACAGATTACATATCACTGCATGTAAATGCCCAATAAAATTCATTCATTTCACCACTCTAAAATTTCTAGTTGTTTTTATGTCAATGGGTGCTTCAGCGTACCCCCTTCTCTGTAGCTTTTATCATTTCCCTTAACTCATTCACTTGCTCTTAACTTCCGACTTTCCATTTTATAAACTTACATACCTCCTTCCATACCCAAATTTAATATTCCTGCTTCTCCATTAGTTTGGACAGCTTAAAATAATCCTTTCATAATTTTTACACATCTCTGGATTTGACACTACATTAATACATCTCCTTCAACCTTCCCTTTTTTCCAATACTTTTCAAATGCTTTACATTCCTCTATTACTGTATTGTATATTCACCCGAATTCATTCATGGACCACCATCCCTCTAGTGGCCTTGACAGGAACAGGAAGCTGGTGAGTTGTCAAAGGTTCCCCATTTTTCCTGATAATTTTATCCAGCTGTATTTTGAACTGTAGCAAATGGACAGTGTACACAAATAATTGCACAAATTTTAATCCAGTTTATTGTGGTTACTCCTTGCTAGCTTTTGCCCTTTTATTAAACGTGGATGATCTTTAATCTTTTAATTTCCTTACATTTGCTTGTAGAGTTTATGATTTCTCTTAAATTGCTTTTGTTTCATCCTCATTTCACCATGCCATTATTTTAATTTTGATTCTCTATTTACTTTCCCATGAACTTAAACAGTTCATACAGGTGTGCTATTTTTTCCTCCATTAGTCATTTATTTATTTATTTATACAGTATACAAGAAGTTACATTGGGTTTATGAGTTTATAGCATTGATGTTTTTACATTCTTGTAAAGCCACTAACATGCATAGTGTTTTGGGCAGGTTTCATTTAAATCATACAAAGGATTATACAGGCTGTTGCTTTGATTGAATTGCAGGCCCACATATCCACTATAATCCCGCTGATCCAGCAATTTTTGCAGGAACTTCTCTAATTACTTCTGGAAGAGGTCCACTTATATTCTGGGAATACAGTATTTCTAATGCTCGCTAGGAGAGTATTGAATAGCCGTGGACCTCTGACGTTCATACAGTGCTCTCTCTACCTATGGAACCACCACTCACTGGTTATATTCTGCATTTCCTTCCATATCTTTCACTCCAGTATGTTGTTATTTTATTGTGCAAATTTGGGACCCAGGGACAGGAAATTGAAAACTAATATCTATCACCCTACTTTACCTGTCATTCTTAATGATCTCATTGTATACCTGAATAATGTTTTGGGTATCCTTCATGCACTAAAAAATGGATTCAGGCTTTTCATTCCTATATCACCCATTCATCACTTATTAATAATTACTGTATAGAGTCCAAGTAATTTCTTGCTACCATCACTACACCATGAATGATATGTAATTATTGTTAAGTGAGGTCATGTGACAATGTCTCGCTAGCAAATCTCAAAACAAAGTGTCAAACCAGTCATGATTATTGCAGAAACAAAATTCCATACAGGTTGACAAAGCCAGAGAGAATACCGCTCCCCTCCCATAATTATGTACTAGACTAAAAACAATTACCGTCTAGTCTCCCTACCTGCAGAACTGTACTACGTTGAGTCATCTTTAAAGTTAGATCAGGACTAGTCTGCACTTCTTCCCACATGTCAGCAAACAATATGTTGTTCTGTAGTTCGGCACTTAGAAGAAAGCGATTCTGTTCTAAAATTCTAGTGAAATATAAAATTATAGGCATTAGTCTAAGTTTCTTTAAACCATATACAGTACCAGGCTTGTGAAAAGCTCTTTTCTAAGTTATTCTTCAACTCCCAAAAAAACAGTATAGTGATTAACTATACCCATTTAGGATCACACCAGTCAGGTCAGAATACATACCACACCAATGTTACATGGACTACAATGACCTTTTATGATATTCAAAAGGGACTACAGCATTCTCAAAACAGATATTGGGCCCTAGCAACAACACACATGTGTCTGCCACCTGGGAAGTTCTTATTATTCTAACTACCAATAGAAATAAGCCACCTGTTTCTCTTAACTCTCACCAGGTAGCACATTGCTTGGTGGAAAGTCATACCCAGCCCCACCAACCCATAGTTCACTCACATCCAAATGTTCCCAATTAAATTTCTACAGCAGGGCGAAGAAATTTAGGAACATCTAGGGTCCCGGTTGTACAGTCTGGTTCATTCTTGACTCTCAATCGAAAATTCCAGATTTGAATCCCAGGCATGACAGAAATGGTTGGGCGTGTTTCCTATCACCAAAGATCTAGGAGTTAATCAGCTTGTTATGGGGATGCATCCTGAGAAGGGTCAGTGAGGGAGGGGGGTGGGGAACCTTAGGGGGAGGACCTTAGGGGGGGGGGGAACCATGGGGGGAACCTGGGGGGGATACCTCAATATAAGCCTAACATGTACTGTATGTATAAGTTGGCTGCCTATTCCCCAACAATGAATTATCAAATTATTTCCTTTCATTTAATGGCTCTGTTCACATAGCAGTTAATAGGTACCTAGGTTTTATGCAACTGTTGTGGGTTGCATCTTGGGGAAGGTCAGTAAATGGCACGAGAGACACCTTGATAAGCCCAATGATAAGTTCTCAACAACCACTTCATTCCTCTTTCTCCAAAACAATGAATTATTTCTGCATACACCTCAACACCTGCAACTGCCCCACATTTCAACTTCACTTAATCTTCAACCCAAGAGCCAAAGCTCAACCCCCGCAAGCACAGAAAGGCGAGTAGTACCGATGTACTTGCGTCCTTATTACATATATCAGCTGCCATAGAATCTTGCACTCTTCTCACACCAACCAATCAAATTATGTCCATATTAGCACCTCATTTATCACCACCACCCATTAGACATTCAAAGTACTGTATCTTCTTCAACTTCTAAACTGCAGTTCACCATTTATCCACACACACCAATCTCATTGTTACACTGACTTCTTTCTAAAAGAGCTTTCTATTTTCTGAATAATTTTATTTTGCTTTTCTCCCTAATGCATCTACTCATTCGCTCATTTTTACTGCTTAACTAATCTCATTTACTATTTTACCCATTTGTGAAACTCGACACATTTCCTTGACAAAAATACCTTAAAAACACAGGCCAAAGCCCAATAACCCAACCAGAATACCAGAATAGGAGAGAAATGTGTAACTGCCCTTCCAACCAATTCACAACCTCAGAGGTCCACCTCAGAACCAATGATCGAGTACACCCAAGTGTGAAAGAGGGCTAGTCACCTTCAATATACTCTGCAGTTGGAAATCTCCTGACTTAGGCTAACTCGAGTAAACACTCCAGAGGAGTACGTGGGCATGTAACAGTGAACACTACTCAAGTGACAACCCAAGACCTAGCAGACATTGTAACTAGAAAACCTGATTGCTTTCTCAAGCCCCCCCCCCCCCACATACACACACTATGGTAAAAAGTCAAGATTCTTATTTAGTGTGACTTATGAGGTCAGTGGGGGTTAGGCAGGTCCTGCCTTGCAGTGGTGTTGCCACCTAGTGTGTCGGGAATAACAGGATATTTTTTCTGATTAGGGGGAGGGAAGTTATATACCTTCAGTGTTATATGCTAATCTGCCTGATTATGTAGTGACTTAACAAGCACTATAGACCACTATACTTCTTAGAGCAGCAGCTAATAAGAGCTCAGAAAATATGTTCTAAAATTAAATACATACATTTTTATCTATCAATTTATTAATATCACCAATGAAAACTTTTCCTTTGTTTTAACCATAATAATATTTAATCAAATGAACAAATCCACAAGGGCCGTGACAAGGATTCGAATCTGCGTCCGAGAGCATCCCAGACGCTGCCTTAATCGACTGAGCTATGACATGGTCAAAAGAAGTTGAAACCGAAGTTCTACTGAACTTAAAGGATCATGCAGCCTCTCCAAGGCACAAACCAGGATTTTACACAACTCCCCCCATGCACTCGAGCTATGTCAATAGGCCAGTCTCTCGGACGCAAGTTCGAATCCTCGTCACGGCCCTTGTGGATTTGTTCATTTGATGCATCACGCAATTGTGGTTTCTGTGTGTAATATTTAATCAATGCACAAGATTAAATTACTTTACAGTTTATTCATTATTAAAGCAAACTTTAAATACTATAAAGCATACACACACTATCTATATATTGTACAGTATGTACTCTTGTTCTTCTCCGGCATTTTCACACAATAACTTAGCAAATATAAATTACACATCAGCACATCATTAAACAGAATTTTCTATCTCGTAATTTTATATAAATAAATTATCCACTGGCATAAGTAACTGCTATTTTGATCCACTGTTTAAATAAATTAAGGTCCACCAGAGCAGAATGTTACATTGGCAGTGTTAATGTTGGGTCAAACTGTTGATCAAATTATACTACAGTACAAATACAACAATACAAATACAAATATTTACTCAGGTAAAGTACATACATACAAGGTGAAATACAAAAGTTGATGGATTTATAGATAGAGCTAGTACATACAATGCCTAAAGCCACTATTACGCAAAGTGTTTCGGGCAGGAAAAACACTAAAACTAAAACTTAATACTAATTGAGATTAAAGTATAAATTGTGTTGAGAAAAAATCAGAAAAAAATGAACAAAAGTTTTACTGTATAAATAGTACTGTATAGTACTGTATAAATGAGTTTTAGTGATACAGTAATTAACAAGCTGATACCGTATTATCTAAACCTTAAAATAAAGCTGTTGGAGGGACCAAAACTAAGGCTTTGCATTGACATAATAAACACCTTTCTAAGCTATCACTCGGGTGTTCCCTAAAGTAAGATCCCCCCCCAATGTCCTTGATCCTGCCTCCTTGCTAGTTGTACTCCAGTGCATTTTGATTTCTTGTTATATTTCATTGTAACATTAGATTTAGAAACTTCCACTTCTACTTCTTTCAGTGCATTTCCACTTGTTGCTTAATGTATATGAAAGTTTTTGTGCTTCTTTTTTGCTACATCTCTATTTCCACTTACTATGTCCTCTTATTCTATTTCCCTCATTTGAAAAGGGTGTTCCTTACCACCTTTTTTATTTACCTAAATATTTTGTATGTAGTCTGTAATATGTATGTAGTTTAAGCCAGTGCCCATATCCCCTCTGGTATTTCTCTTCTCTAAAGTTATTAGAAAGAGTTACCTTAACCTGTCTCCAAAGTTTAGTTCAGTTACTAGCTTGGATTACAAATGTATGGATCTTTTTAATCTTTGCTTTGTGCTCAACTATAATGTATGCTGAAACCAAGTAGGTGCTGCAATTTCTAGAATTGGTCTGATAAAGGTTGTACAAATCACTAGTCACTGGAAAATACTAAATCCAACCAGAGTGAACAGAGGTAAATTCATAAAAAAAAAACATCCTCCAAACCCAAACTTGGCATCACAGGTGACTGCTAACTAAAGGCCCTTGCTAACTACCAATTGGCATGTGTGGATATCTTCCTACTTCTGGATTTCCTGACCCTAGCCACCCTCCATACTTCCTAATACTAGGACTAACTGCAGACTTGAAAAGTTATTTCTGACCTATGAAATTCAAATGCCCCATAAGGTGCATTATCTTTCTTGCAAAGCAGATGGAAGATGCAGACCTTGCTACAGAAGACTAAAGACCTTGTGAATAAAAGTAACTCTTTGGATGACATGTCTCAATACTACTAGATAATGTCAAGACAAAGCTAGCAGGCACCTCTGACTTCAAAAGCCAAGCCTGAAAAACATGAGATCTTCTAGAAGGTAAGGTAATTATCAAGAGAAAACAGTAAGCCATTAGCACTGTATAGCACTTGGAAGGGATGAGGATAAGGATTAGGAAAAGGATGGAGGGAAGGAACAGTGCCCAACCACTTGAATGGTTAGTTATTGAACACCAACCTGCAAGAAGCGAGACCATCACTCTACCGTCCACTCCTAGCGGATGGACGAGGTCTTTTGCAAAAGAACTAATGTAGTCTTGTTCTTCACAAGGAAACTAGACATAGATTGGAGGCATGAAGATGCCTCCGTACTGACCGAAATTGCTCACAGCCAAAGCAAGTAGTAAGAAGGTTCTGAAAGTCCAAGCAAAAGATAGAAAATTTTAAAACCTTATCAAGTGACCAGGCTGTCTTCATCAGTGTAGAGATGCCATCCAACAGAAAAGAAATTGTATTTGGCATAAACCTGCTCACCTTATACTGATATTATGCGGATGCCTGGAGAGACTGAATCAGAATCTCAGCCACTTGCAACTACTGCAAAATGTGTGGTGGTCAAAGCTTGAGTGCTCTGCTAACACATAGGTGCCAACACCTGGTGGCAGTTTGGGGTAGCTGCCTAACAAGGCCAACTAGGAACTAGCAGATCTACTCTTTGGTAGTCTCATTGATGCCAAGTAGTGCTTGGAAGGGTTTTTGATGTAAATGCACGAGCTTTATACTTTCTTACAATGTACCTGTAAACATTTTTTTAATTTTGTTAGAAATTACCTTCCTAAAATTATATGTTAGATTAAGGATCTGCCTGAAATGCTCTGTGTGCTAGTGGCTTTTCAAGAATGTAGAACTTCAGTGCTCTGTATTCACATAAACCCAATGTACCTTCTTGTAAATAAATGAATAATATAAATATAAATAAATAAATAAAAATAAAAAATAAATAAATAAAAATAGTAAATAAAATAAGCAAGCTTTTTCAAGGCCATCTTGGATTAGATTGTCTCAAATGTCTCCCATGCACTAGTATATGGTTCAGCTGATGCAAAATGTCAACTTGCCTTTACTGTGCATAGAACTGACCAAAAGAACAGAAGACCATCTAAGGAAAACTCACCTAAGTTTGTTTTTCCGACAGAAGATAGCACATCCCTCTGTAACCTGCCCACCTTTTGCAGTATAATGTCCCTCTAGGCCTTGACTACCAAGAGCTGGTAATAAATCACGATTGAACACTTTCTCATCTACCTCTTGCAAACAAATCAGATCCCCATTGTAACCTAGAAATGGAAAAAATATTTTTTAAACAAACTATGCTAAGCAATTTTTGTATCTTTATAAAGAAAAAATTCCTACGTTATCTTCGTCACAAAATAAAAATATGTACCACACATATATGACTGAGTTTCCTGAAAGACATTAGTAAAAGCAGCTGAGAATTTAATAATGTGGTGCCACACAAAGAAACAATCCTCAAGCTGGTGACACCAAATTTTCAACTTTCTATAATTTAATAGAAACAATTTAAATGTAAAATAAATAGCACATTTTATAAGAGCTTACTTTTATACACAACACTCAACAATTACAATGTAGGCCACTGCTTTTTATCAACATTCACACTTCAGACTATGAAACAAAAAACATTTCTCATATATAATACTGTATAAATCTATATTAATGCCCCCTTCTTTTACAGTGTAATGCCTCCTCTTATTTTCCCTATTTTCAATCTCCTTTTAAGTATACAATAGACTCCTGGTTCTACACAGGAATATATGCCTTGAGATCCCATGCATGACCAAACTTGGTATTTATTTTATATAAAAAAGTAGGATGCCTTTCAGGACCAAGAATCTTATAATGAGAACTTTTAATAATACAGTACTGTATATGAACCGTTAAATGTTAAGTTTTATTAATACAAAACAACGCAAATAAATGAAGACTTTTTTTGTATACTGTAATACTAAGGTATATTAATAAAATTTAATACAAACAACAAATTACAGTACAGTGGTACCTCCGTTTATGAATTTAATCCATTCCCAGAGACAGCTCATAACCCGAAACAAATTTTCCCACAAAAAATAATGTAAATTTAATTAATCCGTTCCACACTCCCAAAATTATTAACTTCAAAATACATTTCATACATAATACACACAAATATTTTTTACTATAATATGTACAAGTTATAGCTTACTTTTATTAATGACTTGTTAGCATACTGTATATTATCAATGGTTTTACATTTAAAGCCTATTATAATAAAAATGTCAAACAAATGATGCTCTAGGTACCAACAACTCATATCCAAGTATAAAACACACGACTGCACTAATAAACTTACAACTATAAATTTTACCTGCACTTAAGCAGACTTAATTAAATTATAAACCCATGGAAACTGTCTACCCACCAAAGCAGTAAATGCCAAAACTTTTAAATTTTAAAATCCAGCAGGAAAAATCATCAGGGCAAATGGGGGGGGGGGGGGGACCTTTGACAGCCCGCCAGCTTCCTATCCTCGTCGAGGCCACTAGAGCGTTAGAGGCCCTCAGGTAAATTTAGTAAAATCCCACCTCACACTAATAAAAGATTTCTGTACTAAATAACTAGCATCTTTTACATCCACATCCTTCAATCTTATCATAAAAGCTTTAATGAATTTCCTCAATTAGTGATTCGTATAGCAAAATGTAAAGCAATTAAAGTACAGTGCTGTACTGCTACTAGGTCTGACTGTTTTAGAAATATAAAATGTTGATTATGAGAATTAACAGTAAATTGTACTAACCCCCTTTTGAAAGTAGAAAGAAATATAGGTACAAAATACACTACTAACAATAACTTATACACTGTACAATACTGGAATTAGGAAGAAAGAACCATACCTAATATTTCTTTGATAAGGAGCTGCTTACGGTAGTCCAAATCAAGAGCATATGGAGGGCATGATGAAAATAAAATATTTCGTGCATGGTCTGAATCTGCATACAATTCGGCAAGAATGTTGTAGCTGATGACACGCAAACTGAAAAAAATAAATTTACTAAATACTGTACTCATACATCTGTGATAAATTGACTGGTTGGCGAACAGTAAACAGGAAGAACTTTAATAATTGGGGCCACTACAACTCTGAAGGACAGTCTTGAGAGAAAAGTACTACTGTATGCACTCTCTTATTCAAATTCCACTAAACTGAATACTGTATTTGGGTTATCCAGCCAAAATCGCATCAAGATAATTTTCTAACCATCTTCATCATATCCGGACTGAAATCCAGATAACCACAGGTTAAGTTACGTAAATTTTCAAGAACTACACATTTCAAGATCTACAGTATCGAACAGGTAGACAAACTACAACAAGGCAAGCTAAAGTGTCTCTTAAATTATATTTTTTACTTTTAGTGTGTCTGTGGAAATTATTAAATTGGTTATGATATACAAAAAAATGCTAATTTGGTAATTTTTGGCCTTCCCCTGAAAGAATTCTGCTTATCTGTTTGTCTGGCTTATCCGGAGAGGTGTCCTTTTATATAGTCTGGATAAGCAAGCTCAGACAGTACTCCTTAAAATTATATGCAACAAAACTTTAAATCTTCAGATACTGTACTGTAATTATGACTGAATCACATGGAAAAACACTATTTCAGGACACCTGATAAAGTTTTAAAATTTTATGAATTTACAATATTGTATCTTCAATATCATTATGATCATTAAAAAATCAATATAATTTGATCTTCGCACACATTTATGAGTTCTACATTAAAATGCAAGCATAAACTGTATACATTTTCTCCTAATAACATAAAATCTCTGGTTCCCAGACTTAAGAAAGTTATTAATGTTCAGAAGCAACTTTCTTTGTTAACAATACCATAGTTTTCAACATTGATTTTTCACAAGATAATAGTACTGTTTTTTATAGTTTTATGTCAACCTATACATTCAACAGACGGTACAGTATATGGCATTTATACACTGCCTGTTCTATAGAAGCAAAATTTGGATACAGTGCAAGTACAGAACTCTTTCAGATATGTTATCATTTAAAATAAAAATGATTTGCCATTTCATGCTACAGAAGTTCAGTTTTATCACTAAAAAGAGACAAAATTTTGGAACTGTTACGGACCCGGATCCAGCGTCCGAGCCTGGAGCAGTGACAACCACGCCATCTGTGAGTCGGCTCCCGAAACCCCCTCCAAATGGACGACGACACCTGGTGAGGACGAGGTGTACTGGCCACAAGGGCCAGTTTCCAGTCCTGTTCAGCTCACAACACAGCCGCTGCTGACCTCTGGTGAGGTGGTGCTCAGACGACAACGCCATCTATGGAGTGGATACGTCGGGCGTTTGTGTCTGAGCCTGTAAGTGAGGTGCTTTAGTGTGTCCCTGTTATTGATGACGTGTCTGCTTACAGAGTCGACCTGGGACTGCTGTAAGGGAAGTTGGGTCAGTCTACCCAAGGCAGCCGTCCCCATACCAAGTGCTTTGCTGCAGCAGCTGTGAGTCGCCTCCCGGATGAACACTGTGGTGTTACCCTGCCTGTGAAGCGGCAGTTGAGGATTGTCATACCCGGGACCGACTGCTGGAGACGATTAACCACTGGGGTTTTGTGGACAGGAGAGTGATCTGTGGTATCACCCGAGGCTCCTGACTAGGGCGTTACCCTAGTATCGCTCGTGGAGTGGCCTGACCAGCGTTGCTGATCCGGAACCTGCCAGCTGTTCTGCTGGACTTGTGGTTGACGGCCTCCACGGCGGTGCCCCCAGTGGAACTGTGTTTTGGCTGGCCTGTGGCCGGGGTAGACTCAGCTTGTCGAAGGATTCGTCGAAAGACCACGAGAGTACCGAGAACTTGGCACCAAGAAGATCCAGAGTCTTCAGGAGAAGACTACAGTGTAAATAAGTCCCCTGTGCAGTGTTAATACCCCTCCCCCTGTGTAACCTTTTTATATATTATTTATTTGGTGGTGGTGTTAATTATAATATTAAGTTTTGCCTTTCTTTCCCTTCCCCTTTAGTTTACTTGCGTTACGGATCACATCCCTTGAAAGCCACTACTGGCTTGGGGCCGGATACCCTTCCCCTAACGACATCAGAGTACGAACCCAGTTGCGACCCGAGAGGGCCGTAACAGGAACAGTGAAAAAATAATGCACTTGTGTGTGTCCCTGTTATTGTACATACACTTCATACTTTACAGTACTTCATCTAGATTCCCATACACACCAAACTGCCAAATATACTTGTAGCCAAGTTATATTAGAGTTGTGACTTCATCTGTTAATCTACCAACCTTGTTACTTGCCCCTACATAAATGTTTTGTTTGACATATTTCATTGTGATTAACACTGGATCTAATTTCTGTTCACACCCTTTTTTCTGCAAATTCATCTTATAGTTCTAATAATGACACACTTTAGATTTCTGTTTGACAAACCAAGATTATGTACAACATTGTTTTGGAAAAACAAGTACTTTACCCATTTTCCAGAGGTGTTTCCATCTAAAACTTTACCTGTTATTCCCAGCCATGTTTTTGGTGAACTCGTGTCTTCGCTCAAAGGGACACTCGCCAGGACCTGCTGACACCAGTACTGATGACACCACTTCAGCATCTTCTCCCCTTCTTTCTCCCATATATGGTGTCACAACTACCTATGTATTTGAAAAAAAATTTGAATTCATACCTCTTTATATTTAACTACAAAAAAAACTCAATAGTTGTTATACAGAAAAACCTATTATTGTATATGACAGTGAGTAAGATCAGTGATTCTAGCACAAATCTCCATTTTTATGTTTTTCTTCACTTGATAAGTTGAAAGGTTTTCTCTCCAAATTTAATTTTACAATTTTATTAACGCCTGATGCTAAAGACATGTTTTATTGACCCATGTCAACATTATCAAAGGTAGATTTTGAAGGGTTACAAGATTTTGTAGTACCAGATAATTAACCAGAGATGAGATGAAGAAGAAGCACCTCAATTATGAGCAAATAGGTCAGCACTACTGACCAATGATACAGACTAGTCAACAGTCCGCAGCATACACAGCAGTGCTTAACCTAATAAAACATGGGCAGTTAATTTAACAATGGCAGACGTGTAACATGACTACATACTGGAAAATTGCAGATGTAAACCAACATCCAACAAGCAAACCAATGTACACTATAAGTGAATGATTATCAAATATCCTAGACTAGTCAATAGTGAAGAGATCGATCATTAGAACATTACCCCTGTGATGCAATACCATCCAAAACATGGGAGTAATTAATACTCAACTTCATTCATGACTAAAATTTACCTTAAATAACCTCCCAACATCTTCACATGTAGTTCTACAAGCCAGTCCATGTTCAAGTTCTATCCATTTTATTTTATTAAGGTGTGCATTAGCAACTTTATCCGTTTCAAATTTTATATCACTTTTAAACCACTTGAAAATACATTGTTCCTTTTCAGCAAATGCAACCTCCAATTTGTTTGGATACACAGGAAATCCTGCCATCATATTTTTTGGTAAATCAACAGTTTTCACAACCGGAGGATTCAAATCAATGGCATACTGAATGTCTCCTATTATCAAATTGTGACTTTTTGAATTAACAACAAATGAGTCATAGCAGGTCATATCTTCCGGTACACTTTCTTCGTTATCTACTCTTAGCATCTTCACCGGAATTTCATCATATTTAAAGTCCTCGCTCTTCTTATTTTTCTTTTTCTTAAAGACAGCTTTCAGTATATTCCCACTTATCCTGGCTAATGTATTGCCCAACTCATCTTGGGTCGACCTCTGCAGATTGAAAATTCTGTCGACATTCCGCCCCTCATCTTGATACCTGAACGACAGTCCCACTGTCATCGTCTCGCTCTCGTGAGTCACCACGACCTTCCGGAGCGACATGTCGTAGATCCTGCGAAACTGTGGGGAGTAGAGGCGACAGTTGTAGAGCCTGCAGCACGACACTCCCAGGAGCAGCGCCCGGCCTCGCATGACCAGCTGTGTTTACATGTCAGTCAGTCAACGTGTTCGCATCCAAGTCACCCTCAATTTGGATACCAGCTCGGATTCCTAATAAAATAAATAAATAAATAAATAAATAAATAAATGTTTATTTAGGTAAGGTACATACATAAAGAGATTTTACAAAGTTTGTTGGGTTAATAGATAGAGCTAGTACATACAATGCCTAAAGCCACTATTACGCAAAGCGTTTCGGGCAGGAAAAACATTAATGACTAAAGCTTAAAACTAATTTACTAACTAACTAAACTAAAAGCTTTAAACAGTCTCCGTGGTGTAGTGGTAAGACACTCGCCTGGCGTTCCGCGAGCGCTATGTCATGGGTTCGTATCCTGGCCGGGGAGGATTTACTGGGCGCAATTCCTTAACTGTAGCCTCTGTTTAACGCAACAGTAAAATGTGTACTTGGATGAAAAAACGATTCTTCGCGGCAGGGGATCGTATTCCAGGGACCATAGGATTAAGGACTTGCCCGAAACGCTACGCGTACTAGTGGCTGTACAAGAATGTAACAACTCTTGTATATATCTCAAAAAAAAAAAAAAAAAAAAAAAAAATAATGGGAAAAAGAATAAAATGTGTTGAGAACAAATAAAAATAGAGGTAAAAGAGGGGGGAACATGATTGAAAAAGCAGCACAAATACAATTACAAATTATTACAGAAAATTACATTCAAACAGCGTTGTTTAAAAAAAAAAAAAAAAAAAACATACATGGGTTGACAACAGAGGGGTAAGGTAATTATGTGGTCCAGATGTGGATATTTAGAATTGGTTATATAATTAATTATCAATAATTATATATAATATAATTATAATTATATTAATAATCAATAATTATATTAATAATCAATAATTATATTAATAATCAATAATTATATTAATAATCAATAATAATCATCATATTTTATTTACAAGAAGGTACAATAGGTTGGTGAGATTACATTAAAGTGATATTTTTATTAGAGCTGATAAGTTAGCCAAAGAATCTGCCTTTAAAGGAGCCGTTGAGTGTAACCTTGGATTATCAATGAGCAATCTGAGAGCAGCAATACCCCAGTAGTATTCTTTATTATGTACCCCATAACCATCCCGTGGGCGGTGGTGTAAAGGATTACAGAGGCACATAATCGGTTCAGGAACTGAACCCTCTAGTTCGTTTAGCTAAGCAAATAACAATCTTTTGACGCTAGTTACACAATTGTTGTAATGGTTTGGCGCTTTCCCCTGATTCAGACCTTATGTTTCAAGCTCAACAAACCACAATGTAGGACTGAGAACAGGAGATGCTTTTTCACCCACAGGGCTATTAACCCATGGAACCGCCTATCCACCGTAGGCATAAATGCCAAAACTCTGTTAATAGTATAAAGTTTAACTGGAAAAGATCATCAATTTTGCACGGGAGACATCTCCCTTCACGCAGGGTGCAGTCGCACCTCCACAAATCCGGTACACTTTCTTCGTTATCTACTCTTAGCATCTTCACCGGAATTTCATCATATTTAAAGTCCTCGCTCTTCTTATTTTTCTTTTTCTTAAAGACAGCTTTCAGTATTATCAGTACTATCAGCTCTTAATACTGGTAATTCTCAAAAGGGCCACCACTTACGGCCTATTCATGCCCGTGCAACCTTTTGGGTGGCTTAATCTTCATTAATCAATCAATCGATCATCAAGACACCTTCGACAAACCACCGGCTTCCTGTCCTCGTCGAGGCCACTAGTGTTAGTGGCTCTCAGGTAAACTAAACTCAGGTAAATTCAGGTGAACAGTAACATGTCAGCATTAGCTGATGGTGAATCGTAAGCAAATTGAGAGGTATTAGGTTGCAATATCCTGGGCCACAGTTGCCGTACATATAAAAAAAAACAAATAATAGCTAAATAATGTATATCGATACTCTTAAAGGCTGACAAGGAAATTAATAAAAAACTGTACATGGATATTAGTATTAAAGATTGGCAGCACATGGGAAGGCGCGCGGGTTAGGGCAGGGTTGCCAGATTGGGCTATAAGTAGCGAATTGGGCTACGTTTGAGAGTCCTTGCTCCCAAATGTTTAATTTCGCTACTTGCGACTTTTTGTGCTAATTTAAAAGAAAGCTGGGCTAATTTGGCCTATTAATGTTAGGAAATTCAATGATGATTATTTATGCTTTTTTAATGTAATGTGTGCAAATCACAGCCGCGTCCAACAGTCTGATTGACTAGACCACTTGCCGCAGGAGGCATGGTCAGAGACCGGCCCCCTGGGGACGTTGATCCTAGGAACCTTCGAAAGAAAAAGTAACCGCAAGGCAAAGTAATCCTCCCCAGGGATCATAGTTTTCCCCAACCTTAATTGTTATTAATACTTCATCCCAAAAGCTACAGCTGGTTCCACAGATCAAGTTCAAGTTCAAGTATGTTTATTGAGACAAGAAAAAATACATCTCAAAGGGATAGAATAGTTTAGGCTATTTCTACCCCCCTCTACCTCAAGTCCCTCAAGGGGCGCACAAATTTAGTGAGTACAAATACACAAATCACAATTCAAGAATCTTTTATGATGATGACAAAGTCGTCCGCGTAGTTTAGCAGCCTGCAGTGATGTAGGAGTTTCAACCTCATTATTCTTTCCATTAAACAGTTGAAGAGAAGGGGGCTGAGAATACCTCCTTGCGGTGTGCCATTTTCATGTCTTTTGTATTCAGAGACCTTGAAGTTGTCATGCCATGAAGTTTTACTCTTGCTTCTCTGTTTGTGAGACATTTTTTGGTCCAGGAGAGCAGGTTGCCTTTGACCTATTTGTCGATGAGGTAGCAGAGAATAGCTGGAGCGCTAGCCAGTTCAAAGGCTTTCTCGAGGTCCAGAAATATCAGCATACCTGGTCTGTCATTCAAGTGGGCTAACAGAGTTGTAATACATTCCACTGTGCCAACCCCTCTTCTATAGGCATACATATCGTGGTGCAGTTTAGGCATTTTCCACTCCAGTCTGTTGAGTGCCATTCTGTCAGCCGTCTTGGCTGCACAGCTTTGGAGAGAGATGGGCCTGGGATTAGCTGGATCTTTGGGTTTTGGGATCGGCACTATATCTTCTCTATTCCAAGCTGTAGGTCTAGTTTGAGAAGTCCTGGCTAAATTAATTAACCTTAGGTATGCAGCGTCTCCCTCTGGGCCGAAGTTTTTAATCATTTTATAGGTTATTTTGTCGTCTCCAGGGGATGTATCCTTGGAGTTTTTCTTAGCCCGATGGAGCTCATCCAGCGTGAAGGGGGCATTAGTGTCAGAGACTTTTTCACATGCTGTAAGGATTCTGTGCCACCTTTCTTCCTCTAATCCTATCTGCACTGCTAATACATCTGGTGGAAGCTGATTGCTGGATGTTCTTTCTGCTGTAGCGAGTAATCCTTATACTCGCTCCATTATCTCATTATCTTAATGGCATAACTTATTACACAAGCTATAATCCTATCCCTATTTACAGGTAACGGTTTTTCCGCCCTCCTATCTTACTGTGAGGTGTAGTCACCGGGCTGCACTTTGAATCGCTTTGACAAAATCTTGTTCTGCCTGATTAATGTCTTCGGGAAGATCATAGTTTCTATGCCACTCTGAAATGAGGTTTTGAAATCGGTCCCAGTTTGCTAAAGCAAAGTTCCAGGCTTCAGATGGAAGCGGAGGTGGGGTGGGTAGGTCTAACTTAAGATCAATTTGGACCCCATAGTGGTCGCTTATGAGTGTGGGCTCAATTGACCATGTTGTTGCATCTCTTAGGGAGGCTGAAACGAAGGTTAGGTCTAATCTACCTCCTTGGATGTGGGTGGGTTCATTCTTGTTTAGGATTTAGATTTCTGGTAGCTGGTCTAGCAGATGTGCAATGTGAATGCCGGCCTCATTTGTTGTCTTCGAGCCCAGTGCCAATCGATGATGGGCATTAAAATCTCCACAAATGATTGTGTTTGTTGTTGTCGCGTGTCCAAATAACAGGAGAGATGCCTTTCAGCATGTGGAGACCTGTACACATTAAACACTTCAAGTTTGTCGTGTCTTAGCTCAATGGATACTCCCATTACCTCTGTACCTGCTCCACAATCGGGTGGGCTGGTTATGGACTTGGAGATCAGGTCACATTTTACATAGATTGCACATCCCCTGGATTGCCCGTTGATCCATGGAAGGAAGAAGCCTCAATAGCCTGAGATTTTAGGTTCTAATCCGGCTCGAAGCAGACTCTCCTGCAGTATCAGGATGTCTATGCCTTTGGTTGCTACTATGCATTGTAAGTGCAAAAATAAGATATTATGTTCCTAACTCTGCTCTCCTCTCACTATATTATGCACTAATTTATCCCTATCTTAATTATGGTATCGTGCATAGGGGGTCTACCACTGCAAACCACCTTAAGCCCATAATCACCCAGCAAAAATCTTCTATCAGAATAATAACAAACTCTGCTTTCAGACATCACTCAGCTCCCTTGTTTAAATCCCTAAACTTGCTAAATATTAACTCCCTCCACACATTCTCTTGTGTCAACTACATTTACAAAACCCTGTTCTTAAATATATATATATATATATATATATATATATATATATATATATATATATATATATATATATATATATATATATATATATATATATATATATATATATATATATATATATATATATATATATCAGAATGCACTCTCCTGGGTGCCCCCATTGGCCCACGAGCAATCGAGGAGGTCCTGGCTGCAAAAATCACTGACCTAAAGAGAATGCAGGACAGGATTGACAAGATTGATGCCCATGATGCTCTCTTTCTCCTTACAAGATGCCTGTCTCTCCCTAAGTTGACCTACTTTCTGAGATGTTCTCCATCCTACAGCAGCCCTAAGTTAAATGTGTATGACACCCTTCTGAGGTCCATGCTGGTGAAAGTCCTGAACCTGCCATTGGACGACTCTCAGTGGGAGCAAGCAACCCTTCCTGTAAGACTCGGCGGCCTTGGTGTCCGCACAGCCTCCCAAATTGCTCTACCAGCCTTCCTTTCCTCCTCTCATGCATCGCACGACCTCGTCAGAGATATTTTACCTGCAACCCTGAGAGATTCAGCAGGAATACACGATCCTGCTTTCACTGAATGTTCAAATCAGTGGAATGTTCTTGCAGCCCCAGAAACCATTATAGAGCCAACAAAACAACACAAACAGTCCGGCTGGGACCACCCTCTAGTGGAAAAAGTAGCTGATGCCATGCTAAGCGTCGCAACATCAGACAAGGAGAAAGCCCGCCTCAGAGCAGTTCGTGCCCCCCATGCAGGAGACTTCCTCCTGGCAGTACCCATGTCTGCAATGGGCACGCGCCTAGATCCAGAATCCCTTCGTGTAGCAGTGGCCCTCCGCCTTGGTGCCCCAATTCACACTGAATACAAGTGTATTTGCAACAGATTCAGATTCAGATTCAGATTCAGATGTTTATTCAGGTAAGGTATATACATACAAGTGATGTTACATTAATGGATTGATATATAGATAGAGCTAGTACATACAATGCCTAAAGCCACTATTACGCAATGCGTTTCGGGCAAGAAAAACATAAATATCTAGAACTTAATACTAATTGAGCATAAAGAATAAAGTTGAGAACAAATACAAATAAAGATAAAAAAAGGGGGAACATGACTGAAAAAGCAGCACAAATACAATAGGTTGACAAACAGTGTTGATTAAAAAAAAAAAAAAAAAAAAAAGAAAATAACAGACATGGGTTGACAATAGAGGAGTGAGGTAGATTACAGGGAATTTATTAGGTAGTGTTTAGTTTTTATCTTAAACTGGTTGAGAGAGGTACAGTCTTTAACATGGTTGGGAAGGTCATTCCACATTCTGGGCCCCTTGATTTGCAGAGCATTTCTAGTTTGATTAAGACGTACTCTAGGAATATCAAAACTGTATTTATTTCTGGTGTGGTGCTCATGGGTTCTGTTACAACCTTCTATGAAGCTTTTAAGATCAGGATTGGCATTATAGTTTAGCGTTTTATATATGTATAATACACATGAGAGAATGTGCAGTGACTTAATATCTAACATATTCAGAGATTTGAGTAGGGTACCGAGTGATGTCTGGGGCCAGAGTTGGATATTGTTCTAATAGCAGCTTTGTGTTGGGTAATTAGAGGACGTAAGTGATTTTGGGTAGTAGAACCCCAAGCACAAATACCATAGTTGAGATAAGGATAGATAAGGGAGTAATAGAGAGTCACCAGGGCAGGGCGTGGTACATAATATCTGATCTTAGAAAGAATGCCCACAGTTTTTGAAACTTTTTTTTATATATTTAGAATGTGTCCCTGGAAATTCAGCTTGTGGTCAATGAGAATGCCAAGGAATTTGCCATCTAATTTGTTACAAATTTGGGTATTGTTTATTTTGAGATTTATATGACTAGAGGATTTATTGCCAAACAGAATATAGAAAGTTTTGTCAATGTTAAGGGTGAGTTTGTTGGCAGTTAGCCAAAGATGGACTTTATTTAGCTCAGTATTTACTGTGGCATTTAGAGCAAGAGGGTCAGGACTGGAGTAAATGAAGGTTGTGTCGTCAGCAAATAGAATTGGTTTGAGGTGTTGGGAGGCATTTGGAAGGTCATTAATGTAGATGAGAAAGAGGAGAGGGCCAAGTATGCTGCCCTGAGGAACACCAATGTTGATGGGTAGGGTGGGAGAAATTGTATTATTCACAGAAACATATTGGAGCCTGTCAGTAAGGTAGGACTCGAGGTATTGTAGGGAGTGTCCTCTGACTCCATAATGACAGGGTGGAAGCAGACCAATACGGACTGCATGGGTTGCATTGCGGAAGCACAAAGGGCTGGCATGCAAGACACAACGAGGTCAATGACATCATCAAGAGAAGCCTCGTCTCAGCTGGGTGCCCAGCGGAGAGAGAACCTCGCATCCTAGGGGTCCAAAACCCGGATTTCCCAGCACTTCGCCCTGATGGCATCACCATATACTCATGGAAGGAGGGTAGACAGTTGGTGTGGGACTACACATGTGTATCCACCCTGGCTGACACCTATGTACACTTCGGAGCTGATCAAGCAGGTGGGGCGGCCAACCACAGGGAAACAGCAAAATCACTCAAGTACAGGCGACTGGAAGGTCAATACCTCTTTGTTCCCATAGCGTCTGAGACGCATGGCCCCTGGGGCAAGAGTGCCTTGGGATTTCTCAAGGAATTGGGGTCCAAGCTCATTGACGTCACCAGAGACCCAAGGGCTTCCAGTTTTTTATTTCAGCGTCTCAGTGTGGCGATCCAGAGGGGAAATGCTTGCTGCGTCCTCGGTTCCTGTCCAGAAGCGGAGGAGCTTCAAGAGATCCATAACCTTTAGGCATTTGTCTTGTATGTTTTGTAACCTTTAAATACACAATAAAGGAAAAAAAAAAGGGAAGGGGGTGGTAGGAGAAAAGCACACAGAAACTGTATTGGAGGGAATACACATTCCCTCCAATGCGTTATGTGTGGTTTCCTCCGAGGCTATGGGTCCCCCTTCTTCCAGCCAGAGGTGGTACTCCCTTCCCTATATATATATATATATATATATATATATATATATATATATATATATATATATATATATATATATATATATATATATATGCAGGATAATATTAATAAAACAATTAAAATCGTGTAGTATACTCTATATATATCAAAATATATTATTTTGAGACCCGTATCAGTCACTAAACAAAAAATTGGGCTACTCTTTTTTAGAAATTCGCTACTTTTAGAGGGTCAGGTCGCTACTTTGAGCAATTTGAATGTGGCAACCGTGGCTGGGGTTAGGGAGGTTGCGCAGGGCGGCCCTCAGTTGGTCAGGCCAGCATTGTGGTGGTTGTTGTTCTCGCGCCATTTCCCGGTTTATGCGGACAATTAAGCGAAACCACCCCAGTGGGACATTATCCTCGGCACCATGTCCATTAATATTGACAAGGATGCCTTCTTTCGTCGCATGAACAAAGTATATTCCACGTGGAAGGTGAGAAGTGATGGTGTATGTTGTTATATTGTGTAGAGGAAACCTAGCTTTCGATGGTGATGTATACTGTAGTGTAATGTTGTCAGATGTGACCATGTTCTTACCATGGTTTCAGCATTCTTGTGTGAAATAAGTTATAGTTGTGTGAGCAGGAGACTGGCCTCGGAGGAGGAGCTGGTGGTGGTGGTGGTGTGGGCGAGGTGTTCACTCTAGGGTCCACCACCACCAGGGTCAATACACCAATATACAAAAAAGCTAATTCATAAAACAAAGTATTTACATCCAGAATAGGTAAGAAAATGTGTTTATATCTGAATGAGGCTCTTATTTAACTCTTGAGGCAGCATTATGCCAAGATCCATGATGTGAGGTTTGTTACTGGATGGGTGACTGCATTGGCAAATCCTCGGCCTTGTCTGGGCGAACCCTGATGAAATAGCCTGGGCTCACAATTTGACACTAGACAAAAAATTGTTTTTTCTAACCAGAAACGTTTGAACCTAAGCCGTCCACGTAACCTATCGAGGTGATGCTCGTGGGAACCTTGATATTATCGTGCTTTAATTTTGAGTAAAACCCTGCTGTTTTGATAGTTTGGCAGCTCTCGTTAAAAATGCGGTGAATTGAACCAGAAGATAGGTTGGATAAAAATTGTAATTTTAAGAAAATGTATAATTATTTGTTCAATAAAGTATGCAACAGACTGTGGGCCAAAGTCACTAAGCAGTTGCACAAGTACTTACGAACGTGTACATCTTTCCTCAATCTTTGATGGCTTTGGTTACATCTATTAAACAGTTTACAAGCATGAAAACTTCCCAATCAACTGTTATTGTTATAAACAGCCTCCTAGTGCTTCGGAGCTCATTAACCGTTTAATAATTGTAAACAAAACTGCCAAAGATTGAGAAAAGATGTAATGTACAGATTTGTAAGTGCTTGCATAATTGCTTCGTGAATCTCGTCCCATGATAGAAAGGGAGATTTTCTTTCTGTATGCCATTATGTCTAGTTTCAAGTACAATAACTTGTTTTAATTTGAGTAATACTGTACAGTACTGGTGAACCTACCCTCGTGCATCCTTCACTTAAATGTGGCAAAGATGAGCACCGGCATGAAATGTCATTTTTAAAAATTCGCCCTTATAAACAATAGTACAGTACAGTATTCAAGCAGGGAAAGTTTGTCAGGCAAAACATTGACAGAAAAAACTGTCTCTGTATTAACATGAAATGGTGAGATGCTAAGCCAAAGGTATTGGTGGATCACACAATCAGCAGTCACAGCAGTCTCCATGGTGTAGTGGTAAGATGCTCGTCTGGTGTTTCGCGAGAACTTTGGCCTGGGTTCATATCCTGGCCGGGGAGGATTTACTGGGTACCAATCTATAACTGTAGCCTCTGTTTACCCAACAGTAAAATGGGTTCCTAGTTGTTAACCCTTAAAATGCGCATGGCGTATACATACGTTTAAGCCCGATGGTACCATAAGTTAAATTTTTCAAACTTGTTCTAACGCTTTAAAAAATTTTGTGCATAATCTACTAGGCAAACACTCCAACTTTGTCTAAATGATCATCAACGTAACCATTGACCATAATAACTATTTCAGCACGTAGCTTCAGGGAGCCACCGGGGTTCATCCAGAAATGGGAGTTTCATTGCATTCATCGCTGATTTTTTCCTTAATTTTAACTCGTTGCAAACAAGTAACATGGAAATTTTTTAAAGAATTGTGCATAGTGGTGAACCAGGGATGAGAGAATTACACACTCCAAGGGCTAGTCATTACTGTTCTTTACACACTCCAAGGGTTAGTCATTACTGTTCTTTATAGTTTGGATAATGACGAATAAGAAAATGTTTCTTCATTTTTGCATGTTTTTTAAGATCAGCATTATCTACCTCCTTCATTACATTCTCAATCTTTTAGTTCAGCACAGTATTGTACTGTATTTAAACACCTTGACACGACACACAATACAAACGTTCTTTCACCTTGGAATTGTTAACATTGATATGGCTTTCAATATCGCTTGTAAAAGTGACAAAACGGTACAGTACAGTATAGTAATTCAAATATTGAACTTAATTAGTTAAGCAATATTATAAGAAAACTGGTATTGTACATTATAATTTTTCTTTGTGTGGTATTGATGTAATAAAGAATGAACTTCAATTTATTACATTTTCATTTATTCCACAGAAATTGGAAAGTAATAAGGAGGATGGTCTTGGCAAAGCTGATGCTCTCGTCTCTGTTGTGGGGGCTGACCAAGAAGTTATTTATTCAAAATCAACTGCCACTCAGACCTGGCTTTTTGGGTATGAGCTGACAGACACCATAATGGTGTGTTGTGAGAAAGCTGTGTACTTCTTGGCAAGTAAGAAAAAGGTAAGCTGTCGTTCATGTATAATATATATACTCTTAAATTTAAAATAGTAATTTTAGGCTTTGTCCATTGTTCATTTGCATTGAAAGCTTTCAACCACTGTAATGTGAGTTTAATATTTCAGGTTCCCCAGTTCACATAAAATAAATTATTCCTCCAAATTTTTTTTTTTCCCAATATTGTGAAAATGTTCTCTGCTCACGAGAGGCTAAACAAAAGTTGTATGTGATGTACTTTGGCTGTGATGGAGCAGGGGAAGTGTGGATGTTGAGTGAGTACTTGCCTGGCAACAGTAGCCCCAGCTACTTTGGCCACACAAGTTGCTGCAGATAAATATGCCCATGCCCTCATCCGATGCCCACTTATTTATTGGCAGTCTGCGTTGCCGTTAGACGAAAGTGTTAATGCACATGATATTACTTGGAATGCCAGATTCAACTTTTATACAAGATGTAATTTTTATATCTAAATTCATCACAATGTGTGTTCTCTTGGCACTATTGCTTATTGAAACCCCTGAATTACTGAGGGTCGGGCAGTGCAATTTAAGTGTTAGGTTAATAAATTAACATTATTGAAGCCCTTAATTGATCAAGCAAACATACTCCAACAAGGTAAGCTGAAATCTAAATTATTTGAGTACTGTTCTGTAAGTACTGTATATAAAGATCCTCCCCTATGTAAATTGTTAATTGTGGTACAAAAAAGCTGCGAATATTAATTTTTTAACCTTCCTGGCAAGAATTCCTGCTAATTTGAATGTCTGGCTTACTCAGAGAGGGGGTTGGCTGTGAAAGGGTAAGATCGAATTAGTAGGAGTAGACAGTTTATATAGAGGTCTGGGTTTTTAAGAGTGCCATGTATATCAATTGTCAGTTACACAATTTATGACTAAAGACCATCTTAACATACCTAATTATGTTAGACAAATTGTAGTAGTAGGTACAGTAATAGGTGTGAATATAGGAGTTTGAGAAAGGTATATTTGTAGCTTTTTTTGAGCTACTGTTAGGGATGGTATTTGCTTGAGTCACTAACAACTAGCTGCACTTAATGGATTGAAATTACTGCTCTGAAGGCCAAACGTCTGGTCCACATTAGATTTTGTAAACTTCTGTTTCTAGGTACCTGAAATAATTAGGATTTTCTTTTGACTATGTCAGAGAAAGGTTTAATGCCCCAAATAACACATTCTTTCATTTTACGACCAAACATTCACAATGTGCCAGTCCTTCAGTATTGTTTACTGTCATTTAGTTTCTTTAATTTTACTTGATACATACAGTACTTTAAAAAGGAACATTTGTTTACTTTGAATTTTTTATTGCAGATACAAATTCTGGAAGGCTTGGAGAAGAATAAAGATGAGAACAGTAATGTACCACCAGTAAAGTTGCTGGTTAGGGACAAGGTGGGTAACCAAAAATTGCAATTTGCTGATGAGGATAATTGATAATCAAGACATTAAAAAAAATGAAATATTGTAACTACAATATAAGTGGACAGAATGAGGAGCCTTTTATGTTAAGACAACCTCCTTATCTCTGGATTGACTAGGGCATGATTATGGCAGAAACTCACAAGACACAGGAAATGCTGGCATACAGCTGAAGTAGCTTTGTAAACTCAAGGTAGTTTCAAAGCAAAATAAAATGTGTATTGTGAAAATGAGCATAAAATTAAATGGTTTTGTAGAAACTGCATTGATATTAGGGCAAAATTTAAGAAGCACACAAAGCATGCATAAAAACCGGCAAATCGCCAAGAGAAGGTTAAGCTACATGTCTCCTTCATGATTTGTGTGTAAGATATGGAGGGATTACTTATAACCTTTCCACCTATTATTCTCATGATCTGTGTTAAAGTAGAGACTGACATGAAAAGAAATATAAATGCCTATCAGGTATCATTGTTATTGAGTTGAAGTATGGGGTAGTAACCAACTATTAATTACTAATCTGCATTTGGCTAAAATGCAATATTTATTGACATTTCAGAATGAAGAGGTAGAGAAGTGTTCAAATAAATACAAGTCATAGAAGAATTAGTTATTAATGTACAGTTATCAACACAGTTTTCTTAAATAAAAGCTTCAGTTGAACTAAATCAAATTTGTGTGTGCGCGTGTGCACTTTTAGGTAAACATAACTGATGTGATGCTATAACTAATGAAATCGTAATCTATGTTTTGTAAATATATATCTTTTGTTTGCTAAAACTTTTGTATTTCTTTCCAGAATGATAAAGATAAGGCTAATATAACCAAATTAATTGATGCCATCAAGGGTAGCAAAGGTGGTTCAAAGATTGGTATATATGGTAAAGATAAATTCTCATCAGATCTCATTGATGCATGGAGAAAAGCAGTGAAGGAAGCCAACTTTGAGCAGGTAGGTCTTATCTGCTACTTTTACTACACTATTAATAGGATCCACACTGGTATTGTGGTCGGGCTCAGGGAGTAGAACAACTAAAAAAAAACATAAACCAAAAACTGGGAATGCTCCAGGTATGTATACAAAATTTCCTTGACTAATACAACCATTATTATTCATACTTCAGTCTACCTTTTGATAATGGGGGCTCATTCCATTCTTTTGAATTCAGATCTGATAAAAGATCTGATATTGATACAGATACAATTATTTTGTGCTCATGCAAGATGGCAATTGTGATGAGTGAAACTTTGAGGGTAAATTGGACAATTCAAGATGTTCAGACTGTACAGAGGAGGAATGTACTGTATTATGCACATGATTGTAGCCAATTGGGAGAATCAACACTGCTAAATAAATAGAAATAATACTGTACTTTAGACAATGGTTATTATGATGTAAAGGAAGAAATTACATTTTAAAACTTTGCAACAAATTGTGTGATGTGTGTTAACCAAAATATTTATCGGACAGATCATTGGTTAGTTTTTCTGTACATTTTTAAGGTTGGCAGTTATATTGCTGATAAAATGTTTACTTCATTTATAGCTGGACATGAGCTCTCACATGGCAATTGTGATGTCGGCTAAAGAGGAATCTGAAATTGCCACCATAAAGAAAGCTTGCACTGCAACAGTGGATGTTTTCTCAAAATATCTAAAAGAACAGATCATGGATATTATTGACAGAGATAAGAAGGTGAGTTTACCTGTTCATCTTGTTTGCTATACTGTACTTCATATCATATTTCTCAAGAAAACGATTATCATAACATTCGGCTAAAAAAAGACATGCTCTGTATTGTGTTGAGTTTCGAGGAGCTTGAGTTTTTTTTTTTAACTTTTAAGAATAATTGTAGACAATAATTTTCTAAATTTAAATTAATTTGGAAAAATTAATAGATTTGTATGTATTTAGTGTACAGTAGAATGGCAATACAGATACAGTATTTACCCCTCTTAAGGAAGATTTCATTCGCTGTAGCAATTGTCAGTTTTTATCTCCATTACTGCGATGCTGGTAGTTTCTCTGCCATCCTTTCTTGTAGCTCTACTACTATTTTGTTTTCCATATGCATTTGTATACCTAACTTTAATGCCATCTCTATTGTGATGTTTGTGCTTACTGAAATGAATAGCTAAATTGACTGGGTTTGTGATGATTTTTTTATTTTTAGGTAAAGCATGCCAAACTTGCAGAAGGAGTGGAACAGGCCATGACAGACAAGAAATATGTAGGTAATTTTGACACGCAGCAGATAGAGCCATGTTATCCTCCAATTATCCAATCAGGAGGCAACTATGCTCTGAAGTTCAGTGTGTCCAGGTATGTTGTTTTACTACCCTTTAGTGTTACATAATACATTTTTGTACTCTTAAATATGACTTGGTGACAGTGTTTTGTATATAAAGGTTGAATTAAGAAAAAAAATGTTGAAATTTCAAGACCAAGTAACTTTACCAATTGATTAGTTCTCTGCCACATAGTTTAGGACAATAAGCTACATATGTACATAAACAAGGATGCAGTATAAAATGACAAAAGAGGAATGAACAAATGAGATCAGAGAGCACAGCAAAATAATAAGGGGGAAGTACAGTTACAAACAAAAATGTAAAAAATGTCAAATATAGATAAAGGGAGCCGGTCGGCCGAGCGGACAGCACGCTGGACTTGTGATCCTGTGGCCCTGGGTTCGATCCCAGGCGCTGGCGAAAAACAATGGGCAGAGTTTCTTTCACCCTATGCCCCTGTTACCTAGCAGTAAAATAGGTACCTGGGTGTTACCTGGTACCTGTCAGCTGTCACGGGCTGCTTCCTGGGGGTGGAGGCCTGGTCGAGGACCGGGCTGCGGGGACACTAAAAATGCCCCGAAATCATCTCAAGATAACCTCAAGATAGATATCGGAAGTACAGTTACAATACAACTGAAACAAAGAGGAAGTAATCATGATTACAGTATGAGGATTTATCACACTTGAGTGATATAGGTAGTAATGAAAATAACCTCCAATCACAGCTTTTAACAGCAGATATGATAGTGCATTAGAAAAGTGGGAGACATAATTACACCAGGGCACCCGAGAGTCCAGGAACTAGGCACACACCCTGTAAACATTACATGGTTAAACAAGCTCCTTACCAATTTAAGTACTAGTATATTACACACTATGCAGCAGACAGAGTTAAATACTACAAAAATCTATAGCTTTGTAGTAAAATTGGTTCACTTGCACATGTGTTAGCCCCTTTTCCCTACCTTTTACCTAATGCATTCTATTTTATTACTTTACAGTGACAAAAACCCCATGCATTTTGGTGCTATTGTTTGCTGTATGGGGGTACGTTACAAGAACTATTGTTCCAATATCTGTCGCACTTTTATGGTAAATCCGCCTGAGAAGATGCAGAAAGACTATGAACTTCTTTTAGAGCTTTTTGATAAGCTGATCAACACATTGAAGGTGGGCTATATCCAGGTTTATTTTTGTACTGTGTACATATTTGTCCATGGTGTTATCTATATGCTCAAGTGTTTGTGTTTATTTTGTAATTTTATTATACATTTCAATGCATGAAGAGGTTACCACATATGCACCATGCTATGGTTATGTGGTTATGCACCACATGTAGTAATTAATTTTTTTGTCTGATTATTATTTTAGTTCTGTAATCTTTGTCTGTTGTAAAGTGTTCCCCTATATTTTGTTAGTGCATTATATGCAGTTGTTTTTTTAATAAAGAACTTACATTAGGGTTGTGTGTGGGGAAAAAATATATAAACATTTAAAATCAGAATAGGTGAGATATACGACAATAAATATACTGTATATTGACTGATGAAGAGTGCTCCTGTTATTTAAACCTCTTCCCTTCTATGCTGCAGGCTGGAGTCAAACTTTGTGATGTTTATGAGGAAGTCTATAAACACCTCAAGAGCAAAAATTCTAGTCTGACAGATAAGCTCACAAAGGCAGTTGGGTAAGTATAGTTAAATATTTTTTACAATTAGCATTAAAGTTGGTGGAATAGTTTGGAAACCAGGATTAGTGCAAAGAACCGTGAATGTCGTTTATTTTGGAACATAGTCCCCATGATAAATGCCAAATAATGACTTTAAAACAGTGCGAGGCTTACAAAATTATGAAGTTTTTAATTTACTATAATGTACATTTAAACTATTGGGGGAGAAGACACTGCATTCTAATAACATGCTAACCTTACATGCGACTTCAAGTTTTGTGTTCCAATGACACTATCCCATCCGAAATTAAAAAAATACTGTTTTTGCACTATAAAACTTGCAAGACAACTGTTCCATTGTACCATATAGTTGATGAAAGATTAAAAGAGCTTGACCTAACCACACAGAAGTATCTCGGGTGATGTGATCACAATTTGTAAGATTATGAGAGAAATAGATAGTGTATCTGCTGAAAAAAGGAAAAAAAAGAGATGATGTTTACCATTCATGAAAAAGAGGTACTGTAATTGGTTTGAAACTTCAGGTTGGCAGCCTGTGTAACAGCCTTAGAACATTTTGAAGTTTGAATGCACTGGGTATAATAGCTGGAGGGTAAAGATTTATAGTTAGGTCTTGATCCCAATAGATGTACTGTAGTTATTTAAGCCGAATAGATTATTTGCACATATCTTGTCAGTCACTTGGCACTGTTGGATATGGCCAGTAACTGACTAGATAACTATAATGATAACCTTGCCCTTGGCAAGGAATACCTATAGCAAGCCATATACACAGGCTTCATGTCTTTGACAGGGTGCCTATATTCCATATAGTTCAATTTATATTCGCAAAAAAATAATGGCACCAAATAAAAAATTTGGGCTAGTTTTCTTACATTGAATATCAAGGTGATATTTAGGTGATACAAGGTGATGAGTAATATTTAGCCATTGTGCTGCTTCTACTGTGTGAAAGTGCATTTTTTTCTGGGGAAAGCCCCTTTGGCTCCCCCGGAGCTATCCAGGCTGCTATGTATATCATTAGACTTTAACATCAGTCAGTGTCCGATGCATTAGACACTGTTGCGACATATATGTGTTATGGTCAAAGAGATAAAACCTTCTATTACTATCATAATGGCCTTCCAGTGATACTGAAGCTCTGTTTTACTCAGCACTGATAGATTAAACCAGGATGACGTATTGCAGTTTATAAAGCACCTCTTGGTAAGTGTTTAAAAGATGCTAATATATAAGCATTATAATATAAAGCCAATATATATATATATAATATAATGCTGATATATAAGCATATATAAACATTTAACTGGCTTGGATGACTAATGGATATTTTTTTTCTGGGAAGTCTATATAATAATTTCTGTATTTGATTATAAATTCCTATTTCTCTTCCCAGTCTGTAAGTAGACTTAATGACATTATTATTTATAATAATTATATCCTTGAAATCAGATCAGATTTAAAAAATTATTGCAGCCTAACTATTAGTGTTGATAAAGATGACACAATTCTTTAATTTGTCTTTTACATCTTGGTTACAGGTACAACAAATGCAGTATTTTAATATTTTATAAATCATATTGTTACTCCACTTTAGTCTTGAACAAATCGTATAATATTCTGCGTATAGATAGGAAGATGTGAGAAAGTTTTAGCTCTTGCTACTATGCTTTTTAATGTTCATATAAATTTTGTAATGTATTCTCATAATTAATGGATTTGTGAGCAGAAAAAAGTAAGACATAACCGTAACGATGCTGTCTGAACCATCTGTAATGTTCTCGTTTTATTCTTTACATTACTCTGATCATGGTGACATTTGACGTGAGAAACTAGTCTGGGCCACTTAAATGAATTCAAGGTATGTCTTTAGTGTAAAGAAGGTGGTTGTAACTGTTGTAAATGTGCAACACAAACTAGCGATTACCAGTTCCATCTTTGTATTCAGTAATGTCTCCTCTGTTCCGTAGAGTGACTCGAAGCGTGGCTCCAAGCACTCCTCTATGATTAGCCCCCTCTCAGGTACACACTCCCTCAATCTGTTGTTCATATCACTTTTTGTTTCTTTATTCTTCACTACATCATTCTGCAACACTCGTTTAATCGTTCTATCCACATCTATCCTTTCAATGCATAAGCCATCTGAAACTTGAATAGCACTACCTGATATGTAGTCATACAAGAAATTCCTTATACTGTATTTTATCTTTATTACCTTGATGTAAATGTAATCTTTTTAAATTTAATATTAATGTTTTATTCTACTTTTCAGATTTGGCATGGGTATCGAGTTTCGTGAGTCTGCTCTTCTCATTGGTCCCAAAACAAATACTATTGCAAAGAAAGGGCAAGTGTTTAATGCAAATCTTGGGTTTTCCGATCTCACAAATGATAGTGCCAGTGATTCTGGTAGCAAGAAGTATGCTCTGTTTATTGGGGACACAGTCGTTGTCAATGAGGTGAGTGATAGTGAAAAGTTTCTTTTTCTTGGGTAATTAAAAAATTGTCCAATAAATTAATTACTGCATTTTATAATTAGAGATCAAATATTTATTTTATTATATTGCATATTTGTGGCCGATATTGTAAGAGTAATGAACATATTCATAAAGAGAGATCCTATCCATTTGCCTTATCTTCCACACTACCCACTACATAATTGCAACAACCAGTACAACACACTTTAACAATTCATCCATAACAGTACCCAGCTGCTTAATAATTTTGCATTCCCGGCGTGTGCACCCCAGCCTACCCCAAGGTGGTCCGAGCATTTTGCGTGAGTGGGCAGCCACACTAAAATGTGTATACTCTCTTTAGTTTTCTCACCGCAATTCTCTTGCTATGTCATTCATTTTGGTATCAAATTGCTCCCAATAGAATTCTCTACAGGGGTATATGCATTTAAGGTCAAAAGGCCTGGCGTGCCACCCGCAACAAACCTGAAAATCGCCCGAGCGTTAACCCATGAACGAGCACCCAGCCGCACACCACCACTAAAACGTGTATACTCTGTTCAGTTTCCTCACCTCAATTTTCATGCTTTGTCGTTCATTCTGGTGTGAAATTGTTCACAACCTAAAGGCACGCATTTTAAAACTAGTCACATAATAATCGAACAATTAATGGAATTTTAACAAATATTTTAATTTCGGACATAACATTCATCCTTGCCTGACATCTGTAAGATTATTAATGGATGCAAACTGCTTTGCCGCCAGACGAAAGTGTTCATGCAACCAGATGTGAAGTTCATCTGTTCATTTGTCATTTATTGTACTGTATTTCATAACATTCATTCAGTTTGCCATATTGTTGGCTGCTTCAAACACTCGTTTTGTTTTATCCATCTTGTCCTTTGCCTTCCTCAAATTCACTGCAAGGTTTTAATAAGGGCTTCTCATGTTTAATAAATTTACTTTCATTCTTTTCCAACATTCTTCAAGCCATTGAGCTACATAGTCTCCCTGGTTTAATGCCTTCTTTTGATAATTAGTTAATTAATTAATTACTTTGAGCCATTTATAGTGGAAGGGAGTGAGATGTGCACCTTGACTTTAGCAAAACCTTTGATACTGGGTCTGTTTTGGAGCTCTGTTATCATATATATATAAATGATTTAGACAGAATTGATTAGCAGCATTTCCAAATGATACTGAATAACGCGAATAGGATTCTGGAATTCATATCTAGAAGCGTTGGCGATTAGACATCTAATGTTATTTTTCATCTTTTTCTTGCTTAGAAAATGCCCTTACAGGTGAAATAACATCTACTATTAATGTTTATATCTTTGTGATGATTCTACATTGCTAAACATGATGCTTAAGGAAAAAGGTCTGAATAGATTGTAATGTATGCCTTTTTTCTCTCCCCCTTCAGGATCAACCAGCCACAGTTTTGACAGCATCCAGCAAGAAGAAGCTGAAGAATGTTGGGGTTTTCCTTAAGGTAGGGAAGTTAATTCAGCAGGAGTAAAGAATATGCTGCTTGTAAGAGTTACTAGACAAAAAAAAAAAATCATCATTAGAAACCACATTGGGTGGCTTTTGGTGTTGGTTATACATTTGTGAAAATTTTGTTTTGTGTGTATTAGTTGGATTTAGTAATATACTGAAAGATGGTAATTTGAGACTTGTGCTAACTACTAAAGAGTATAAAAGTAGTTAATTATTGTAAGTTAAATTATAAACTGTTTTGCAGTCAGAATGAATATATTTTTTTAATATTACATACATCATCTCAGAAATATTGTTTGAAATCATATCACTGTTGATATGGTTTTCGTATGTAAAAATTAAGATTAGCCATAAGGTCAGTCTGTCCCAATCCCGTCTTTAACATTGGTACAAGTTTCTTACATTTCGTAGTGATCATTTACCCTATTCTCATATTCTATAAACAGTTATGTCGTGCTTTTTGCATTTTTAACATAAATTAAGATAATACAAAATTGTAATTGTGATAATTTTGAATGTTCAGGATGATGATGATGATGATGGTGATGGAGATGAAGAAGACACAAAAGAAGATACGTCGGGAATCTTGGGTAGAGGAAAGCGAACTGCCATCTTGGATTCAAAGCTTCGGGTGAGTTAATAAGTCTTGTGTGCTAGTGGAATTTTATTTTATTTTCATGCATTTTCTATATTGTTCATTAACAATAAGCATCCTTATCATGGTTTATTTTGTGGGGTTTGCTTTTCTTCAATGTTTCTGAATGATTATTCGTTTTCAGGATGACTTCAAGCTTTAATCACTTGCTTTTTATTATAATGATGGAACTCTGTTAAATTGGTCATTGTATACCATTGAGTTCCTTTGTCCACACTTTCATGACAAGAAATTGGCAGATCCTTTATAAACTTGATAGCTGTCGCCCTTAGAGCCAGACCATGTGCTGACTATTTTGTTAAAGCTGTAGCCTCAAAGATACAGGTCTATAATTGAGGGGGGGGGGGTCTTCCCTGCTGCCACTTTTGTAGATTGGAACGATGTTAGCCTTTTTTCCACACATCAGTTACAACTCCTATACGCAGGGATGCCTAAAAAATCAATTTAGAACGAAAAAAATGTTTTTATTTGAAATGAAAAATCGTTTTATTTTATTTATTTATTAAAATTTAGTGTGGATGCAAGTGTGCCATTTTGTTGTAAATATCAATAAGCATCTTATTATATTCCTCGCATTTTTCTCTGGACTGATGGCTTTCCATCTCATGAAAGTGGGAAATGTAGTGGTGGTGGTGGTTGATCAACTGCTATTATAATTTGCTGAGCGACAGTTCATTTTTTCTACCAGGTAACCAAGACTTATTGGATTGGCTTTTTAAATGTTGGCAAAGTATGTTTTATGAAGTCAGGACAAAGGTCAATATTAGGGTCTGAAAGGAAATGCTAATTTGTATGGACACTTTAGATGGCCATAGATTATATCTGTTTCATATGCTCTTGTTTTATTCAGGCGATGGAGTTGTATGGACGAGAGAATTTCACAAAAGAAAACTTTTTTGATAGCTTATTTGATTTGAGCAGGCTATATTTTTCATTAACATAGTAATTTGATGACCCAATAAGACAATACTAATAGGTACATTATTTTGTGATAATGCAGGGATCCTGGGAGTTGCTATTTTTTATGTTTATTGTCTGCGTGTATTTGGGTGTGTGCATGTGTGTTTGTGTATGCATGTCTTTCTAGTAATATTGTATCACAGATTGTGTCTCAATATGGTGGAACACCTTGTCACATTTTTTTTAATTATATAATATATATATGTATATTATATGTATATATATATATATATGTATATATATTATATGTATATATATATGTATATATATTATATGTATATATATATATATATATATATGTATATATATATATATTATATGTATGTATGTATACTGGCAGCAGGTTTTCTTTTAAACATATCTCAATGAATATGACTGCATATTCTGTATTTATTATCTTCTGATTTAGGGCTTCTATCCCTCTATTTTCTTAGCATCAGAGCTTGGCTGAAAGAGGAGTTCTCCAAAACTCATTTTCGTAATTTCAAGGTGAAGAAAAAAGTGAATTACTATAGAATGTATTACACTTATTTATACAATTTGCACAACGTTTCGAACCTCCATGGTTCATTCTCAAGTGAAAAGAATTTTCAGAACTGGTTGATTTATACCCGCACAGGGTCAGGTGATAAGACAATAAAGGTAAAAACATGGGGGATACATGAGGGATAAATGGGGGATGAAGCACATAAGAATAAAGGTAACTGCGGAAGGCCTATTTGCCCATACGAGGCAGCTCCTATCTACATACAAAGATTAATCAGGTGTAATTGGCCTGTTGTGTTGGACAGTGTCTTCTGTGTTGGCATCGTTATGTTCTGGTCTTGTCCTTACTCTCATGGTGGGTAGAGTAAATAGTTCCGTGATTTGAGTGTTCATGGTAGGTTGTTCTAATCTTATGTGAATTGCTTCAAGAATTTGTAATCTTCTTGCATCTTGGGTTTTGTCTATTATACAGGTATTTATCACCTGACCCAGTGCGGGTATAAATCAACCATATACAAAAATACCAAAATAAATATATAATTGCTATTATTTAGCGATGACAATATTACAGATGACCCCTGACTGATATAAATCAGTCAGGGCTATTATCACAACCCTGTGTGATCAGCTCAGCTCAGTAGAATAATAGCAGGATTGTTGTAATAATTAGCGCTGTGGGAGAAGTGATGCTGAGGGATGGAGGGAGATTGCATCGTTGCCTTGTCTGGATGTGTAGAGGGTGGCCACTATGCTTTTTGGGAACTCTACAAGCTTAGGTGGTGCATACAACATGTAGATACTTGTATATAATGTGTATATAGTGTAATAACACTGCAAACAGTATTGTTGGGGGAAAAAGTTTAGTGCGTGTGACCTTGAATGAGTGAGGGAGCCGCCAGCTGACTGTGTGTATGGTGACGACTCTTCGTGCCTGAACTAACTATATCAGCTTGTACAGTTGTGGTGAACAAAACATGTAGATTCTTATATATAACGTCTGTATATTGTGAATAAAATATAAAACAGGATGGTGGGAGGAAAAAGTGGGCGAGAGAGGTGTTGTTGAGGGAGTGGCAACGAGTGGCGGGCTGGTGTGTGGCGGTCACTCCTCATTGCTTTTTGACTCTGAATACCAACTTAGTGGTTTGTTATGGTGAACAAAACATGCAGATACTTATATATAATGTGTGTATAGAGTGTAATAGCAGCAAAACTATTTGTTTATTGTTTTATGAACATAATAATTGAATCACTAATGTGCACACCATACTTTTGAGTATAGCGATTATTCACCACTTTTATTATATAAATATATTACAATACACACTATTGAATAATAATACTGCAAAAAACTAAGAAAAAATCAGAGACATTGAAATAATTAAGTGATACCTTTGTGGCAACTCCCACCTGTCAGTGCGGGTGACGCTGACCGGCGCTGATGACCTCTCTGTCAACGCCCACTTTTTGCCAGACTTCCTCGGTCAATTGCACCCAAAATATGTCGCCTTCAATTTTTATTTTTACTTTTCCCGTCCTCAGGGAACACTAACATTTTTAGAAGACGAAATAATTTTTTAGAACTTTTTTTTTCTTGCGCATAGGGGTGTAAATGTCCTCAGGACCCCTGAGCAGTGGAAGGGTTAAATGAGCGTGCGGACGCTGCCGCCAGGGAAGCTGTCCGCTCTTGTCCCATTTGCCGTAAAGGTATTCCTTATTCCGACTTTTACCCAGTTATTCATTGCTCCATCCTTACCTGTTGGCAGGATTGTTGGTCTTCTGTTACTGGTAACAAACTGTGTTCTCTTAAGAGTTACGTGTCCTCCTGGCCTAACTCCTACTACTGTAACCGGCGGTGGGAAACGGCTCTGGCAAGGTTGCGTATTGGCCATGCGCGTTTAACTCACGGTCACTTAATATAGTGCCGCCCCTGCTCCTTATTGTCCAAATTGCATTGTCCTTCTTACGGTCCTGCATATCCTTGTTGAATGTCCCGACTTCCAGGACGAGCGTGTGTCTTGCTTTTTGACCATCCCTAGCGGTCGCTTGTCCCTCGATAGAATTCTTGGTGAATCAGATCGGATACTTTTGATATCGTTCACCTTATGCGTTTCTGTTCCTATATTGGCACCCTTGGTGATATTTAGGGCCCTCTGATTATTCCGCACATTTTATGGTGCTAACCCTTCTGGCTTGGTGCCTTTTTTGATAATTACTTACTTTCTCGGTTGGTGCATTTTCCCACCAACGACGTTTTCTTGGTTGGCGCAGCACAAGTGGTTAAAGTTGTTTTTAATGAAGCTTTTGAAAGTAGATTGGAGAAATGCATGATTTTCATGGCACAATAAATTTGAAGGATTTTGAACAGTTTAGAAACACGTTAGCAGGGATTGAATTGGACGAATGGAAAGTATTTTGTGACAAGGTGTCATGTTGTTCTTTCAAAAAGAGAAATGAACAAGTATGTCCAGTATGTGTCCTTCCAATTAATAAACCATGTAGGTTTGTAAATAATATCGCTCCTCAAAGTGCATCCCCCTGAATGCTTCAGCTTTTGAGATTGAATCTAATGCTTAATATCTCCCTTTCTTACATGTTGGTGTAGCATCAAACAGTGAGTACAGATTGTCTTTTTGCATGAGCTAGCCTAGATATTAAACCACTCGCTGATATTTTCTTCTCTTTCTGACCAGATTGTAACATTACAAAAATACTTCCAGAATGTTGAACAGATTCAGAGTCGTGATATCCATGAGCACTATAATTAAGCAAGTTGAAACTGAGGCATGAATACTCACAGAACACGTGCAGATTACAGATTGGATGACAGATGAGACCGAGAGGAAAGGAATGGAAAATGGTATTAAAGCCAATGTGATAACATAAGAAGCTTAGTCTTGTCAAAAAGCATTCCTAATGTACATTTTTAAGAGTTGCAATTATTGCACTGATGACGACTTGAAATTTGGATGTATAATTAGCGCATAATGAAGTTGCAGTGATGGCCACCATTTTCAGTTTACCCCCTTCTAAACACTAGATATTCCCTGGCTATCACAAACATGGTTCCACTCCACACACCCAGCTCTTTTCAATCTTTGTAAATTTACAATCATGCTAAAAAGACAAGAAAAGAAATAAGAGCTACCAAATGATTCGGCTAAGAGTAGCCGACTTGGTGCTGATATGTGAATAATTTAATGATATCCAACTGGACAACATATGTTGATACAGGTGGGAAATTTTTAGGAGATTGACTCTAATGAAAGATATGACAAGCTCATTCTAAGCTTGCCGCAATGAAAATTGTCGGCTCTCCAAAAATCTTGGGCATGATGGCAATGTTAGTCACAAATTGACGAATATCACAAGCTCCTGGGTTAAGAGTGCTCCAGATTTAATGTGGTCTAGATTATAAGTATTCAATTATAATTGAAAGTTTCCTCTTCTATTCTAACTTAGTAAACCAGAGGACGCGAATAGAAAATGGGACAGTACGTCATTTTTCTGAGCCGATTTCATTTCAAATTATGTCCATTTTTGGCCATAGCGCGCATACGAGCGAAAAGCGACGTTATTTTTAAGAGGATGGGTTGGAGTGAAAGCCTGAGTGTTTGCCTTAGACAAGACATATCTCCTCAGTTATATGCTTGCCTATTAGTGTCTGTGGAAAGTGATGTAGCTAGTCCTGCCTCATGGATATTGTACCTGATGCATTTCTAAATATCAGTGTTTCACTACTTGCTCAAGAGCATTCCACTCATTTACCACTTTTTACTGCAGATGAATATTTACTTACATTTTTCTGGTTGCTGTCCTCATTATTGTAGAGAAGAGAAAGAAACACAATAGGTATGATTACTGTACTTTTCTTTCAGTAAAAGATACTGAAGGAAATAATCAAGGTGGACAAGAACAGCCTCTCTGAATCAAAGAGAAAATAAATCTCAAGCACGTACGTGAAAAATCGAAAGAAATTTAAAAAAAAATACGGTGGAAAGTGGAAGCAAACGAGTCAAAGAAATATTATGAAATGTGCTTGCACTGTCTGGACCATCATTACGTGACATGTTTTAAGGGTGGACATGTTCTGGTGGAGGCCACCTCCATCCAAAACTTGATTGGCAGTTAAGTTGACTTGAGTGATGGAAGCTAAAATTAAAAGAACGAGATGCAACGAGGCGAGGTGAGCCTGAAAGTGCACAAGTCAAGACCAGAGATTTGCCACTTGTACCAGAAATATGAGATCTGTGCTTTGAGGACAACAACAACAAAAAAAGTTTAACCAGCAATCACTAGAAAACAATCATGGAGAACATGGTCACAGTGTACAGGGACATGGTGAAGGACAGTCTGTTTTAACTTTAAGAGGAAATAAAATGAATGGGCAGAAGTGGAACCTGGAGATACAGTGGACCAAAGGGATGCAAGAAATTTTTTTTTACTTGCAAATAGTTAATGTGTAGATTGGGGTGGAAGCAGAGGTGATGGTGATGGCCAACTTAATCCACAGCTTTGAAAGAGGTTTACGTATTGATGGATATAGAGCATTAAGTAAAAAGAATTCTAATAACTATAGATGAGTGAGACAGACCAGAGGTGATGTAATGAGTAAACAAAATTCCAATAGGGACAATCTTTGCTAAATGAAGGATAATAGGACAAATTAGTCAAAGATGTAAGAAAATGCTTGTATGCAGTGTGAGTGGTAAGCAAGTGGAAGGCCTTGGGAAAAGATGTGGCTGCCACATCTATCCATAGTTTCGAGAAAAAGTTTGATAAGATAACTAAAATATGAGTAGACATGTTTAATTGTTAAAGAGAATAAATTTTCCAAAGTTCAACATTCACTGCTGACTAAACAGGTGCTGGTGTTGTCTTGCTGATTTATTGCCAGCTTCTTTACACTTTATATTTTAAGTTGGTATATATATTCTAAGTTTATAATGGAAACTGTGTTTAACATTAATAAGTATCATGTAATGACACAATTCAAGATAAATTTGTGTTGGTTATTTAATAGTTTTACAGTTTTAATATAAATTGTTAAAGTTAGCAGTTCAGCACTGCAGTTATTATGTTTCTTACATTTGAATAACCACTTACTTATTTTGTGATAAAGGTTTCCTCCAATCCCTGGATACCAGTCGTGGAGCAGTATTATAGCCCAAGAACACTTCTACATAGTTATTATGATATTGTTGATTGCATCTGCAAGACTCGGTTGTGATGCGGAGCTGGACTACTAGATATAAGCAGGGAAAGCAATTTAGCAGGGAAAACTTGTCACACTTTTAATCATGAGATATTACTGTACTGTATTTCCAAGATGGGGTTAAATGATAAATCTCATTTGTTGTGTGTAAAATTCCAAATGGTTTAGCTTGCTGATCAGTTGATGTTCTGAATAGTAAAGTTTATTTAATTTGACATTGCTCTTGCTTCATAATGAGGTAAAGATGTGTTATTGAAAACTTGAGTTATAGTATCGATGCTGGTATGGTGCCCAAAGAACATAGTGGCCACCCTCTACTCAGCTAGACAAGCTATGCAGACGACGCCACCTCCGTCACTCAAATGGCTCCTCCCAACATAATCCTTTTGCTGTTATTACACTAATACACATGTTATATACAAGTATCTACATTTGTGTTCACCATAGAGAACCACTGAGCTGGCATTGAGTATAAACAACAGGTGGCCACACCAGCCAGCAGACGACGCCATCTCCCTCTCTCCTTCCCTCAGCATTACTCCTCCCACCATACAGCACAGTGCTAATTATCACAACAATCCTACTATTATCAAAATCCTGGTAATTTTTATCAGTCGGGGGTCTTCTGTAATACTATCATTGCTAAATAATACCAGTTACATAAATATTTAGACATTTTTAGGCGATGCTGTGGTCACAAGCTGAACAACAATGCTGTTAGCTCATGCTGCGTACACCAACCCTGGTTGCTCAGTCAGTACCGAGGCTCTCGCATCCGGAATGTCACCCACGATTTAAAAATATGGCGTATGTTTACGAGAGCGCTGAGAAAGCTGATGTGAACCCCCGTGTAGCCGCGAAACGTTTAGATCTTGCACGGTACACCCACACATCATATGTGGTGAGCAATTCATATAATGTGTTGCGCAGTTTAAGGGTTAATTGTTGTTTTCATAAATAATCGTATTGATTAAAATTATGGCACAAATATGCCCTTGAAACAAAAATAAAATGTTCCATGATATTTTTTAATATGTAATACTCTTAAACAACTTGTTTAAAAAAAAATGTGGTTGAAGAGAAGTGGTGGAAGTTACACCTTGTGTGTCATGGGAAAACTCATACCAAGTCCATTCCATCCAGCAGTCGACCTCAAAGACTCGTTCATAAATTTTGACCTGTTCATTCAAACCAGGAATTTTCACATGTATATTAACATTGTTATATATTAGCATTCTGTGCATATTTAGGCATTGGTTAGGTTAGGTGTTTAGGTTCAGTTGGCGATTAGTTGTATTTGTAGTATGTGGGTGAAGCATTTACAACATTGTGGTTCAAACAAAAGTCGCCAGCGGAGCATTTGTTCAAGAAGTGTTTAAACATCATCAGTTGTGAGTCATTGATTATGACCTTGAACTATCTAATGCAATTATTAGAAACATACAAATTAAAGAAATTAATTCAGATTTAGAAGAACTTAAGAAATGCTCAGAGACCTGAAAGCTGCAGTATTAAAAGCTATGACAACATTTGTAATAATAGGTACTTGTATGGTCAGCACAGTAACCGGACCAGGCAATGCGATATAGTCATACGCAAATTCGGCTTGGCTATAGGCACATCTGACAGGTTAGTGAGGCTGAGCCACTACCAGAATATTCAGATTGTAAACTCTGTGGTAAACCTTTAATGCTTTCACTAGAACACTATATTGTTGATTGTGAAACTGTAAAAGACTTCAGACCTCCTGACCTATTGTATCACCAATTGTGTAACTATTTCATTGACTCAGGTTTTCTGGACGACATCCTAACAATTTATCCAAAATCTGCTTGTCCATTTTAAAGAATGAAGAACAATTTTTATGAATATTACTTTTAAGCTGCATCACTTATGAACCCATCCTTGCCCTTGTGTGGCAATGCACAATAGAAAGTTGCTTTCACATATTCATACATTTAAACATTGTAACCATGATATATATGTACTTCAGCCTACAGTTCAGACGTATTGTCTTGTGTATGACCCTCTGTCCTGTGTGACAGTGAATACCAGTATTATCCTCACTTTAATAAGATATAATTGAAATCCTCAGATTAAGCAAAATTATAATTTTGTCAATAAAGATGTTAATAATAGTTGAGTCGTGTGTAAACTGTTTTTATTCATAGTGCTTGGTGGGTACATGGAATAGACTTTGGCCTTTGTTTGAGGACAGGCTGCATGGGAAATATATGTTTGCAGTGAATCACACATTGAAACTAACTGAATATTTGTTTTTATAGTCAGAACAATCGACAGAGGAAAAACGCAAACAACATCAAAAGGAATTGGCAGTATCGATGAACGAGGCAGCCAAAGAACGCTTAGCATTGCTTAAAGGAAAAAAAGAGGATCAGAAAGTGCGCAAATCTACAGTGTCCTATCGATCATCCAACCTCATACCCAAGGAACCTGAAATATCTGAACTCAAGATCTTTGTTGGTGAGTTTTGAATATAAAATACCATAAATCAAAATTAAAACAGTATTGTTTCATAATGACTTGGGCTGACATCCATGCTCAGAGGTTTTGTGCAGTCTTATCGTTTTGTTTAATTAATTACAATTATCTCCTTTCAGACCGAAAATACGAAACTTTGATTCTACCAATTTACGGCATGCCAGTTCCATTCCACATCTCGATGATCAAGAATATATCTCAGAGTGTGGAGGGAGATTACACATATTTGCGAATAAACTTCTTCCATCCGGGCTCTAGCATTGGCAAAAGTGACGGTGTATTCCCAAACCCAGATGCTGTGTTTTTAAAAGAAGTGTAAGTACTGTATATGGAAATTGTAAAGTACAGTATCTTTACTGTACTTTAAAGTACAGTATCTCAAAGGAAATACTGTACTCTCATTCTGTGAAGGTTGTAAAAGAAAGTAAAATGAGCTAGATGATTTTGAAGCAATGACAATGCACAGCTTTGAGAACAAGTATGAGTGATGAACCATCAGGCGGTATAAATGCACTGGATACAATAGCTAGGAGACGGCTCTAATTTACATTTTGCTCACTTTTTAAGCCTTTTATTTGCAGTAGTATAGTATGTGCAACTTTTATGTCTGGATTAAAAAGTTTTTCCTTTTTTTCATCAGTACCTATCGTAGTACAAATACTAAGGAACCTGGAGAGTTCTCGGCCCCATCTTCTAACCTGAACACAGCATTTCGACTCATCAAGGAGGTGCAGAAGAAGTTCAAGACGCGAGAGGCAGAGGAAAAGGAGAAAGAAGATCTAGTAAAACAAGACACACTTATTGTCTCCAATAACAAATCTAATCCAAAGTTAAAGGATCTATATATTCGTCCAAATATTGTGCAGAAGAGAATAAATGGCACATTAGAAGCTCATACAAATGGTTTCAGGTTAGTAACCATTTCTCAAAAAAATATTTTGTAGGCCAAGTGCTCTTTTGGCTTTGACATAAATTGTGGACTTGGTTACTTTCAGCTGAACAGGCTTGTTAATTTAAATTAAATATATATTGTTTGCATTTACATAGGATTTTTGGGAAAGTACCTAGATATAAGGGGTGGTGTGTGTAATTATTTTTAGCCTGGTCATATTTTAGTTTAGTTTATTTATTATCCACCCCATACCCATCCTGTAGGCAGTAATGGAAAGGGTTACAGAGGCACATAATGGGGTCAGGGACTGAACCCCAAAATTCATTTAGTTAACCATGTTAGTGTTGATGAGATAGTTACAAAATTTATTACACATTGTCACATCAATAATAGGCTTGAGACCGACAACAGGTACAAATTAAATCTAAAGTCTAAATTAAGCAACTGACATATGTGGAGAGCTAGTGTCACAATTGATGTGTTTGTCCTGCACACCGCCCCCCATCTAGTGGGCAGCGGTGGATAGGTTACAATCACTCACTACCTACAGTTAGCAAACTGGGGATGTTTGGCCAAGACTTCTGGTAGCAGATCATTTTGAATTAAATTTTCTCATCTCATGAACATTTCTTATAGAATTGTCTCTGAATTCTCACATTTTTTGCACTCGATCACATTGTGATGGAAATTTGTTTAGGAAATAAATTTTTTGGATTATTTTCTAGGCTAGATTTAGACTAAATTGTATATTGGATTACTTAACATTTTACTATACAATAATAACCATTACACCGCCTCAGATACACAAGCGTCCGTGGCGATAAAGTAGACATTCTCTACAACAACATCAAGAATGCTTTCTTCCAGCCTTGTGAGGGGGAAATGATTATTCTACTTCATTTCCATCTTCGGGTGAGTTTGTAGTGGAAATGTTATTGGTTTTTGTTCATTATATAAAGGCATATGTTCTTTATCCATAAACATTTGAGAACAGTGTAGGTTGATAATTGGTAATGCACATCCAGCTGAAATTGCTTAATGGTTATGGTAAGAAGAAAAAATATACAGATTGATGTTAAAAATTAGTTGTTGGATGAAGCAAATATTCATTCGTGGGGGGGAGGGGGGGATCATAGGTGACATATTTTGGCCTCAATAGGGCACGGAAGTCTGGCAAATTTGAGGCGCTGACAGAGCAATCGTCGGAGGTGGTCGGCTCCGCCCGAGCTGTCAGGCGGGAGTTGTCACAAGATATTACCTAATTATTTCAATGTCTCCAATTGATTTTTTCTTAGTTTTTTGCAGTAATATTATTCAATAATGTGTAGTGTGATATATAATATAGTGTGTGAACCATTGCTATACTCAAAAGTATGGTGAGCACATAGTGATTCAATTATGTTCATAAAACAATAGACATAGTTGTGCTGTTATTATGCTATATACACAGGTTATATTCAAGTATCTGCATGTTTTGTTCAACATAACGAACCACTTAGTTGGTATGGTGAGTCAAAACAAGAGTGGTCGCCACACACCAGCCGGCAACCGGCACCACCTTCCCTCCCTCACCAATACCTCATTTGCCAACATTCCTCCTTCACCATACTGTTTTTGCTTCTATGCACTATATACAGATGTTTTATATACAAGTACACATTTTGTTCACACAACTGTACAACTAAGCTGGTATGGTGAGTTCAGACAATAACAGAGGTCGCCACACAGTCGGCTGACTCTCCTCCCTCCCTCACCAAAATGGCTCCTCCCAACATACTCCTTTTGCTGTCATTACACCATATACATTAGTTCAGGCACTAAGAGTCGTCGTTATACACAGTCAGGTGGCGGCTGCCTCACTTACTCAAGGTCACAAGCACTAAACTTTCTCCCTCAACAATACTGTTTGCAGAGTTATTACACTATATACACATATAAGTATATACATGTTGTATGCACCGTAACTGTACACCTAAGCTTGTAGAGTGCCTAAAGAGCATAGTGGCCTCCCTCTGCACAGCCAGACAAATCATGCAGACGACGTCACCTCCGTCACCCAAATTGCTCCTCCCAGCATAATCCTTTTGCTGTTATTACACTAATACACACATTATATATAAGTATCTATATTTGTGTTCACCATAGAGAACCACTGAGCTGGTATGGTGAATGCAGACAATAACAGGTGACCACACAGTCAGTAAACGATGCAATCTCCCTCCGTCCCTCAGCATCACTCCTTCCACAGCGCTAATTATTACAACAATCCTGCTATTATCACAACCCTGGATATTTATATCACAGTCAGGGGTCACCTGTAATATTGTCATCGTTAAATAATAGCAATTATATATTTATTTTGACATTTTTCGGCGATGCTGTGGTCACAAGCTGAACAGCAATGCTGTTCGCTCATGCTGCATGCGCCAACCTTGGTTGTTCTAACGGTACTGCGCCCCTCTCACCTGAGAATATTGCCCACGATTTAAAAAAAAAATGGCGTCTGTTTACAAGAGCCCTGAGGAAGCTAATGTGAACCCTGTGTAGCCGCGGGCCATTTGAATCGTTCCTGGCACCCTATGGCGTATATGTACGCCATGTGCACCGTGGGACATGTTACTCATTGCGTATATATACGCCATGCGCAGTTTAAGGGTTAATAACCGAACGAATGCTGGCACACGTTATTTCGATGAGGGTGATGGTTCTGTATCTAGATAATCAAAAAATTTACAGTATATAAAATATTGCTCTTTGTAAATTGTCACTTATACCTTCTCTTTTTTTTCCAGCATGCAATTATGTTTGGCAAGAAGAAACATATTGATGTACAATTTTACACTGAGGTTGGTGAAATAACTACAGATCTGGGTAAACACCAACACATGCATGACCGTGATGATCTGTCAGCTGAGCAGGCAGAGAGAGAACTGCGCCATAAACTAACCTCTGCCTTCAAGAGCTTTACAGAGAAGGTGAGTAACTTCATTGAATAATGGTGAGACTAGTAGTTCATTTAGTATATTTTAACAATTACTGTAGCTACTATTGTTTATTGATTGTCTTTGTATTTTGCAGCATTGATCTTGTAGTTGGTGTTATTAGGTGTATGCTAGTTACGTTTGTTTAATGATTATAGTATATGGGGGGAGCCGTGTGGGTCGCCAAGGTAAGAATATTGGAAAAGGATGCAAAATTAATGTATGTTAGAAATATAATATGCATACATGATGAGACAATGTTGGAAACGTAACCATACAATATTCAGCACCATCGTGAAATGTGCAGGTAGTGAAGGCAAAAAGTAAATTGAAGATGCACAAAAGTTTGCAATAATGGTAGTGTCTAAACTAAGAGGACAGGTTAAGTGATCTCATTCTAACATTTCTATAGGAGAGAAGCATGGGAGAGGAATGATTATTGTATATAAACTATTAAGAATACATAAGGTGGACTTAGGTGGATGATGGAAGCTCATTTGAGCCAGAGAGAAAAGAGAAAAATTATTACGTATAGAATACTATCTGTATTCTCTAGAGCATAGGCATGAGAGTTACATAATAATCTACATGGGGGAAGATATTAGAGGGACTGGTTCCAAATCTGAAAATTGGGCTGTTTTCTGTTAGAAAATTGGGCTGTGTTCTGTTGTTAGGATATAGGCCGTGGTTTCCGTTCGGTTAGGAAATGGGCTGTGCTTTCCGTTTGGAAATGGGACGTGTTTTCTACTATAAAATTGAGCCATTAAATAAAATGCAAAAATTATTATTTATATCTTATAATCTCAGTCAGATGGTTAAATTAATATTAGAGATCAGGTATGAGTAATGAGGCCAGGCTAAGAGAAACCTTTAACAATAGAAGAAAGGCAAGAGATGATGCCTTAGGAATTGCTCATATATTGTACAATGAGAATGGTAAACATTCATAACTTTAAGATCGTGTGAAAGAATTCTGGAATGTTGGGAAGTTTTAATACACAGTAGGTATGAGACAGAGTTCTAGTACTGTTATCTGTACACGATTAGTGTTCTGGTAACCAAGTTTGTGGTCTCAATCCTGACGAATACGATCTGATTGACTCGGTGTGCGAGATGGCCAGGGGGCTACTGTAAATACAGGTACTGTACTTTGCTCAAGTGTGATGGTATTGGTTTTGTGATGCTGCTGCAATGTTATCTGGAAGATGGGACATATGCTTGGTATATTAAAAATTATGAGATTCGTGCATTTTAGGCTGATGCCTCCCCATCCAATTTGTCTGGTTCGTGGGGTGGTGGTGGTGAAGGGCCTTGTAGGCCTCTCACGTATCATATACATGTGGTCTTAATTCAGACACATTTTTTCAATAAATTGTTCAATTTTTTTTGTACTTAGATTTTCTTCTTGTCGGTTCTAGGACTGGTTGTTTTGAGGAGCAGTTCTCATGGTGGTTCAGGTTTAGTGGGAGAGGAGAAAGAGTAATTACCATAAAAGCAGTTAATCAAACAGCATAATTAAGTTATAATGTATTCACTTGAATTATAAAAAAGGTTGAGGGTTGTGTAAGGCAGAGTTTATGGCTTGTGGAGAAGATAATGGCTGAGAAAATTCAATTGGAATTACTGTACATTGAAATAATCACAGCAAAAATTATAATTTTATATCTTTGACTGAAAAGTTGAGAAAGTGCCATTTTCTTAAATCAATTACTAAAGTGTGGTAAGTAAAGAACTAATTATCATTATTTTTATTTTTTTAGGTTGAAACTATGACAAAACATCAGATAGAATTTGATACTCCATTCCGTGAACTTGGATTCCCTGGTGCTCCCTTCCGTTCAACAGTGCTTTTGCAACCTACCTCAGGTATGGTATATTACTACAGTATACGGTGTACTACTGCTTGAATGAACTAATTGGGACTGACCTCCAACCATTCCCATCCCAACTTCCATTGCATCCTGCAATGACTGATCCAAACATCTTAAACACTAAGAAACAAAAATCTGGAAACCATTCAGTATTCATTAATTTATATCTTAACAAACTCATTTTTGTTTTTCTAAGTTCAACCTGACAAATGGTGCTGCTAGACCATTTCTTTTCAGTTCATTTCAAACATTCCTCAGTAATGGTAATTTACATTTGGAAATTTATTTAACCTCTGGATCGTCCTGCCATATATTGAGTGTCTGTTTTCAAACAAACCTGACATCTTTAACACAAACTGTCAATAATTTCAAATCATTGTATGACATAGAGCTGGAAAGATGGGACACCACAAGCATAGTTCTCATCATGTAACTACGCTATATATTCATTTATTCATCTTTACCAAGTGGTGCTGTGGCCCCAAGCTGTACAGCAGTGCTATGAGCTGTTTCTTCATCCTCCAGCCTTGGTCGCGTTTTCAGTAAGGCTCTCACAGCTAGCACGGATGCTGATGATTTTTTTTTCAAGATGGTATCTGTTTACAGGAGACCTGAGGCACAGGATGTGAGCCCTGTGTACCCATGGGAGTTTTGAATCGCTCCTCTATACCTAAAAGTGCCATATGGCACTGTGCACCCCTGATCGGGTGCCTTAAGGCAGTCTGTGCAGTGCAGTGGTTAATGTATTGACATATGTTTTAGTTTTTATGATATCTCTTATTGACTTTTGTCTGTTTTGTCTATGCTCACAGGCTGTGTTGTTAATTTGACTGAGTGGCCTCCGTACGTTATTGTTTTGGATGAAGTTGAGCTGGTTCACTTTGAGCGAGTTCAGTTCCACTTGAAGAACTTTGACATGGTGTTTGTGTTCAAGGACTACTCCAGAAAAACATCTATGATCAATGCAATTCCCATGCAGATGCTTGATCATGTTAAGGAGTGGCTGAAGTAAGTGTTCATTTTAAGCCAAATCTTGGCTAAAGCTACTTCCTGCTTATTATAATAATTGTTCATAAAGCTTTAGCATGAATATAGTAATCTATTAATTTTTCAGCACATCATAACCTGATTTAACACTTTTGTTAGGCGGGGACACGTATTGTCTATAAATTACTACGGAAGTCGGACGTGGATGAATGTTGTGTTCAAAATTAATATTTGTTAAAATTTCAATTATCGTTTGATTATTATTGGACTAGTTTTAATGCGCGCCTTTATATTGTGAACAATTGATACAAAAATGAACGACGTAGCACAAAAATTGAGTTGAAAAAACTGGAAAGTGTAAATATTTTAATGTGGGTGGTGGGTGCTCACTCACAGGTAAAACTCTGCCGAACACTTTGATACCAAAATAAACGACGTAGTACAAAAATTGGGGTCAGAACACTGAAGAGTGTAAATACTTACATGGTGATAAGCAGCCAAAGTGAAAATATTTGTTAAAATTCCATTTATTGTTTTATTATTGTGGGACTAGTTCTAAAATCCTCACCTTTCAATTGCGAACAATTTTATACAATAATGAATGACAGCACAAAAATTGAGGTGAGAAAACTAAAAAGAATATACTGTACACATTTTTGTACTGGTGTGCACTCACGAGAAACGCCCGGCCAATCTTGGGTGTGCTTGGGCTCACGTCCCGGGTCAGGCAAGTGTTAATATTGTATTTTGGTTCATTCTTAAGGCACTGGTATGTCTTTCAATTTTAAAATGATATACTCTGTTTTCATCTTTGGTTTAATGTTCATATCATGATATTAAATGTTAAGTCTGCTATATTAATTTCATTTTTAAAATCTTGGTTAGGGTATTATACAAAAATTGTAGAGAATAATTTTTGGGTTTCAGTTTGGTCTGTGTTTCAATCTCATGGTTATTGTTTTTCTTCATTGTCTTTACAAGCCTTATGTAAATATGTATGTATGTACTGTACAATATTTGTGTCAAAAAAAATATTGAAGTAATGCCGTGAATTGCTAACCCTTCTACTTTTCACAAAATTTTGGGATCCACATCCTTGTGCTCATTAACACCTACCCATATGCTCCTCGTCTCTGAAGTTTTCTTCTCCTACCCTTATAATCACTCATCATCAGTCTGTCATAAACCTTTTTTCAATCTTTCAATTTATAGCCTTGCAAATAGCTAAACTGTGATGAATGTGTTTTCATTTAATAATAAAATCAACAGCTTTTATCATTTTTTTGCCTTTTTTCAGCTCTTGTGACATTCGGTACTCTGAGGGTGTGCAGTCACTCAACTGGTCTAAAGTCATGAAAACAATTATTGATGACCCTGATGGGTTCTTTGATCAGGTATGGCAAAACAAAAATTCTGAATTGGCAGTTTTATTACAATTTTGAGTTAAATTGAATGAGGTACTGTATTCAATTTGTATAAATGTCAGATTTTCCGCACTGCTATGTACTATTCAGGTTTGCCAGGTCAGATTTGTCTTGTAGATCAAATGCTACCTAAAACATGCTTTAACTTTGGCATTTCTCTTGTTTTTTATTGTATTACATTTTCGTATCATGGTACCTTCCAACTATTCATTACCTCCAAATTAATTATATTTGTGCCTGGCAAGTATTTAGTAATAATAATTTCAGGTATGAGTTTTTTTTATGTAACTGTAAATCTTCATGTATTGGCTGTGCACAAGAGTTAACATAAATACACTTCTTTTCTGAATCAAAGGTTTACGAGTTTTTCAATTTGTCACGGTCCTGGTGAATCATGTTAATTCACATCTGCAATGAACTGGCTCCATCTTAAATAATATGAACAAGATCTCAACATTATCTATTTGTTGAATGTTAATTTGTCAATCTAAGTAGGTATCCGACATGCATTCGGTTACTTTTGGAACTGAGAGTTTTGTGCTTACAAGTTTGTCTTTAATTTACAGGGCATTTGGCCTATTTACTCACCACAGCTGTATTGAGTAGATAGGCATCATTCAATAAGAGTATTTTGTTCATAAATACAAGGAGGACATGGGAAAGATAAAATGAGAATAACAAGATTAACTCGTGTTTCAACTGACAATGCAAGAAGGCACAGTTAAAACATGACTGCTTAGAAAATGCACAGCAGCAGATGCTAGTATGAACAAGGCACTGAGGAGGGACTGAAATAAGTCCTAGCTCATGAGGGAAGCAGAAATGCAGTTTGAAAATTACTCAAATTATTCTCCGCTCAGCAATTACGCAATATACACATGGAAAATAATGGAAGATCAAGTTCCGAACCTGCACAATAAAATTAACATGCTGTAACATGCTGGAGTGAGAGAAGGACGTAACAAAAGGTCATCCTGTGACCTTCAACCTCCTACCAACAGATATGGGAATTATTGTTAGAAGAGCAGTAGAAGCTTTCAAGAAGGAAATATACACGTTTCTACTGTTGGAGTTACCAGATCAGCCTTGCTGTGGTGGGATGTATTTTGCTGACATATATCCCATTTAGAATACTGATGAACCCGAGGATTGTGGAATATTTGAAGAAAGTAACTTTGTAACTAAGACTGGATGCTCTTAAAAGGGAAGAAGCATGCCTGACAAACCTGATAGTGCTCGGTATGGATGCCAAGATTCATAATGATAGAGAAGGATGGATGGATTGTATTGTCTTTAATTGCCAAAATGCCTATCAAATTTTGATAAGACATATTAGATTCTGAAAATAGACAAATATACAGAGATGTCCTTTTCCAGGTAAGGGACAAGAGAATGAGGTAAGTTAATATGGAAGTAAGAAACAAACGAGCAAGAGAAATGGAAGGAAATACTTGAATGCTTTGAGAGGGGTAAACTGTTGGAATTAGTTTTAACCAGGTGTGATGGAATCGACTATTATTCACAGCTTCAAGAGCAGGTATGACAGTAGTGGAACGTTGGAAGGCATAAATGCACCATTTACAGTCCTAATTACCTGGTGCAGCTTCCGGGGTTCAACAGCCCCGCGGCCCAGTCTCCGACCAGGCCTCCCATTTAGTCGTCTGGTCAACCTGGCTGTTGGACATGGCTGCTCTCAGCCTGACATATGAATCACAGCCTGGTTGATTAGGTATTCTTTGGCCAAGAGATAAGGCTCTAGAGCTAGACTTCACTTCCCATTACCTACTTCCTAGTAGGCAATGGGCACTGATTTTGATGGGTACAAGTTTTTTTACTTAGATTTTTGTACTTTTATTAGGGAGGCTGGTCTTTCTTGGACCCTGACTCAGATGATGAGAAAGCAGAGCAGGAGGAGGAGGACTCTGAGGATGATGGAGCATATGCACCTACAGATGAAGAGTTGGGATCTGAGGAGGAAAGCGAGGATTATTCTGAGGGTGATTCAGAGGCATCCGATTCTGAATATAGTGAGGGTAAGTGGGTTACATGTACAGCCCTATAAATTGGTCTACATTTAAATAACATCATAAAAACTATTTTAACACTTTGCGCCGCTCGGCGTGTGCTCCCCAGCCCACCCCAAGGTGGGCCTGGCGTTTCCTGGGAAAGCACCACACTAAAATATGTATACTCTTTCCAGAGTTCTGACCACAATTTCCATGCTTCGTCGTTCGTTATGGTATCAAATTGTTTGCAATCTAAAGGCGCACATTATAAAATTAGTACCATCATAATCGAACAATAAATGGAATCTTAAATTTTTATTTTGGACGCTCATTATCACACAAATATTTATAAACATTCCAGTGTTCTGACCTCAATTGTCGGTCGTACTACGTCGTTCATTTTGGTATCAAATTGTTTGTGATCTAAAGATGCACATTTTAAAACTATTCCCATAATAATCGAACAATAAATGGAATTTTAATAAATATTTTAATATTGGATGCAAAATGAGTCTCCGTCAGACATAAGTATAGTTAATTATAGAGGCAACTTCCTTTGCCGCCGGACGAAAGTGTTCATAAAGATTTTAGCAAAAATATCAATGTTATATTCTTAGGTTGCTAGCCAACTGTGCTAATATTGCTATTTCCTGACTGCAATTCCATGCAATGTCACCAATGTCTGTATGGCAAATAATTCACAACACTGTTGGAATCCAGCAACATGCGAAAAAGCATACAGGGCGTGGGTGCACAGTCTGAGTACGAATTCTGGGATGATCCCACTCGGACCTGTTTCCCCGAGTCCTGATCCATGTTGGTTGTGGGAATCGCCCCAGTATAAAATGAAGTATTTTAAGGGACTTCTCATTGGGTCCTCATCGCATTTAAATTTAGTGATTAATAGGCAACTTCGGTGTTCGAGACACCAGGGCCAAAGGCTTAAGTGCGAGTTGTGGCAGTACTGTAGTAAGAAGTGGTTCAATGGAAGCACTGCATAAAGCTTAACAGTAGTTAATTCATAACTCGACTTCTAGTACAATGGGTGCTTAATTTACTCTCGATTTATGGCAGCAAAGCTGTTAATGCATTAGCAAGACAATTGATACCTAACTAATTGATTTCGGTCTACTCGTGGACAAAACCTAACCTTACATGGTTGACAACCGATCATTAACATGGCAGCGTGCAATCGGCACCTTCGGTTCTATGAGGCTCTATTACCAGATTATCAGGTCCCTTGTAATGAGTGGTATTCAGCTGCACTGGTTGGAGTGAATGTTTCTTTACCTACCTGTCTTACTGGCCCTGTTGTTGCTCGGGTCCTGGCCAGGGTAGAATCCTACCAATGGAAGGTGGTGGTACTTGGTGGCTGGCTGACTCAGTCTTTATTTTAGGTGCTGATTGCATGGTATCTAAACCCAGACATTTTCTCACGGCTCTCCTTCTTTTTAGAAGATTGGTCTATTGATATTCCTAGCTGGTTCAAAATTCTCAGCTGTGTGTGTGTGGTTTTTCTGATGCATTTTAATTGCGTCTCTGTGGTTAGCAGGTGGCTGAATTGGTGTTCCACATGCTTTTGCCATCCTGGTAGCTGTATTAAGTTGCTTTGTAGTCATTTTGCTTAAATCTCTCCCATTGTCAGCATTCTTCCATCTGTTCCTGTTGTCTTTTCGTTTTGCTTTTTTTTTTTTTTTTTTTTTACCTGTATCTTGTGCCTAATACAGTACTGTCACCTCTTATCCTTTGGCATTGGCGGAGCTACTACTGCTTGCGTTTAGTGTCAACTTTACCTTGGCCTGCTTGTGCACCGGCTGAACCTTCTTGTTATTTCTTTCCCTCAGTTTATGGTTCCCTTTTGGTTCGTAATTCTTTCTTTAGGGCAGTTTTTGTCTGTTAGTGCTTGCCTTCGGTTGTAGGGGTAAGGAGCTACACATTCTCTGGAGGCAGGGCATTTGTTTTTTCAGCCTAGGTGAGTGTTTTGTTAATTTGCAGCCTTCTCATTTTCTGGCAAAGAATGAGTAGGTGGGCTTCAGGAGGGGTCTTTTTTGGTTTTTGATGGGCCAGGGTACATCATGTGTTGTGCCTAGTGGCAACTCTTTGCCACTTGCCTTCATGCCACCCGGTCTGCCTCGGTGGATGCTTTATGGATTGATCCATCTTCTGTAATATTTCGATCTCCACTCATGTGGTTACTTTTCATTGGCTCATTTTGGTTTATTTACTCTTACTGGTTTAATGTTTTATTTTGGCTTAATATTATTATAATTAACTTTAGATTATATTTCCTCCTCGCTAAAACCTTGGATGGTTGAGAGCGTAGCTACTTCACTTAAGTAACCTCATCTCGGGTAAGTTCCTGCTTCTCCCTCAGAATAAACCAATGATAATGTCAATGTTTTCTAGTTGCAACATTTTTACTGCAGATCTTGGAAGCAGTGAAGAATCGGGTATGGATTGGTCCGACCTCGAGAGAGAAGCTGCTGAAGCCGATAAAGATGCTAATGACTTCCAGGATGAGTACACGAAACAGAAGAAGACAAAAGGTGGCGATTATCGTAGCAAATATAATGATCGGAAGAGGTAAAAAATTTAATTTTACATTAAAAATCTACAAATGAAATTTAATAAGAATAACTTATTAAATGTATTTCTGGATTACTTTTTTTTTTATAAAGAATGATAATCATTAACAGTTAGCACCTTAGGTTAACAATTTTTTTAGATTGGAATTTTATCCACATATTATGTTTCAGGTTAAACCGCAAGTCCTCTCTGAAACTCGGCAAGGACAAACGCACGAGCAAGTAAACACATTATGGGCTTGTTCCCTTGTAGGCTCATTATACATCTCATAATTAATTTTTATTTTTGTTACACTAATAGCTAAATGGATTCCTCTTTTCACAGCACAAATGGCATACTTGCAGAGTGGGTTTCAGTCTCATCATCATTAATCTAGACGATTCAGTTGTAGATAGATGATTTTTTTTTTTAACCGTCTTAATTTAAGTGAACGTCATACACTTAATGCAAATATCGTATTGACATTGGCAGTAAATATTTAAAGTATTTCTTCTGCCTTACAAATACAATTGATAAAAATCTATCTAAAAGAAGTAGTATAATACAGTGAACTGCTTTAATGCACTAATTAAGCATTATGAGCAGTGTAGCTAGTGCTCCAGCTGCTGCCTTTTTAAGTTAGTGCTCCAGCAGCAGCACTGTACTAGAACCTGCTGTTAACCCTTTGCGGACTGTATTTGAAAAATCTTGCTTACCCACAGGACTACAGTTTTTAAATTTTTAAATATATTGGAAATTTGTTTAGAATTCAACAAGACAATCGACTCGTTATATTCAACGACAAAAACACGTTCTAATGAATATTTAATTTTAATTTAGACATGCAGACCTGTACTGTATAATTAACTTTTGATATACCTCTGCTCCTTGTTCTTACTCCAAACAATATTTAAGGTTTATGTAATTTTTGTGACAGTGTTTTGCGCATTGTCGTGCTGTTTTCTTTGTGTCTGGATGCACACCAGGAAATATTTTCAGCCCACTAACAGCTATCCACTCATTGCTGTCCTGTATGTTTGTAGATTCAGTAATAATAATTTGAATGTTAAAACTTCACTTTTTCATATTTCAGTTGAGTCGATATAAAATTTCTATTAAGGGATGGCAACACATTGATTTAGTCTACCCATTCTCCCAGAGACAAGAGATACAGTTAGGAATATTACAGTTGCTGTAATAAATATATGATTTTGTTACTTATTGAAAGAGGAGGGTAGTATAAGTTCTTCTTGACTGTCAGACACAGTTGGGCTAGTACAAACATATTCTAACCAATCTTTGTCCAACACAATTTAAACAGGAATTTCAAAAATGTATTATACACTTGGGTTATGACCAAGTTGCTGAACAACTTGGTGTCAATGTAACATAATGGGGAAGATCTGCACAAAGTCATCAATCCCAGTAAACAAATCTGTCGAAAATTAATTAGTCTATATGCATATACCCCTGTAAAGAATTCTATTGCGAACACAACGATACCAAAAAGAACGACGTAGCACGAGAAATAAGGTGAGAAAATTCAAACGAGTATACACATTTTACCGATTTTGCGCGCTCACGGGTAACTTTGCCGACTTTAGGCTTTGCTGTGGGAAGTCACGGTGGGCTTTTGGACCTTGTATGCATATACCCCTGTAGGGTATTCTATTGCGAACACAATGATACCAAAATGAACGACGTAGCACGAGAATTAAGGTGAGAAAACTGAAATGAGTATACACTTTACTGTGTCGTCGCCCACTTGCCCGCACCCATCGGAGCATGACGTCATTTCTGCGGCGCGCACAATAGTGTTAAGCTTTGGAGCAGGTCTCTTGTGACAGAATTTCAAAATGTTTTGCATAGCAGTGTTCAGGAAATGAACAACGTAAGCACCAAACATATAAAAATGTTCATTTATTTAAAGATAGATTGCCAAGATATTGGGAGCAACTTTACGTTCCTAATTGGTGTCATTCAAAGCTAATACTATGTCTGAGACTCTTTGTAAGTCTCACTGACCAATCGGGCAGTAATCGCCCCATCCTCCTGTTTAGGTAGTACTTGTAGTAATGGCGAGGACCATCGTACATATATTTACGTAAAAGGTAATTAGAAAGTTGAAATTGGTACTATTAAATTTTGACAAACTGGAAAAGTTTTTGTATTAATGTTGAAAACAAAATCTAACCTTTCTAGGCCTAATATAATAAATACATGTGCTATACTAGGCCTAGGAATATTTGAGTTTGATTTTTAGCTTTGCAGTGGGGCCTCGATTTACAACGGTAATACCTTCCCAGAGATGTATCATAAGTATTGTTGAAATATGGTAAGTCGAAGCGACTTTTCCCATAAGAAATAAAGGGAATTGAATTAATCCGTTCCACACCCACCAAAATATTAATTTAATAACACTTGACCCCCACCTATTCCAGGTAATATAAGAGGGGTAGGAATGATAATGAAAAATAGTGCCTATTTTAATTACAGGCTGTCATGACCCATTCACAGCCCTTTTCACTTGGCTGATGTAGTATGGTGACCCATCAGGAAGGATTGTATACTATAGTGGGCTCTTGTGTGGCTCTTGTCGGCTTGCTTGAATGCGGGTGATACCGTGCAAAGATATCACGTGTGGTAGCTAGTGACGGTAGCTAGGTAGTGGTTCAGGAATGGCATGAGGGGATGTACTGCAGGAATGCAATATGTCGTCAGTAGGATAGCTAAAATGTGACAAAAGACTGTATGTAGGGTGCGGGCTTCTAAAACGTGTGGTTCATCACACAGATTCACACATGGACGGCTTACAACATGGACAAATGCCAGAGAGCTAGTTAGAATTTATCTACCTTTCACGGATTTATTTAAGCTTAACGCTCTTCAATCTACACCTCTTACACATTCATAAACTGCACTGTTATTTAACACAGGACAATCTGTTGTCTTCGTTACCTTAACTGATTAGTTACTCAAACTATAACGAGAGCAGTACATAGAACAACGTGAACATCATAACAGCATGAACAAGCCAGAGGTGTTTGCCTGTTTGGCGCCGCACCTGTGGCTTGTTCATGTTCTACTATGTACTGCTCTCTTGTTAAAAAATGATCACTCAGATGAGTTGTGATGGTCTTCACACAGTTTGTTGCATGTGGTTTACCTTATTGTGATTATATTGCAACTTGTCAGTTCACTGTGAATTCTTTTAAATATATCGTGCTGCCGGACTCTGTACATCTCTGTAGATTAATTTATTGATAGTGCAGTTAATTTGACATTACTGATGGACTTGTATAATGTTAATATAGCTATACAGCCCAATAGCATATACCAGCACATCTGACATTGATGAAAGTCCTGGTGGGAATGAACTTGGGCACCAGTATATGCAACATTAAAAATTTTGCCTACTGTCTCCACCAGTCAAGGAACTCTGTACAATAGCGTGGGTATATGGTAGTTTCCAATAGGTTGTTAGGTCATGTGGGCTTGATGACATCATGGCCAGCCAAAACAGCCACAGTTCATCCGACCCAAGGTAATCCCTCAGGATTGCATAGGGCAATATACCACACTCAACAGCTACCTTGAGATGGCAAGGTGAAACTTGCACTATACCCATAAATGCTAATGCAGCATATCTTTGCTAGAACAACCTACACTGTACCTTGCAGTATCATCATACTGCTTGAGCCAAGGGCTCTCATCAGACACCAAACAAGCTAAGTCTATTTGCAACATTAACGTAGCCAAAATGCACATAACCTGTGCACTTCCCACAGCGGGTTACCTTTTACCTTCCATGAATTGCTGTTGTACCATGCAATAGCCATACAATAGTGCAACATGAGCCTGTGGTGGGAAGCTGAGAGACGGCTCTCACAATGTGATATTCAACAACAACAACATTGTACAGAGTTAATCAAGTGTGAGTGGTTTGAAGGCACAGAATGATTGGCTTGGGCACATTTCCACACTGTTTTTGTAGTTTTCAGTTACTATTGTTTGATAGTGATATTTATGGAATTATTATATTGTTTTAAAGTTTTAACACATTTTATTAATACAGTTGAGTACTTGGATACTTTGAGAATGGATAAGTGGTAATAACACATGGTGGAATGATGGATTAAATTGTTACTGTGTAGCGTAAGTGTATAATTGCCTAAGTGTTGTTACAGGATTAGAGTTACACTCATGGGAGTGTCCCCTCTCCCATCTTCCTAGACCTATTTTTTGGTTTACAGCACTTTGAGACCTTTGAGACCTTTTCACTAAACTACAACAGTCTACATTTTTTTTTTTTTTTTTCTCCAAAAATGGACTATCTGATTTTTTGGGCAATTTTGTTTCATTCGTTTGTATCTGTGACCTCTTGTTCTTGAAGGTGCAGGTTTCAAGAATATCTCTTTTGTAAATTTTATCGATTCCTGTTACTATTTTGTAAGTAGTGGTCATATCCCCTTGTTCTTCTATCATCTAACCTTATGGAATTGAATACCTCTAGCCTCTCATCATAGCTCTTGTTTTTCAGTTCTGGAAACTATTTAGTTGGATGCCTTTTTACTTATTCCAGCTTATTGATGTGCTTCTTGAGGTATGGGCACCATACATTCACTGCATATTCCAACTTTGGTCTTGCATAGGTCGTGAACACTTTCTTTAATATTTCTCCATTCATGTACTTTTAAGGTTATTCTGAAGTTGGAAAGCGTAGCATAGGCTATGCACAATGTATATATGGTCCTCAGTTGACAGTCTTTATTGAGAACCACCCTTAGATCTCTTTCCTTATCATAATTGTTTAAACTTTTTCACATAGTTTGTAGGTTGTGTGTAGCCTATTTTCTCCTATTGCACATTCCACCATGTGGCATTTATTGACATTAAATCCCATTTGCCAAGTGTTGCTCTTATCCATTTATTTGTGTCCAGGTCTTCTTGATGGGCATGATAATCGTCTTAAGTTTATCTTCTCTAGTAGTTTAGCATCATCAGCTAGCATGTGCATGTAATTCTGTATTCATTCTGGTAGAACATTAATGTAAACAATGAACATTGCTTGTGAAAGAATTGAAACCTATGGTACTCCACTAGTAAAATTTCTCCAGTTCAATACCTTGCCTCTAATTACAGCTCTCATTTTTGTTGGAAAATATTTAATCCCTGTCAGAAGTCTCCCCATCACTTTTCCAGTATGATCCAATTTCCAGAAAACCTCTTACATGGGTCTGTC